CTGTCTAGTTAATTCTGACTCATAGCAACTCTACAGGACAGAGTAGAACTTCCCCATAGGATTTCCAAGGAGCAGCTGGTAGATTCGAACTGCTGACCCTTTGGTTAGCAGCCAAGCTCTTAACTACTATGCTACCAGGGCTCCCATTGCCATCAAGTTGATTCCAATTTATAGTGACCCTATAGGACAGAGTAGAACTGCCCCATAGTGGTTCCAAGGTTGTCATCTTTACGGAAGCAGGCTGCCCCATCTTTCTCCCATGGAGCAGCTGGTGGGTTTGAACCCAGAGTCCTTTGCAGGCAAGATCCATCTTGCGTTGTTCAGGGCCCTCTCACTCCTCCAACATCTCTTTTTTGCTGAGTGTATATTCTGTCAATTCTGAAAGATCTTCCTCTCTCTGGTAGTTGGGCCCTGTGTTAGTTCCCTAGGGTTTCTGTAACAAAGTGTCGGAAACGGAGTAGCTTAAAACAATAGAAATTATTCTCTAACAGTTCTGGAGGCCAAAAGTGTGAAATTATGGTGTCAGCAGGGCCATGCTCCCTCTGAAGACTCTAGGAAGATCCTTCTTTTCTTCTCTCTTAGCTTCTGGTGGTCACCAGCAGTCCTTGGCAGTCTTTGACTTACAGCTCAAGCATTCCAGTTTCTGCCTCTGTCTTCACTAGACAGTCTTCCCTCTTGTGAATCTTTTTGCCTCCACATCTCCCTCCAGTGTGATCTCATCTTAACTTGATTACATTTGCAAAGACCATATTTTCAGATAAGGTCACATTCACAGATACCAGGGGTTAGGAATTCAACATATTTTGAAGGAGGAGGACACAATTCAACCCACAATCTTCTTACAGTTACCATCAAGTCAGTTCCTACTCAGGGAGACCCTATGTGTGTCAGAATATAATTGTGCTCCATAGTATTTTCAATGGCTGACTTTTCAGAAGTATACCAACAGGCCTCTCTTTAAGGCACCTTTGGGTGGACTCCAATCTTCAACCTTTCAGTTAGCACCAAGCATTTGACTATTTATGCTGCCTGGGATCTCCTCGACCCACAATACCAAAACCTGTTGCCATCAAGTCGATGCCAACTCATAGTGACCCTATAGGACACAACAGAGCTTCCCCATAGGGTTTCCCAAAGCAGCTGGTGGATTCGAACTGCTGATCTTTTGGTTAGTAGCCAAGTTCTTAACCATTTGTCAGCTCACTGGGCTCCAGCCTACTTACTAGAGCACTCTAAGTGGTACCAGCCACAGGTTACAGAAGGCAAAGTGATCCTGTCCAACCCTCATGAGCTATTAGGGTAGAAGCAGGAAGGCTGCCAGATCCCTGTTAAGGCAACTGAAGGAAGCCTCATAGCCTTATGGCTCTCCTGACTTCTCATACTCACCCAGCCTCAAGGGCAGGAAGTGGCTCTGTCAACCCATTTGGCACTCTTGACCTCTCTAGGAGACCCTGAACATCACACCAACATCATACTTTCCCTCCATGCCTCCTCAAAGGACAAAGATCTCCTCCAGATTCACAGTTTTCAGGGTGCTGATCTCCAAGCTTCCCCTCAGCCCATGGGGGAGAGAATCCTCTCCCACAGAGCCCAAGGCCTCACGCCACCCAGCTTCCCATATGCCCAGCAGCTGCCAGGCTCAACAGAGGCAGAGAGACTGGAGTTAGAAGTAGAAGGGAAGGAACATCATAGTCAAGAAGGTTGAAAACCATGGGTCTGAACATGGACATTTAATGACCGACCCAAGCTCTCAAGGGTCCTGAAAAGTGCCCCACTATTGGTCTGCTAAAGAGCCCTGGTGGTGCAATGGTTAAGCACTCTGCTGCTAAACAAAAGGTTGACAGTTTGAATCCACCCAGTGACTCCATTGGAGAAAGGCCTGGTGATCTGCTCCCGTAAAGATTGCAGCCTGGAAAACCATATGGAGCAGTTCTACTCTGTCACATGAGGTCACTATGAGTCAGGATCGACTCAACAGCATCCAACAACAACATTGGTCTGCTCTCTGTGTTCCATCTTTGGGTTTTGAAGAACTCAAAGCAGAAAGCAGCACCCCAGTGACACTCATGTTTTTCCGTACATCAGCAAGCAGAATTTGTTCCAGTTTTTTCTACCCCCCCCCCCCCGAAATAAGGTTTGTTTGAATCGTCACAGAGGGCAGTGTCATTTACTGTATTAATTCATTCATTGGGTGACAGGGTGTCATGGACTGAATGGTGTCCCCAAAAAATATCTGTCAACTTGGCTGGGTCATGATTCCCAGTATTGTATGATTGTCTACCATTTTGTCATCTGATGTGATTTCCCTATGTGTTGTAAAACCTATCACTATGATGTTAATGGATTATCAGCAGTTATATTGATGAGTTCTACAAGACTAGATAGTGTCTTAAGCCAGTCTCTTTTGAAATATATAAGAGAGAAGCAAGCAGAGAGACAGGGGGACCTCACACCACCAAGAAAGCAGTTCTGGGAGAAAAGTGCACCCTTTGGACCTGAGGTTCCTGCACGGAGAAGCTCCTAGACCAAGGGAAGATTGATGACAAGGACCTTCCTCTAGAGCCGACAGAGAGAGAAAGCCTTCCCCTGGAGCTAACACCCTGAATTTGGACTTCTGGCCTACTAGACTATGAGAAAATAAATTTCTCTTTGTTAAAGCCATCTACTTGTGGTATTTCTGTTATAGCAGCACTAGATAACTAAGACACAGGGTTTCTTTGATGTAAACCGTAAGACCTTTATAACAAGCATCACAAGCACCTGGGTCAATATACATGGAGTTTCTCTCGTCCTCTAGAACAATCCATTTAAAAGTGAAGAAATTTAGTCTTCCTTTTTTCACTAAAGAAAAAAAGGTGGGAGGGCAGTGGTTGCTTTCTCCATTGTCTTGTATACGATCTGAGAATCAGGAAAACTTGGCAGAGACTGCAGGCCACCCTGATACTGTGGGTAACTTTTTGTTTACTCTGAAGTGAGGCATTTTCAAGCTGAGCTGCCCAGAGCCCTGCAGGTTTCTGAAGAAAGGGAAGCCTAAGGATTTGTGACCCTGTCCCCAGGCCCCTCTGCTAGAGCAATACCCTTTTTGTGGAATTTGTTTACATTTCATGAGATTCCATTCGAACAAGTTTCCCTGGCTCAAACAAGTTTGAAAAACACTCTTCGGAGGTAACTCAGGTTCAGTTTTCAGTTTCCCAGCAATTACTGAATTTGATTCCCTAATCCAAAGTACTTTTATATCCGCCAAATCTAATATCATAATCCAATTTTGGCACTCTAAAACTGTTCTTCCACATTAAATGCTTGTATTTTATGTTGCCCGTGAAGGATTTATTCCTATAAACATGATGAAACACCGTGATTCATCCTTCTTACAGTCATTGGCAGTGTCTGTGCTCCTGTGAATGGAAATTGTGCGCTCTTTGGGTTCACTGGAGTTGCTGGGTAGTGCAAACAGGTAACATGCTTGGCTGTTAACTGAAAGGTTAGAGGTTCAACTCCATCCGGCAGCACTCAGAAGAAAGGCCTGGCGATCTACTTCTGAAAAATCAGCCCTTGACAACCGTATGGAGCCCAGTTCTACTCTGATACACATGGGGTCTCTGTGAGTCAGAATTGACTTGATTACTGGTTTTTGTGTTCACTAGATACCCTTTTCAAAAGTGAAGAGTGAGATGGTGAACAGATTGGGGTCTCTGCATGGGTTTTCCCTTAAATGGAAGCAGCCATAGAAGGGCCCGTGTCCTACATGCTGCTTTCCCTCTTCCCCAAACTGCGTCTCCCTCCACGCCCAACTCTCATGGAATCAACTCTTCCTCATCTCTCAGGTTAAATGCTTCTTCATCAGGGAAGCCTTTCCTGACCCTTGTGCCCAAAGCAAGGCTAATTACTTGCTCTTTGCTTTTCCTTAGTAGTGCTTGTCACAAGGAAAAATGTTTAATTGTGTGTTATCTCCCCTGATAAACTATAAACTCCTCAGAGAAAGAAAACTGGTAGACCTTGTTTTCCACTGTACCTCTACCTCCTAGCATAGTGCCTGGTGCAAGGCAGACAGACACTCAGTAACTATTGCTAGATGAATGAATAAATCACCAATGTCTTCTGCTTTAGGTCATCCATCAAGCATTGATTAACCCCTGCAATGAACAAATTACCATCCATGCTGAACATTGTGGGGGATACAATGAGCTATTCCAAACTCCCATGAGCTTATTACCTAATTGGAAAAATCAGACACAAAGATAACCAACTATTAATGGCAGATTAGTGACTAGCTTCCTAGTTCCTGGTTCATTAAATGGAATTGTATATGATCTGAGAGTCAGGAAAACTTGGCAGAGACTGCAGGCCACCCTGAGACTGTGGGTAAACAATCGGTTGGATGTGCAGGTGCTTTCAGAATTCAGAGAAGGGAAAGAAAAGAGGGTTTGAAGCTGCTTTCTATTATTATTACTGTGGTAAAATATATACAATAAAAAGTTTGCCGTTTTCACCATTTTTAAGTTACACAATTAAGAGACATTAATTACATTCTCAATGTTGTACAACCATCACTACTATCCATTTCCAGAAGTTTTTCATCACCCGAAACATAAACTCAGTACCCCTTAAGCAATAACTCCCCATTTCCTCTCCCTTCAGCCCTTTGCCACCACTAATAAACGTTTGTCTCTCTGTAGTTGCCTATTCTAGATATTTGATATAAGTGGGACCATACAATATTTGTCCCTTTGTGTCTAGCTTATTTCACTCAGCAAAACATTTTCAAGGTTCACCCATATGGTAGCATGTATAGAGCTGCAATTTGATGGAGGATAAAGAGTGAGAAAGGGCATTGCAGCACAACAGGGACACAGTTATCTTCATTACAGGCATGGGCAAACCTTCAGTCATTCAACAAACATAGTTTGGGCATTTACTCTGTGATAGGCACCATCTTGGCCCTGAGGGTACAGTGGTGAATTGGAAGTAATGTCCCTGCCCTTGTGGAGTTTACATTCTAGTGAAGAAAGCAGACAATGCCAAGATAAACAGTATCCATGTAGGTAGTGATGAGCAGTATGGGAAAAATGAAGCAGGGTGGGAGAATAGTGACGGGGGTGCTGCTTTGGACTGGGTGATCAGGCAAGAGCTCACACCCAAGTAACAAGAAGGCACCAACCATGGCAAAGTCTGGGAGAAGAGAAGTCGAGTCCAGGTGAATAACATGCAGCAAGGCCCTAAGACAGGAAGGAATTTAACATATTCAAGAAGCAGGAAAAAAGGCCAATGTGGCAGAGATAACGAACAAGGGACGGGATGGTTGAGATGCGCTCAGAGAGGTGGGCAGGGCCAAGCCATGGGGCCTCCATGGCAAGGATATGGGGTTTTGCTAAATGCGATAGGAGGCCATTGGAAGGTTTTAAGCCGACAAATGGCAGGTTTAAGCAGAATGTGGTTCTCTTTGAGAAGAATGAGATCCATCTAGGGTATGTTCCTGGGGTCAAGGCAGTTTGAAAGGGGGGTTTAAGCTTGGATTGTTGTTTATGGTTTTTGCACTGAAGCCCTCGAATGTCAGAAAAAGCAAGAAGAGGTATGGAGTGTGGGTTGAGTACAGAGCTGGCTTTGAAGCCGGGATTAGTGGGAGGTAGAGGAGGTGTGAGGTAAGGGCTGGCCCTCACTGGTGCCCTCCATTTAAAAGGCTGAGATGTAAGGAAGTCTCTACCTCCTGCCCTCCCCTCTGAGGCTCAGGACGCCTGCTTCTAGACCAGGAGGGATTCCAATTGCTTGAACCTAAATCCTTTCTGCTCATTTTAGAGGCTGGTGCCAAAGAGCATTCTCACCTAGAGATGTATGGCAAAACTTACCTACGGGTACAATACCTTGCTCCAAGAGATCAGATGAGTTGGTTTTCTTTGTGAACGGGAGGAAGGTAAGTGTTGGATGTTATTGCCATGGCTTGCAGAGGCAGCAGGAAACCACTAGCTGGAGGGCAGCTCTTGGCCCATTTGGACTGAGCCTCCCTCCTGTTAAGGGGCAAGTAGCCAGGGACTGGAGTTCCTGGGTAGTGTGAATGGTTAACACACTCAGCTGCTAACCAAAAGGTGGGAGGTTTGAATTCACCCAGATGTGCCTCAGAAGAAAGGCCTGGGAATCTACTTCTGAAAAATCAGCCGTTGAGAACCCTACGGAGTGCAGTTCTACTCTGACACACATGGGGTCACCACGAGTCAGAGTTGACTCAAGGGCAACTAGTTTTGGTTAGCAGGAACTCTAAGAACCCATACTAATTTGGCCTTCTCCCTGTTCAGCCAGGGCTCAGCTCCTGAGAATGTGGGAGGCAGTAAAATATTTTGGGGTTAATGGAAGGTAATTGGTATGGGACAGCTTTGGTTCCAATCAAGTTCTTCCTTTTACTGTGTAACCTTATGCAAGTTACTTCACCTCTCTAAGCCTCAGACTCCTTGTCTTTAGAACTCACTTCCTAGGGCTATCGTAAACATTTTAAAAGGACTTCTTCTTTCATTGATTAAGACTCCCCTGCATGCTCATAAAGCACTTAGCACTGGGCCTGATCCAGGAGAAGTACTTTATCTAATAACATATCTTGATCCTCAAATTTACCTGGACGAGAAATGGAGCTTTCTTTGTTTTCCTATATGTCAACTTAATTTTCCTGTCAAGTCCCCATTATACAGGATTGGTTGAAATGTAATCACAGTCCATTGGAGTCCCCCTTTTTCCCTGGGCTGCAGCTAGGTTGCAGGGGTACTTATAGTGACAAGAGGGGAGCAGTTCTTCCGTTGTCACTTTTCCCTGGCACCACTGTGACAGCCATCCTCCCTGTGGCCCTCACCATCAGTCTACCCAAGCTACCAATTAAGTCTCAGTGTCCTCTGCCAGGCCCTTCCAACCATGAGTCTCTGTTTCTCAAGGGAGCCATTCTGCTGCTCCCAGGACACATGTCTTCTCGGTGTCCTGGCCGCCTCTCCTTCCAGATCCCTCAGTTCTCTGATCCCTCAAACCTAACTGGGGTTTGGTCATACCCATTCGCACCACCAGGGCCTGGTGCAAGAAAGAAAATAGAGCATAGAGCCTCTGCACTCTCATCTCTTCCCTTCTAACTCTCTCTCCTGTATCCAGTCTCCATGACAAGCAACCACCATACATTCTTCTGAAACTACCACTTGGGATCTGAGTCCTTACTTGCTTACCTCACTGGCCCAGGCTTTTGAGACAAAAAAGTTAGAGGTGGCTCCTTCTGCTACATTCTACTCCACATCCCATCCTGAGTCACAAGCCCAGAACAAAGCAGCAGCCAGATCAGGGAATAATTCTAGGGGTTAGAGAAAATACAGATGTGTGTGGTGAAGGCAGAAGTCAGCTAATATTTCAAAAACATTATCCAGCCACATTCTCAGTAAACATTTTTAAGAGGCCTGGGATGGGAGTAACGGCCAGCAGAGGAGGGCTTCTTCTTTCATTGATTAAGGGTCCCCTAGAGATCCAGAGAGGGAGCCCTGGAAGTGTAGTGGTTAAAACACTCAGCTGCTAACTGAAAGGTCAGCAGTTTGAATCCACCAGCTGCTCTGCAGGAGAAAGATGTGGCAGTCTGCTTTCTTAAAGATTACAACCTTGGAACCCTATGGGGCAGTTCTACCCTGTTCTATAGGGTCGATATGAGTTGGAATTGATTCAATGGCAGTGGGTTTAGTTTTTTTTTTTTTTTTTTTTTTTTTTTGGTAGACATCCAAAAAGCAGTTGAATTTTAATATTTCAGCTTAGAAGAATCTTCCTATACTTTTTTATTCTTTGAGGTCTACAGAAGTTCACGTCTTTCTTCTGGAGAGAAAGGAAGATCCTAAAATTAACAATCCATTGTATCTTTCTTCCCTCTGAAGCAATAGAATGGCTGGTGGTGTTTGCAGGACATCCCAAGACAAAGTCAAAGGAAATATTCCAAAATAAGCAAATGGGGAAAGAGACAGCAAAGAAGGTCCCTCCAAGGCTTTTGAGTGCTAATCCCACTTTCCAAGGTGAGGAAGGGAGGGATTCTAGAGTCCCACCAGAGGTCCCCTGGATCTTGAGCTGGGGCATCATGGCTCACCATCTGGTTGGTTCCGGGGGCCTCTCCAGGGTGACAGCAACTCCCCCACCTTCCCTTTCTGCCTCCAGTCTTAAGGCCGCAGATATTATTAAACGTATTCCCATTAGAGACGTCTCATAGGTACCAGAATAGAAACTGTACCTCCCCAGCTTTCCACCCTCCAGGACCCTACATTGCAAGCACACGTGTACTCACGCGCACACACACACACGTACACGCACACAGGCACGCACTTGACATCCAAATTTCTTCCAATTTTGAAATATTTCAAGAGTCCAAGAGACTGGGTCACAAGATTCCACAAAGATGGATAACAGAGCAAATATGAAGAATACAACTGCCTGGGGCATCTTTTTACACAGCAGTGGTTGCTAGCACTGATCACAAATAAGAGCATTGTTGCCACATTTGTTTTGCGTGTCCCCTGCTCTGTAAATGTGTGTGAAAGTTGTTTGTCCTTACAGCACAAAAGCACAGGGGTAGATAGAAACAGACCTAATGTTATACCCCAATCCCTAAATCAAACAGGCCACAGCAGACATCCCACTGGCTCGCTGATCCAACTACCGTAATAATCTCTTTTCTGTTTCCAACATAGGTGATAGAGAGGAATGCGGAACCAGAAGGGACTCTGCTGAACCTCCTGCGAAAGAACTGGATCCTTTTTGCCAAAGTCTTGGCCTTGTCTATGTTTGCTTAAAAACTTAGACCAACTGCAATTATGGGAATTAGTCAAACCCTACGTTCTGAAACAGCCAACTCCCTTGGCCTTTGCTCCCTAGGCCAAGATTTTTTGGCAGTGGTTTTAAGGATATTAGATTAATTGGACTCTTTTGGAGAGGATGAAGTTTCCTCAAAGTTTCTTTTATCTTAATTGAATAGCAGTGAAATATAAACTAAGCTCTTTACTTCAACTTTAGTTACTTCCTTAAGGGCTGACCAGCTCCCCACCAGTCTTGTTATGTAATGGAGGATTGTGTTGCACATGCCCCGCCCTTGAGTGAAACCAAATTCTCCAGGTTCCGTGAGAGTGTTTGTCATAGAAAAGATTTCTTCTCCCTACATCTGTTTTCTTACACCAGATCTTCCTCACTGTTATATTCTGAAGTACAGATCTACATGAGGCAAACACATTTTAATTGGTAAATCTAATGGATCTCTTAGAGAAGTCAAAACAAATAAATAACACAAATGACAAATTGATGGAGTTCGCCACCAGGCAAGTTTTGTTTAAAAGCCCACGTGTGTTTTTTAATTAATTTTCAATGTTCAAAAATTAGGAAATTTTATATTCAAAAAATCTAGACTTCCAGCTTCTCATGAAAAATGGGAATATATGCATTCCTGTGAAGCAAAATTCTTGCTTAGAGCTGAATAGGATTTATCCCTACTCCCCAATCTAAAATGGGCAGGAGTGCTCCAGTTACACCCAGCCCACCAGTTATTCACATAACCACTCTGATAAGCATTTGAAGTTATGATTCTTAATTTAGATGGACAAGCCCCGTGGTTTGAAAAAAAAAAAAAGTAATAGCAACAGAGTTTGTGATTCTGAAATCTTCTCAGCCAGTCCAGCTAATTGCATCCAATCCCGTCAATTATATGGAAATGGACCATGCGTAGGGAGAGGGATGGATAAAAGGAGGGAGCTGGGCTGAGCCTAGAGTTGGGATTAGGACCTGGAGGAAGCAGAAGCGGTGGGACACACAAGGTAGGATCTGAAATGAGGATGGGGATTTCTCTGAAGACTCACTAACTTGCTTTCAAAAGCAATAGAAATTACTGTACAAAACGAGTCATAATTGAGCTACTAAAAATAAAGTTCTTTCTTTCAATTACATGATTGGAAACTAGAAGACGTCATAAGAATGGGTGATGCAAACAATTAAGCGCTCAACTAGTAGTTGAAAAGTTGGCAGAGAAGAAGAGGTGCCTCAGAAAACAGGCCTAGAGATCTACTTCCTAAAGGTCACAGCCTTGAAAACCCTATGGAGCACAGTTCTGCTCTGTACGTGTGGGGTCACCTTGAGTTGGAATCAACTTGACGACAACAAACAGCAGCATAATGATTCAGGATTTTTCAAAGGGCTTTTACATGCTTCTGCAAGAGCTTATAATAAGCCTGTGCAAGTGAGATAGGTATTGCTTTTCCCTTTTGCAAATGAGAAAACAGGCAGGGACAGGTTAGTATGCCCAGTGTCACACCGCATGTAATAAAATACGGCGTGGCCTTTACCTAGAGGTAGGTGAATGACTTCTTAGACCTGCCTCTCTCCCCTCAAAGAAGATCTTCCTTGTAAGTGACACCCTGGAGACAGCTATATCCATCTTGGCATTTTTCCTTAATCAGCCCCTTCTTCCAGTACGCCTCACAGGAACCAAGTATGCCTGCGGACGAGGAGGCTGAGGAGCGTGCACCGTGATGGTATCCAGGCCCGATCCCATGTCCAAGAAGATAAGGTATCCTTCCTGGAAGCCTGGAAGCCCGGAGGGGCCTCTGTTTCTTTGCCAGGCTTGTATTCTCATCTCATAGCTGAAAGAGATCTTCAACGGCTTTCCAGGCCTGTGGTTCTTGCCGCCTCTGGATCTTAGACTCCCTCAGAAAATCTGTTAAAGCTATGATCCATTTACTCAGAAAACACAAAAACTAGTTACAGTTTGCATACAGTTTCAGGGAGATCATGGACGTCCCAAAACCCATTTATGCATGCCAGATTAAGAAACCTCAATTTAACTCAATCCTTCATTTTACAGATGAGGAAACTGAGGTTCAAAGAGATGAAGTGACTTGTTCAAGATCATACAACTAACAAGGACTTGAACCCACGTTTGTGTCTCTGAAGTTAATTCTTTTCCTACTGCTGACCTAGACCAAAAGGCCCTGTAGATTAGGCTTGGGCTATGATTCCATTCTTTACTTAAAGGTCAGTTTCCAGAACTTGTGCTTCTCCCAAATCTATTGGCCCAAGAAATCAAGAGATGGCTTAAAACATAGACCATCCAACACTGTCAAGTGACCTTATCCAGAAGGCTTAAAATTAACAAGCCAAAAAATCCCTAAATACACAGATATGGGTGGGTAAAAGACATAACTGTGTGCCTTTTATCTGCTATGGGGTCAATGTCCCAACAAGTACTAGTGTAAGTTCAACCACACTCCTAGTGACATGAGTCCATTTCTATTGCTCCCAGGTGTATCTGTTCTGGGCTTGGAAAGTTTTTTGAATGTTCAGAACACCCAGATTCACCCTAAGGATCTCCATTTCTTATAGACATTACAGAGTCAACCCCTTCTTCAGCGCCCCACCCCGTCAGCTGAGTGATGGGCTGCTATGGGTTTTCTCCTGCCTTCTTGGTTCCCAGCCTCCCCACAAGGCAGGACTGTGTTACTCATCTTGATTTTCCTTGTGTTTCTCATACAAAGACACTTCTCCATCACTGCCTGCCTGGTGCCCATCTGCTCTCTATATGGAGCTGCTGTCACCACCGTGGAAGGTGTTGGAAGCATCAAAACTAGGATTCACCCCGTGCAGGTGAGAGCACATCCTAAGTTTCTCATTTCTTAACCTCACCTTTTGAACAAATGCTGTGTTTACCGTGCTGTCTGAGGCTTCCAGGTTGTGATCAGGTAAGTAGAAATTTTGGATGCATATTGATCAGGGTAATGGTATTTGTTAGTGATTTCAGAGAAAGCTGGGAATCTGTCCAAATTTTATTAAATTATCATCTTTTTTCTTACCTTTTCTACTTGAATGATAAACAGAATGATCAAAATATTGATTGATGCCTAGCAGACTGTAGTCTAGAATAAATATTATAGAAAGGATATTACACATAGAATAAAACGTCTCACAGGCCAACAGGATAAAATCCAGGATTATCCTCTGTGACATGGAGTTGCTGGGAGTGAAATCAAAATTGATGGAGGAGGGAGTAGGAGACAGAGGTGAGTGGAATCTAAAACTGATTTTACCAAAACAATCATTTCTCCAAATCCTAACTTGAAGCCAAAATGCAGAGGCTGGTTTTAAGAGTACTGTGGCATGCATTGGCAGAGAATATGTCAATTCCCCTGTAATTGTCACAGAGACTTGGGGAAATCATAGAACCAGAATGACCAACATTGCAAGTCCTTCTAGGCAGGAGGAGCCTAGAGGGTCTGGACCCAGCAAAGTCTTTTGGGCAGGAGGTCAAAGAGGATGTTCACAAGCCCGTTGATATACCTGAAACCTAGGATTTCATTATCTTAAATTTTAGTCTTAAAACAGGGCTGCTCAAACTTTAGTGGGAGCTTGTTAAAAATGCAGATTCTGAGTCAGGAGGTTTGGGGCAGGCAACTGAGGTTCTGCATTTTCTACAAGTTCCCAGGCAGAAACAATCTGCTAGTCCAAGAACCACACTTTAAATAGCAAAGACCTAGGACACAGATCAAGGTTTTGCATCTTTGAAAGTAGAGCTCCCTTTAAGCCAACACAGAAGAATTTAAAGAATAAAAGGAGATCAACAGTAATCTCCAAGTTAAACAAAAAATGTGGCCTCATGGTCAGTACTAAGCTGTACAAGATATGAAGGTGTCCAAGAAAAATCTTTTTGGAACTTATACTGTACTCTCCTTATAATTATTGATTTCTAGAGAATTCTTCTTGCTCTGTGAATGGCACACTGCTAATTCCCAAGTAGAAGGGTTTGAGCATTTGATCTTCATGAGTTATTGCAACAATGGAATATGGCATCTGAGTCACCTCCTCCAGTCCAAACTAGGAAAAGGAGAGGGGTGCATTTGCTCAGGGAGTAAGTTCCACCATGACAAGGGTATGGAACCCAGTGGGGAGTTGGTGACAACAGGAAGGCAGGGCCTGTGACCTTGCATGTGTCCCTCCAGGAGAGAATCGCCAAGAGTCATGGCACCCAGTGTGGATTCTGTACCCCTGGGATGGTGATATCCATGTACACGCTCCTGAGGAACCACCCAGAGCCTTCAGAGGAGCAGCTCATGGAAGCCCTGGGGGGTAAGTCTGACATGGAGAAAACCCACCACTCACCCAAGGTCAAAAACAAAGTATGCTAAAGGCTGCTCCACTCTACTGCCAACACCCTCCCAATCCCCATGAAAGTCCCCCTTCAGCTGTTTGTAAAGTAGCCACATTTCACCCAGGAGCAGAGAAGAACGCCAAGCTGCACCCTGTTTGTCAGAGCACACGCTTGAAACAGCCTCCACAGGACTAACACACTGCATATGGGCCACACCACCTACCTTGGCACCCACTTCTCCATCCAGTGACTTACTTGGCCTTCCCCATTAAGGATCCTTCAACATCGAAAGGATCCTTTAAAAAGTGCAATGCGTTTAAGTTGCTAAAAAGGAGGCCGTAAGCACGTCCCTTTTGCAGCATCAATAAACATCATTTTCAGGTGCCAATAATCCCTAAACAAGTCATCCATTACATACACAAGTTCTTAGATTGACTCATAGCAACCCTATAGGACAGTGTAGAACTGCACCCATAGAGTTTTCAAGGCTGTAATCTTTATGGAAGGAGATCGCTACATCTTTCTCCCTCAGAGCAGCTGGTAGGTTCAAACCATGGACCTTTCAGTTAGCAGCTGAGCACTTAGCCACTGCAAGTTGGAATAGACTCAGCGGCAACAGGTTTGGTTTGGCTTCTTACACTGAGTACTGACAGGTGAGCACAGACACACTCTTCTGTTCTGCCAACCTCTTTACTCTCTTTGTCTCTCTCTGCTCTGATACAGAAAATCAGATTGATTTATCTAAGATCTCCAGCTTCCTTAGGTCCTTCTGCTATTTGAGGCTCTTCAGTGGCCCCTTGTCAGTAAAGCATAGCCAAGCCTAATTTCCTTAACCAGGCATTCAGAGAAGCCCAACAACTGGCCTCACTAACCCATGGTTCCTGCCCTTCCCGCTGTGGGACTCCCTGCAGGCCAATTTCCTACCTGATACACATTCCCACTTCTGTACCTTTGCTTTTGCTGCTCTGTGAGCCCAGTACCACCCTCTCCACCAAGCCATTGATTGCTCATCCTTCAAGCCTGGGCTACTTTGAGAAGGCTTTCCATGTGAACTCTCTTCCACGTGTCTTCATCCTTGGAAACCTCTAGTTCTCAAACTCTACAAAAGAATTACCTGCAGATCTATTACATGCAGTTCCAGGGCTCACCCCAGACATTGTGATTCAGGAGAACTGGAGTAGAGCTGGGGATCTGCATTTTTAACAAATACTCCCCAGGAATTTTGATGCATTGACCTAAGAGCCACTGAGAAGTGCTGCTGACAAACCATCCACTGTATACGTTGCTTATATAGAGCCTTAAAAACCAGTTGCTTTCAAGTCAACTGCAACTCATGTTGACCTCATGTGTGTCAGAGTAGAATTATGCTCCGTAGGGTTTTTAATGGCTGATTTTTCAGAAGTAGATCTCCAGGCCTTCCTTCCAAGGTGACTCTGGGTGGACTCAAATCTCCAACCTTTCGTTAAGCAGCCATGTGTTAACAGTTTGTACCACCCTGGGCCTCCACATAGAGCCTATACTGTCTGTGTTTTACTGAGCCCTGGCAGTGCAGTGGTTAAAGTGCTCGGCTGCTAACCAAAAGTTTGGCAGTTCCAACTCACCAGCCATTCCACAGGAGAAGATGTGGCAATCTGCTTCCGTAAAGATTTACAGCCTTGGAAACCCTATGGGGCTGTTCTACTCTGTCCTATAGTGTCCCTATGAGTTGGAATTGACTCAACGGCAATGGATTTGGTTTTAGCTCGGTCTGTGTTTTGTGGTCCCTAACATCTTGAGTAGTGTCTGAAATACAGTTGTTGTCAATAAATACTTGAAGTTATAGCACTTGACATTAATTTATCTCAGGAAAAATCAGATAACATAATTTTTAAAAATGAAGAAACCCTAAGAATTATGTGGGACACTATCAAGAGGAACAACCTATGAGTGATTGGAGGACCAGAACAGGGTGGATAATAGAAAATACAGAGAGAATTGTTGAAGATTTGCTGGCAGAAAACTTCCCTGATATCGTGAAAGACGAGAAGATATCTATCCAAGAAGCTCATCAAACCCCAAAGAGGTGAATCCCAAAAGAAAGTCACCAAGACGTATTATAATCAAACTTGCCAAAAGCAAAAACAGAGAATTTTAAGAGTGGCTAGGGATAAACGAAAAGTCACCTACAAAGAGTCAATAAGACTAAGCTCTGACTACTCAGCAGAAACCATGCAGGCAAGAAGGCAATGGGATGACATACACAAAGCCTTGAAGGAAAATAATTGCAAGCCAAGAATTATACATCCAGCAAAACTGTCTCTCAAATATGAAGGTGAAATTAGGGCATTTCCAAATAAACAGAAGTTAAGGGAATTTTATTAAAAAAAAAACAAAATTACAGGAAATATTAAAGGGAGTCCTCTGGCTAGTGAACCAACAATATCTGATAACAACCCAAGACTAGAATACAGGACAGAACAACCAGATATCAACCCAGATAGGGAAGTCATAAAAACAAGTCAAAGCTAAAACACTGAAAATAGGGAAACAGAGACGTCAATATGTAAATGATGATAACATTAAAACAAAAAAGAGGGACTAAATAGTGTTGTCACTGCACTTTCATATGGAGAGGAAGTTAAGGCGTATCAAGAAATAAAAGATTGGTTTAAACTTAGAAAAACAGAGGTAAATTTTAATGTAACCACAAAGGAGACTAACAAATCTACCCATCAAAATAAAAAAGAAGAAAAATATAAAGATTCAGCAAATACAAAATCAACAATAATGAAAAAGATGAAAAGAAAATACATAAAGAAAAATGACTTAGCACAGAAAATTAAGTGGAACAAAGAAACTGTCAACACCACAAAAAAAATACATCAAAATGACGGCACTAAACTCATACCTATTGATAATTGTGCTGAATGTAAATGGACTAAATGCACCAATAAAGAGAAAGAGAGTGGCAGAATGGATAAAAAAACACGATCCATCTATATGCTGCCTACAAGAGACACAACTTAAACTCAAAGACACAAACCAAAACTCAAAGGATGGAAAAATATATATCAAGCAAACAGCAATTAAAAAAGAGCGGGAGTAGCAATATTAATCTCTGACAAAATAGACTTTAAAGCAAAATCCAGCAAAAGGATAAGGAAGGATACTATATAATGATTAAAGGGTCAATACACAAGGAAGACATAACCATAATAAATATTCACACACCTAATGACAAGGCTCCAAATTACATAAAACAAACTCTAACAGCATTGAAAAGAGAGATAGACAGATCAACAATAATAGTAACAGACTACAACACACCACTTTCAGTGAAGGACAGAACATCTAGAAAGAAGCTCAATAAAGACACGGAAGATCTAAGTGCCACAGTCAGCCAGCTTGACCTCATAGACATATACAGAACACTCCACCCAACAGCAGCCAATTATACTTTCTTTTCCAATGCACATGAAACATTCTCCAGAATAGACCACATATTAGGCCGCAAAGCAAGCCTTAACAGAATCCAAAACATCGAAATATTGCAAAGCGTCTTTTCTGACCATAAAGCCACAGAAGTAGAAATCAACAACAGAAAAAGCAAGGGAAAAAAATCAAAGACATGGAAACTGAACAACACCTTGCTCAAAAACTACTGAGGTATAGAAAAAAATCAAGGACAGAATAAGGAATTCATAAAATCAAATGAGAATGAAAACACATCTTACCAGAACTTTTGAGATACAGAAAAGCAGTGCTCAGAGGTCAATTTACAGCAATAAATGCACACATCCAAAAAGAAGAAGGGGCCAAAATCAAAACATTAGCCCTACAACTCAAACTAATAGAAAGAGAGCTGTAAAAGAAGCCCTCAGGCACAAGAATAAAGGAAATAATGAAGATTAGAGCAGAAATAAATGAAATAGAGAATAGAAAAACAGTACAAAGAGTCAACAAGACCAAAAGCTGGTTTTGAAAAGATCAACAAAATCAATAAGCCATCGGCCAAACTGACGAAAGAAAAACAGAAGAGGAAGCAAATAACCCGAATAAGAAATGAGATGGGCGATATCACAACAGACCCAAGTGAAATAAAAAGAATCATAACAGAATACTATGAAAAATTGTACTCCAACAAATTTGAAAACCTAGAGGAAATGAACAAATTTCTAGAAACACACTACCTACCTAAACTAACACAAACCAAGGTAGACAAACTAAATAAATCTATAACAAAAGAAGAAATTGAAAAAAACTCCCAACAACAACAACAAAAAAAAGCCCTGGCCCTGACAGCTTCACTGGAAAATTCTACCAAACTTTCAAAGAAGAGTTAACACCAGTACTACTAAAAATATTTCAGAGCATAGAAAAAGATGGAATACTCCCAAACTCATTCTATGAAGCCAGCATAACCTTGATACCAAAGCCAGGTAAAGACACCACAAAAAAAGAAAATTATAGACCATTATCCTTCATGAACATAGACACAAAAATCCTCAACAAAATTCTAGCCAATAGAATTCAACAACAAATCAAAAAAATAATTCATCATGACCAAGTGGGATTTATACCAGGTATGCAGGGATGGCTCAACATTAGAAAAACAATTAATGTAAAGCATCACATAAATAACACAGAAGACAAGAACCACATGATCTTATCAATTGATGCAGAAAAGGCATTTGAAAAAGTCCAATACCCATTCATGATAAAAACTCTCAGCAAAATAGGAACAGAAGGGAAATTCCTCACCATAATAAAGGGCATTTACACAAAGCCAACAGCCAACATCATCCTAAACAGAGAGAGTCTGAAAGCATTCCCCTTGAAAATGGTAACCAGACAACGATGCCCTTTATCACCACTCTTATTCAACATTGTGCTGGAGGTCCTAGCCAGAGCAATAAGGCAAGAAAAAGAAATAAAGGGCATCCAAACTGGTAAGGAAGAAGTAAAAGTATCCCTATTTGCAGATGATATGATCTTATACACAGAAAACCCCAAAGAATCCACAAGAAAACTACTAGAACTAACAGAAGATTTCAGCAAAGTATCAGGATACAAGATAAACATACAAAAATCAGTTGGATTCATTTACACTAACAAAGAGAACCTTGAAGAGGAAATCACCAAATCAATACCATTTACAATAGCCCCCAAGAAGATAAAATACTTAGGAACAAATCTAACCAGAGATGTAAAAGACCTATAGAAAGAAAACTACAAAACACTACTGCAAGAAACCAAAAGAGACCTACATAAGTGAAAAAACATACCTTGCTCATGGATAGGAAGACTCAACATTGTGAAAATGTCAATTCTAACCAAAGCAATCTGCAGATACAATGCAATCCCAATCCAAATTCCAATGGCATTTTTTAATGAGATGGAGAAACAAATCACCAACTTCATATGGAAAGAGAAGAGGCCCCGGATAAGTAAGGCATTACTGAAGAAGAAGAACAAAGTGGGAGGCCTCACTCTACCTAATTTTAGAACCTATTATACCACCACAGTAGTCAAAACAGCCTGGTACTGGTACAACAACAGATACGCAGCCAATGGAACAGAATCGAGAATCCAGACATAAATTCATCCACCTATGGGCAGCTGATATTTGACAAAGGCCCAAAATCTGTTCACTGGAGAAAAGACAGTCTTTTTAACAAATGGTGCTTGCATAACTGGATATCCATCTGCAAAAAAACTGAAATAAGACCCAAACCTCACACCATGTCCAAAAACTAACTCAAAATGGATCAAAGACCTAAATATAAAATTGAAAACGATAAAGATCATGGAAGAAAAAATAGGGACAATGCTAGGAGCCCTAATACATTGCATAAACACAGTACGAACCGTAAGTTAACAATGCACAAACATCAGAAGAGAAAGTAGATAACTGGGAGCTCCTAAAAATCAAACACTTATGCTCATCAAAAGACTTCACCAAAAGGTTAAAAAGACAACTTACAGACTGGGAAAAAAATTTTGGCTACAACATATCTGATCAGGCTCTGATCTCTAAAATCTACAAGACACTGCAACACCTCAACAACAAAAAGACATATAACCCAAGTAAAAAATGGGCAAAGGATATGAACAGGCACTTCACCAAAGAAGATATTCAGGAGACTAACAGATACATGAGGAAATGCTCACAATCATTAGCCATTAGAGAAATGCAAATCAAAACTACAATGAGATATCATCTCACTCCAGCAAGGTTGGCACTGATCCAAAAAACACAAAAGAATAAATGTTGGAGAGGTTGTGGAGAGACTGGAACACTTATGCCCTGCTGGTGGGAATGTAAAATGGTACAATCACTTTGGAAATCGATTTGGCACTTCCTTAAAAAGCTAGAAATAGAAGTTCCATACGATCCAGCAGTCTCACTTCTTGGAATATATCCTAGAGAAATAGGAGCCTTCACACGAATAGATATATGCACACCCGTGTTCATTGCAGCACTGTTGACAATAGAAAGAAGATGGAAACAAACTAGGTGCCCATCAACAGACAAATGGATCAACAAATTATGGTATGCACACACGATGGAATACTACGCCATGATAAACAACAGTGTTGAATCTGAAAAACATCTCACAACATGGATGAATCTGGAGGACATTATGCTGAGTGAAATTAGTCAGTCACAAAAGGACAAATATTGTATCAGACCACTATTATAAGAACTCATGAAAAGGTTTAAACACAGAAGAAAATATTTTTTGATGGTTACAAGGGTGGGGAGGAAGGGAGAGGGTAATTCACTAACTAGATAGTAGACAAGAATCATCATAGGTGAAGAAAAGGACAACACACAATACAGGAGAAGTCAGCACAACTGGACTAAAGCAAAAGCTAAGAAGTTTCCTGAACTCAACCAAACACTATGAGGGACAGAGTAGCTGAGGCTGGGGCCTGGGGACCATGGTTTTGGGGACATCGAGGTCAACTGGCATAACAAAGTTTATTAAGAAAATGTTCTGCATTCCACTTTGCTGAGTGGCTTCTGGGGTCTTAAAAGCTTGGAAGCAGCCATCTAAGATGCATCAATTTTTCCAAACCCACTCGGAGCAAAGGAGAATGAAGAACACCAAAGATACAAGGAAAATATTAGCCCAAGAGACAAAAGGGCCACATAAACCAGGGACTCCATCAGTCTGAGACCAGAACTAGATGATGCCCGGCTACCACCAATGACTGTCCTGACAGGGAAGGCAACAGAGAGTCCCTGATGGAGCAGGAGAAAAGTGTGGAGCAGAACCCAAATTCACGTAAAAAAACCAGACTTAGTGGTCTGACTGAGACTGGAGGAACCCCCAAACCCATGGCCCCTGGTTGTTCTGTTAACCCAGAACTAAAACCATTCCCAAAGCCCACTCTTCAGACAAAGATTAGACAGGGCTATAAAACATAAAATAATACTCGTGAAGAGTGTGCTTCTTAGTTCAAGCAGATACATGAGACCAGATGGTTGGCTCCTGTCCAGAGGCAGGATGAGAAGGCAGGAAGGGACAGGAACTGACTGAACGGACACAAGAAACCCGAGGTGGAAAGAGGGGGTGTGCTGTCACATTATAGGGATTTTAACTAACGTCACATAACAATATGTGTATAAATTTTTGTATGAGAAACTAACTTGAGCTGTAAACTTTCACCTAAAACACAATAATAAATAAATACTTGTTGCATGAATGAATAGATTAATAGATGGATAGAAGTTATCTCACCGGCTAGACTATCATCTTCTTGAGGACAGAGAATAAAATTGGAATTGAGGTGGTGAGGAGGGTAGTATTTTAATGAGAAGAAAAAAGCATTGAACAGTATAACAGACATTAAAACACTCTCAAAAAATATATAGTTGGGTCTGTTTCAACTTTCAAAATAAACCAGCAAAAATCAAGCCTGCTGACAACCATGCGTCTTCTCTGATTAGGCAACCTATGCCGCTGCACTGGGTATCGGCCAATTCTTGCAAGTGGAAGAACCTTCTGCATGGTGAGTAGGTGACTGTGTGAACACCCCGCAGAGCATAAAATGTGACAGTCACAGCTGTTCAGGACTGGAAACACAGTAATTGAATTTTTTAGACAATCTAAGCAGACTGTAAGGGAAACCACGAGACTTAACTCCAACTAACTCATGGGAGTTTTAGCTATTTGTTGAGGACAGGGTGACTGTTGCAGGTGACAAGAGGTGGATGTTGTCAAATCAAAACCACAGAGAAAAGTCAGGTGATCTATCTGTCCATCCAGACATTTTCCAGATGAGAGAGCTCCCACAAATCCAAGGAAACAAACAAGGGGATGGAGTTTGAGTCGGTGAGGCAAGGTTAGTTCCAAGAATCCTGGCCAGCTGGAAAAGTGCGAGCAGATGAAAAATCTGGACTTGCAGGGTGGAGTCCAAAACCCACCCCAAGTACAAGAGCACAGAGAGTTTCCTCTACAAAACAGGGATGTCTCACTGGGCTATTTTGAAGATCAAATGAGAGATCACAGGTGTAAGGCACACAGCAAAGTCTTACTTGCCAGTTAGTGAGAACTCAACAAAGAGTTACTACTGTTACTGTGGATGTTGTCGATGCTATGAGTATATTTGACAGGGACACCAGGAGCAGACAGGCACATCTGAGAGAAGGATGGATGTGGGCAGTACTACCCCTAGACCCAAGCAAGGGGGACCCCACACTTTAGAGGCCCCCTCTTTGGTACTTCTCCAAGGAGTCTGTGGGGCCAACGTGACTTGCCTACCTGGAGTCTTCACCTCTCTTCTAACCATGCTCTGGGTATACAAGACTCCCGAATTCCCTGCCCAAATGAGCTTAAGCCCACCTCTAGGGGCTTACACAAGCCACTTTCCTGAGTTCATCCTCCTAGGGTAGATGATAACAGCCAGTGTGTGCACCCCAGCCAGGTCAAGGGGTGGCCAAAAAGCGGCTGTTTGTGGGGGGAGTGGGCCAAGCTTGGACATTCAGGCTGGGGTACTCACACAGTATTTGAAGCCCCTCACTAGGCAGAATCGAGCCAGGGTGAGAAAGAAGGGGAGTAGGCTAAGGCCTGGACTCCATTGTACTCTTGCCCAACTTCACAAATAGCAGGGGCAAGCCTGGAAGTGGACCAGCAGGTGTGTCCCTCTCCCCAGAGCACGACCCCCATGTGTGTCCCAGACTTCTGCCACACAGGAGAGCCAAAGTTGACAAGCTGAGAAGTAAAATGAATAGCTTGTGAGCTCAGCAAATTGTGCATGTAAATGGAAAAGCACTTGTGAAATAGAAACAAAGGAAATTAAAGGAAACTTCCCTCCCTCTGGCGGGAAGTCCTATTTGTGGATGTTATCCACCTTTCCAGGCAGACTCTGGGGATACAGGCAAAAATGCAGTCAGAGATCCCACCCTGATGCCAACACGTCCCATGGGACTTTCATGGGAGAAAGCAATCCAGCCCAGAGGAAATATGCAAAGCTTCTCTCTACTGGGCCAAGATAAGACTGGCTTCTTGCCATTATTGCTGGCTCATGGCCAATCCTAGAAGCTCTCAGAGCTTTGAGTAAGAGAGGAGGCTCTGCTCGCTTGACCTAGTTGTTTTTGCCTCCTGCACAGAGTTAGGAAGATGGCAGCCTGAGACACTTGGGCAGAAGCAGAGAACCGAAATCTCTGAAAGAAATTATTTTGAGAGATACTTAGAAAAAATGTATTTGAGATAGAAAACGTAAGAGACAAATTTGGAGGAAATGAGAAATGAAAGAGCAGGCAACAGAAAGCTGCTTTAAAATTCATAGATTGTCAGCACAGTCTCCGTCAGCCCGATGCAGATCCCAGATGTCTGGGAGAGCTGATTAGCTTTTCTTTTTTTTAAAAGGCCCTTACATAGGGTTGCCATGAGTTGGAATCAACTCTACAGCAACTAGTTTGGTTTTTTTGGTTTTATATGAATGATACTCGGTGTTACTAAATCCTATATATGTTAGTGAAGGGATAAATTGTTACCTCCCTGTAGAGCATCTTATCGAGTAATTCTACCACTAGGAATTAAGCTAAGGAAAAAATTCAGAGATGTACACAAAGTAGTATATATAAAAATGTTTATTGCAATGTTATTTATAATTATCAAATATAGGGAAAAAACTAAATATACATCAATAGGAAATTTTACAAGTATATTATGGAATAGCCAGAAGATGGAATATTATATTTTAAAGACCTTTTGAGGACATGGAGGAATGCCCACAATATAAATAAACAAGTAAGCAAATAAGTGAGCAAAACAGTGGGCAGATAAAAGAATAAAAAGTATGTTTATAATACAAGCCCAAATATATGGTATGTCAAAATATTATCAGTGGAATAGGGTAATGATAGATTATTTCTTCTCTAGTTCTCTATATTCTATATGTATTACATTTATATATTTATGTATATTATATATTGTCATATTATGTATTTTATATATTCTATATGTGTCACTTTTAGAAAGAAAAATAAGACAAATGGAGAAAGGCCTTGTGATTATCCCTATGTCAATGTTATATTCCAATAGAAACCACTAAAAGTGGTTTAAAAAGTCTGAAACCTCATTTAAATTGCCAGACCTTTGAAGGCACGTACTCTTTTCCTGTAAAAAAGTGCTCAATAGTAAGCCATTTCACTTTCTTAGGAGTCAAATGGCTGTCAACAGAAAGGAACAGAAGAATGCTGCTTGGACCAGGGAGAAAATGATTCTTCTCCACTCGGCAGGAAAAGTGAGGTGGGTCTGTTTGTTTTGCCCTTGCCCTGACAGTACTGCTTCATGGCCTGACAGTGGTTGAGGCTGGTCTGGCGTTGAAACTGTGCTTCTTGGTTTTAGTAGTCATTCTTTACCTGCAACTGTAAGTGCATGCATGAAAAAAACGCTCTTCACTTGGGAAGTGAATTAAGTGGTGATAGAAAGCCCATATTCTGATTTTCCCCTTCACAGTCTTGAGGGCTGAAACAACAGGAAAACAAAACGCTGTTCAGACAAGAGAAGAAAGAACTACCCCAACTCTGGATGAGTTAGTTCCATTCTCAGGTGGAAATAGATGTTGGTAGCTGCCCCTACTCAGGCAGGGTCTTCTTCCATTACTATGTCTCCTCCTTTTTAGAGAGAGGACGTGCAAACCCAGGAAGTCTGGGGAGCCCATCCAGTCACATGGCAAGTTAATGGCTCCCACAGTTAGGAAGTCCAGCCTTAAATGTTCACGTCTCTGGCTTTGCTTCCTGAGAGGCTCTGTTGTTATTGTTGTTGGCTGCCGTCAAGTCAGCCCCAACTCATGGCGACCCCACAGGAACAAAACACTACCCAGTCCTGACTGTTGTGATCCATAGAGTTTTCATTGGCTAATTTTTGGAAGTAGATTGCAAGGCCCTGCTTGCTACTCCTTCTTAGTCTCTAAGCTCTGCTGGAACCTTTTCAGCATCATAGCAACATGCAAATCTTCACTGACAGACGGGTGGTGGCTGTGCTCTAGGTACACGGGCCGGGAATCCAACCTGGGTCTCTGGCATGGAAGGCTAGAATTCTACCACTGACCCACCACCACAAGTGTCTCACCTGGGAGACACTTGTTTCTGAGAAAGACCCACTGCCAAGTGCTTCAAGAAATTACATAGAGAAGTTAAAATACAGGATAAAATAAGGAGTCTGCCCCTGTAGACAAGGAAATCTGAAAGAACACATTTGCTTTAGATAAAACTGTATCTGTCATCCCCCTCCTGTATCTATTTCTAGCTCTCAGACCTACTTGTTCCCATTCTTGACCTTCCCATCATCACCTTATTTTGGTCTGAAAAATGTACACAATGGAACAGAGGAGTATTGTCTGACGAAGGTGGGCTGCACCCCAACCCCCACCACCTTGGGGGGGTTAGTGTCTTAAACCCGTTCCCGTTGCCATGCAGTCAATTCCAACTCATAGCTACCCTAAAACTGCCCCATAGGGTTTCCAAGGAGCACCTGGTGGATTCAAACTGCCAACCTTTTGATTAGCAACCAAGCTCTTAACCACTGCGCCACCACGTCAGTGTCTTAGAGGGATCAAAACATTCTAAAGTCCGGTTCTCAATTTTGTGGCCTCAAGAATTCAATCTGTGCAATGGTTAGACTCTATCTGACTCATTTTAACCACATTCACAGGAACATGATATTTAAACAGGAATGTGCCCCAATATTCATTTATAAGGGGAAACAAATTATAAAGTAGACTTTGTGATCACTGAACCATTTATCCTTTCCTTGTAAACCCAAAAAAAACCAAACCCGTTGCCATCGAGTCAATTCCGACCCATAGCGACCCTATATAGAGAGTAAAATTATAACGAGAAGGTTGGTGAGCATGGACTCGGAGCAGTTGGACCATCTTAATGGGTAGCATCATTGAAGTACCAACACCCCTCTCTTCCCCCAGGGTTGTTGTTGATGTTAGGTGCCGTCGAGTCAATTTCAGTTCATAGCAACCACCTGTGGCAGAGTAGAACTGCCGCATAGGGTTTTTAGGCTATAATATTTACGAGTGCAGATTGCCAGGTGCTTCTCTCGAGAAGCCACTGACTGGGAGGGTTTGAACTGCTAACCTAATGAGCACTTGACCATTGCGCCACCAGGAGAGACTTGCTAAATAGCCAGGTGCCCGTCCCTGTGACTCTTCCTTTGCTCTGCCTCCCTGGAGACCAAACTCCCCTTCTGGAGAGCGCATGCTTTAAGCTATGTGAACATCTTCCAAGGCCAACTATCAAGTCTTGATTTAGGGAAACCTTTCATTTCTCTTTTCTGATTCCTTCTGTCTGTTTTACATTTTAACTCCCAGGAACAATCTTACACCTACATTTTAAGGACATACCACGTTACTGTCCCAGGTACTGCCTGCACTCCTAATTCCAATGAAAGTGAAAACTGATCATGCAGATGCTGGCCTGTAATGCTTCAGTCTGTGACCCTACTAAGAATCTTTATGAGAAACAGTTACAAGTTTTCCTTCTGGAACTGGGAGATCAGAGAGACAGAGAAAGAGGGTGAATGTGGGACAAATGTCAGGCCATTTCACCTAATTATCAAAATGACCCTGCAAAATATGTTTTATTTCCACCTAATCTTTAGAAAGTGTAAGTACCTTTCCATTGAAAGGGTCAGAGAGCAAGCCGTGGCAGAGCTGATAGTGAACCCCCATCTGCCTGCCTCCATGTCTACGTACGCTCTTCTCCACTGCATCCACCTCCACCCCTGCATCCCACGCTTCTCTCCCAATCTTTCTCATCTCTTCAGGAATGTGGGAATAAGCATCTTCCAAGCCTAAAACAGATCTGAGGTTACCTAAACCTCGCAGTGTACTTTAGTTTCCTAATCAGTAAAATGGAGACAATAATATACTTTCTTTACACAATTGTTGTGAGGACTGAATAAATTATTAACACTTGTAAAGGCATTTGGAATGTAAGCACTCAGTAAATGTTAACTCTACAGATCCCAACAGTCCAATCCACAACCAATCATGGGGATGGCACAGGCCTGGCAGCATTTTGTCCTGTTGGGCATGGGGGTCCCCATGAGCTGGGAGCTGACTTAATGACTGCTAAAAACCACAGCATTGTTATTAAACTTAGAGGTATGTGGAGCCTGGAGAATGTGATTGATGCCCCTGAATTATACATGTAAAGATTGTTGAATCGGCAAATGTTTTATGTGTATTTTTACCACAATTTCAAAAAATGTGTCATACATGCGCGTGTGTGCATGTATGTGTGTGTTTATGCTTGTGCGTATGTGTTCAAGGCCATTTTTATTTTAACTGCAGAACTTCCCAGGGCTTTTAACGTTTTGCATCTTGGCTTGGCAGGAGAGGCTGGGTCACAGCAAGAGTATTTCCAAACTCAGTTGACCTCTGATAGTTTTTTCATAGAATGTCTTGATGTGTCACAGAATACTCTTTGGAGTATTTCCTAGAATACTCTTTTGTTTTGTATTGTATTAGTGGAAAATTAGTATTTCCTTATTTAAAACTTTCTTTGGCTTGAACTATTCCCCCACCCAAGGAGAGTAGGAGAGTTATTGTTACATTCATCTTGCCTAATTCATGTAAATAATTACAACACTGTTTCCAACTGAGCTGGGATGACAGGCCTTCTTCTTCCTTTTATAAAGATGTGCAGTGAATTATTTGCAAAAGAGGAGTTCCAGCCCTTGGACCCTACCCAGGAGCTCATATTTCCCCCAGAACTCTTGGTAAGATGAGTTGGGTGTTTTCGCGCTTGCTTAAATATCCAAAAAACCAAACCAAACCCTTTGCTGTCAAGTTCACTCCAACTCATAGCAACCCTAAAGGACAGAGTAGAACTGCCCCGTAGGGTTTCCGAGGAGCAGCTGGTGGATTCGAACTGCCGACCTTTTGGTTAGCAGCCAAGCTCTTAACCACTGTGCCAGCAGGTCTCCTGTTTAAATATCACTGGTTATAAATTGAGTTTTATAAAACCATCTGTTTTCCTGCCTATGAAACTATCACATTGTGAAAATGTTTGATCTGATCAAGATGTCTTCTCCCTCCCCAGCTAACCGAGCTGACCCCTTAAACACATTCCCTGAAGCCTCAGCAGAGGCTATTTTCAAAATGATTTCATCATTACTCTTCATTGTCATCTAGAATGTATCCCTATTGACTGTCCCAAGTGAAAGAACTTTGTTCAGGTTTAACTTGGTCTTTCCAGCCACTCTAGTTCAGGGCCCAGAGGAGCCCTCCCCACCTATTCCTCACCCTTCTCTCCATGCACACCTCCATCTTTCTTATCAGGCAGACACTGGTCCCATTCTATAAAATACCTATTTCTGAAGACGTTCTGATGTGTTTATTCATTCATTCAACAAATATGTATTCATTCAACAACGTGCCAGGCGCTATTCTAAGTACTGAATATACGTTGACGTTAGGTGTCGTTGAGTTGATTTCGACTCATAGTGACTCCATGTGAAAGAGTAGAGCTGCCCCATAGGGCTTTCTAGGGGTGGCACAGTGGGTAAGCACTTGCCTGCTAACCAGAAGATTGGAGGTATGAAACCACCAGTCGCTCCACAGGAGAAAGTTGTGGCTGTCTGCTTCCATAAAGATTTACAGCCTTGGAAACACTATGGGGAAGTTCTATTCTGTCCTATAGGGTTGCTATGAGTCAGAATCGACTTGATGGCAATGGGTTTTTTTGGTTTAATTTTTACAGGAATAGCTCTCCAGGTCTTGTCTCCCACAGAGAGGCTGGTGAGTTCGAACTGTAACCTTTCTGTTACCACCTGAGTGCTTAACCATTGCACCACCAGGGATCCTTACTAAATATATAGCAGGGAACAAAACTAACAAAAAGATTTGCCCGTGAGGAGCTTGTAATCTGGTGAGACAAACAATAAGCAAGATAATAGGTAAAAGATATAATGTGTTAGCTAGTGAGAAGTGTTAAGAAGAAATAGAACAGAGATGAGGGATATGAAGGGTGGAAGACGGAAATGAGATTGTAAATAGCTTGGCCAGAGATTTAGCTGAGAAGGTAACATTTGAATAAAGTCCTGAAGAAGTGAGAGTGTCAGCCATGAGGATATCTGTGGAAAGAGCAATCTAGGCAATGTGAACAGCAAGTGCAAAGTCCTAAGGGTAGGAGAACACCTGGCCTGATCAGGGAACAGAGTGGAGGCCAGCCTGGCTGGAGTGGAGTGAGCGAGGGGAAGGGCAGAAGCTGTCAGGTGCAGACCATGCCAGACCTTATGCTGCCTGACTTTTACTCATCATGAGATGAGAAGCTATTGGGGATTTGGACAGAGGAGGGATATGCTCCTACTGACATTGCAATGGCATCATCTGGCTGGTATATCGAGAATGGCCTGCAGAGGGGCAAAGAAAAGAGCAGTGAGCCCAGTTAGGGGCTAACACCATCATGAGAGAGGGTGATGGCTGAACCAGGGTGGTGGGTGGAGGTGGTGAGAAATGAGTGAGTTCTGGATATATTTTGGAAGAAGAGCCAACAAGATTTGCTGATGGATGTGACATAAGGTATGAGAGAGAGACTGGAGTCAAGGCTGACTCCAGGGCTTTGGAAGCATGAAACGACCATTTACAGAGATGGGGCAGACCCCTGGAGAAACAGGGTATTTTTCCCTTTGAAGGTTCCCTTTTGATGGCAGGGGGACTTGGAAGGGGACTTGGATATAAGGAGCTCAGTTTTGGGCATGTTAAATTGGACATGCCTATTACACATCTACTGGAGCCCTGGTGGCACAGTGGTTAAGAGCTCAGCTGCTAACCAAAAGGTCAGCAGTTCAAATCCACCAGCCACTCCTTAGAAACCCTACGGGGCAGTTCTACTCCGTCCTATAGGGTTGCTATGAGTCAGAATCGACTCAACAGCAACAGGTTTGGTTTTTTGGTTTATTACACATCTAAGAGGAGATGTAGAGTACTCAGATACATGAGTTTGGATTTCAGAGGAAAATTCAGGCTGGAGATATTTATTATTTTAGGAGCATTAGTATAATTATGATTTTTAAAGCCATGAGACTAAATTATATTAAATGAATCCATACTGAAGGGTCAATTACAGGTGCCAGCTTATATCGTTACTTGTACCAAAAGAGCTACATTTTTACAAGTCTTAATTTAAGCTCAAGAAGTGCATGTCTAATTATGGAAATTCAAGCATTAGCCAAGGAGTGGCCCTGGTATCTTTTTGGGCAAGTAGACCCCAGAACCCTGAAATCTCTAGAGGAATATACCTCCACCTGGGACCTTGCATAACTCAAGAAAACAGGTATGCACACACACTTGTCATTTGCCCTTAGAGAATGGCGGAGAACCCAGAAAAAGGCACTCTTACTTTTCATGGAGAGAGGGTTACCTGGATCTCCCCTGCAACCCTCAAGGATCTCCTGGTGCTGAAAGCGAAATACCCCGAAGCCCCTCTTATCCTGGGCAACACCTCACTGGGTAAGTACTTAAATGGTTAATGCCAAGCGGGGCTTCCTGTCCCCTACACGGTCTAGGTCTACAAAAACTACATCCTTTATAATAAAGCCCTTGGTCTCCAAAGTGGGATGCATAGATGCCTTGGCAGTTTGCAGGATGACCCCTTGGGGTGGAAATGGTTTTTGTTTTGTTTTGTTTTGTTTTATCATTTGTCTCATCCTTTTTTATTTTGTTTCATAAAATATGTATGGGATATATTAAAAATAAAATGCACACCCAGTTATCACCCCTCACCCAGTTTAAGACCAAGAACTTTGAAGGCCCCCATGGATCCTCCCTAACCACACCCCCTTCCCTTCCCTCTCAAAAGTACTCTCTAGCCTGAATTGTGTGTTGGTCTGCTTCTTCCATAGTTTTATAATTAAACCACATATGTTTACCACATATGTTAACACTAAACAATATGTCATTTCATTCTGCATATTTTTAAAATTCATATAAATAGACTGACGCAGTATTATTCTTCTGCAATTTGCTTTGTTCATTCAACATTCTTGACCTGAGATTGACTCATATTGTTGCACTTAGCAACAATTTAAATATGGCACAATTTAATCATCCATTCTATTGTTAAAGGACATGGAGCTGTTTCCATATTTTGGCTATTATAAATGTCCTTGTACTGTATTTTTACGGAAATAACGTACCTTCTATGTTTGTTTGCCAACCGCACCCTCTCCTCGTGAGGTATTTTTGTAAGCACGCTGTGCTAATTTTTTTTACAGCAACATGTAAAAAAAATTGGCATGGGGCGCTTATGAAAATACCTCAACAGGGGAGGTCGTGGTTGGCAAACAAGCATAGCAAGTGGACATTATTTGCATAAAATACACAAATACAGTGTATATATCTCTGGATGCCCATGTGCAACAGTCTCTCATCCTTTTTATTTTCTATTTTTATATAAATGTAGTGAGTTTATGAATAAATAAATATACCTACATTGGGGGAGCATGCTCTATCAGTTTACCTGGCAGGGGTGTATGGCCACTGCCTTCACATTTATACACATTTAGTGTTCATTTTTTAAATTTTGTTTCCAAATATTTTATGACAACTTTCATTTCAAATGCACAACTTGACCGAGGTAAATGATGTCACTAAGAAGTACACAAGAATAAGGGATGTTTTTGATAAATGCTATAACATTTAATTTTACAACAACAGCAATAACAACCAAAAAAATACATGTGTGGTTCCATAGGTAGGTATGGATGCATATGTATGTATAGGGAGGTACATGTTTGTATATACATGTGCATATATAGGTGTATCTATAGGCATATGTATATACATGTATGTGTGTGCTGTATATATATTCATATATATAATAAAGCATATGGTTGCACAGGTATGGGTACTTCTTAGACAGAACCAAATACCTTACAGGATTGGTTTTCTGAGTTTGAAGACTTAAGACCATAGTCTCGTGGGACAACTCACTCAACTGGCATAATATAGTTTATAAAGATTATGTTCTACATCCTAGTTGGTGAGTAGCACCTGTGGTCTTAAAACCTTGCGAGCAGCCATCTAAGGTATAACTATTAGCCTCTACTTGTCTAGAGCAAAAGACAAAGAAGGGACTCAAAGACTCAAAGAAGAAACTAGTCTACAGGACTAATAGACTACATGAACCTTAGACCAGAACTAGATGGTGCCTGGCTAACATTACCAACCGTTCTGATCAGGTACACAATAGACGGACCCTAATAGAATGTGAGAAGAATGTAGAACAATACTCAAATTCTTAAGAAGTCCAGGCTTACTGGACCATGTGAGACTATTGCCCTGAGATACCCTGTAAACTCTGAACTGAAACTACTCCCAGAGGTCACCTTTCAGCTAAATAACAGATTGGCTCATAAAATAAAACAATATCAACCTGAGTACCGTGCTCCTTTAAAAAAGAAATCTATATGAGACCAAAACAGTCAACATTTACCCTAAAGCAAAGATGAGAAGGTAAGGGGGGGCAAGGAAACTAGATTAATAGAAACAGATCTACCAGAACAGAAACAGTGAGAATGTTGACACATTGTGAAAGATGCAATCAATGTCATTGAACAAGGTGTACAGAAATTATTAAATGGGAACGTAATTTGTTGTGTTGACTTACACTGAAAACACAATAAATATTATTTAAAAATTTTTCGTTGCCAAAAAAAAGGCATTTTCTCTTTCCTAATTCTCTCTAAAATATATTCACTTTTCAGGACCTGCCATGAAATCTCAAGAGCATTTTTACCCAGTTTTCCTCTCTCCTGTTAGAATTTCTGAGCTGTGTGTGGTGTCTGAAACAAGTGATGGTGAGTTCCTGGTTTCCTCAGTAAAATATGAATGAAATGATGCCTGCACTAAACTTATACTTGCCTCACAATTCAGAACCTCTTCCTACATTTGTCTTGTATGGTCTGTGTTCCACCCTTCACCATTTTTATGACGTGATGTTATATCCTCACCACGAAACTTTATTGTCAAAATATTTGCAGGAAATATTAAGTATTGAGATGATATCACTCAAGACCTTGCAGTCAGTTGCAGGATTCCTGCCCTTAAAAGGCCACGGTGACCCAGGAAAAATAAATTCACAGAGTCACTTTGACCCAGAAGGTGAAGAGAGAGAACAGGCACTGTCCATCGTTTGGACAGTCAATTCCATGGAGGAGAAGGAATGTTTAGAGGAGGAAGGGAGAAGTATTGTCTGGTACTCGAATACTGCTTGTCTCCTGGGAACCTGCCTAAGCAAGCACCCTAGTCAATCCAAAACCAAACCTGTTGCTGTAGATTCCGACTCATAGTGACCCTATAGGACAGAGTAGAACTGCCCCATAAGGTTTCCAAGGAGCAGCTGGTGGATTTGAACTGCTGACCTTTTGGTTAGCAGCGAAGCTCTTAACCACTATGCCACTGAACACCCTTAATAGCCCACTGTGTGCAGAGAACTACATCAGGCAAAGTGGGAACTCACAAAATAAGAAGAAAATAAGACTTTGTCTTAAAGATGCATAGCAAATTTTTTAACCTAAAAAGAAAAAAAAAAAACAGTTGCTGTCAAGTTGATTCCAACTCATGGCAATCCCATTTGTGTCAGAGTAGACCTGTTCTCCATAACATTTTCGATGACTGCTTTTTTTCAGAAGTAGATCACCAGGCCTTTCTTTCAAGGCACCTCTGGGTGAACTCAGGCCTTCAATGGGCTGAGCATGTTGACCATTTGCTCCACCCAGGGATTCCCCTTTAGCAAAAGGAACCTTGTTATACTCCTTTCTTCATCCCCTAGACCTCCTAGCACTGTATATCCATATAAGAAGTTCTCAGCCAATGATTGATAAATGAATGAATGGAAAAATGAATGGCTGAGTGGGTCAGGAACTTGAATATCATGGGATGCAGTGGTGATAATGATTTCCTTAACTTAGGCAAACAAGGAGGTCACTGAGCTGAAAGTTTTAGTCAAGACTGACTTGTAAGCCATGATGCGTTCATGGGAGTCAGTGGTGGGCAGGTCAAGGACCTACCATGGCTATATCATCGTCATCAAGGTGTCCCACCTTCCTGGCCTCTAACCAGCATGAACCAAACTTATAGTGTGCTGCACATCAGCAAGCCTGCTCTTCCCTGGCTTGGCCTCACCTGTAAGCAAGGGAAGGGACCCTTCCTGGGTTTTTGCTCAGCACCTTTATTTCACAGCTTTAGCCTTGGGACAATTCAGGTAACACACCTGAATGCCATTGAGCAAAATAGAAGAATGTGCTTAGATTTACCTGAAATCTTGTTGTGTGCAGGAGGGAAAAGAGAAAAGAAGGAGTACTAGAGTGGGCGGGTTGAGGGGTATAAAAACTAAACCAAAGGGGTACAAAAACTAAACCAAACCTGTCGCCGTCAAGTCGATTCCAACTCACAGAGACACTATAGGGCAGAGTAGAAGTGCCCATAGGGTTTCCAAGGAGCAGCTAGTGGATTCAAACTGTAGACCTTTTGGTTAGCATCCAAGCTCTTAACCACTGTGCTGCCAGGGTTCCTGAAGGGTAGAGACAGCCAGTTTAAGCAGAAGGTTAAGGCAGGAAGACCCCTCCCTCTAATCTTCACCCCAGGCATCACTGAGCCCACTGGTTTTCAAACTGCTGTTAGTGCCACACTCCTATCCTTAAACGAATCTTAAATAAAATAAATAAATGAAAATAAGCTGCTCTGTTTGAAGGAAATGGAAGACTTTTCACCATCCCTCCCTGCTCTCTCTCTGTCTCTGAACCCCTTTATCTGTCCCTAAGAGGGCCCTTCAGATTACAATTTAAAATTCTCAATATAAACCAAATCTCTCATTTTATAGATGAGGAAACCTAGAGACAAAAAGAAAAAGTAGACTTGTCCTAAGTCCTGAAACGCCAGTGGTCAGGTCATAAAGCCACAGATCTCCCAATTCCCAATTCAGAACTCTTTTTGTTACTACCCATTCCTCGCCTCCCAAAACCCACCCCACAGCCTGTCCATTTGGCAATTCTGCAGCCAGACTAGAGCCAGCTTCTGAAATCTGGGAAACAATCAAACAGTGCACCCTCCTCTGGGTGGGTGAATCTGGGCTGCATCAAACCAGTTGCCATCAAGTTGATTCCAACTCATGGCAACCCCATGTGTGTCACAGTAGAACTGTGTTGTTCCATAGGGTTTTCAATGGCTGATTTTTAGGAAGTGGATCACCAGGCATTTCTTCCAGGATGCCTCTGGGTAGACTAGAACCTCCAACCTTTCTGTTAGCAGTCCAGCAAGTTAACCACTCAGGGACTTCTCTGGTGCTGTAAGCCCTCTTAAAATTAAAGCTTGGATATCACCTAGTGACTTCCAGGAAAGTTTCCCACGATTCTCAAACTTTTCCTAAGGCCCTGAAGTATGCAGAGCAACTGGAGGGGGAGGAATACCCTGGAGCCAGATGTGCCCCCCACTCAAACTCCTAGGAAATAAATTTCTGTGACAGCTGTAATTTTCACTTAAATGTTTAATTACTTTTTGCATGCTAATCATATCACACACATGGTTGCCTTAGTACTTTTTTCTCTTAAAATCTTTAGTATAGTAAGTGCTCCAGATAATTGTGTGTTTATCCTCTGAACCTATGGACTCAGGGAAGCATGGAGTTAAAATATAACCCCCTTTCTGAGAATCACACAAAGTTGAAGTCTTCTTAACTCCATTGGAATACAAGCTAGGTTCTGTGACCGGAAGTGGATTAAAATGTGAATAGAAGTATAGTACGTAAATGGGGTTTTCTCACTATGGCTGTGTCCTGCCTAGCGCAAAGTGAGGTAGACATACGAACAGTTGAAATAGCCAAGCCAAATGCCCCAAATGAATTATTTGCCCTCAACCTGAGTTTTAAATGTGTACTTATTACATTAACCAGATAAGTGGCAGCCCTCTCCTTCATTTTATCCATCTCGAGGATTCATGTTTAAAAATGAAGGAAAGTATTCAAGCTTAACATGCTTGGTCTCTCATTATTTTTTCATTACCTCATCCCTCAAAAGGAGGAGATAGAATTTATTGACTCTTTAAAAGCTTTTTGACCTTCAATTTTGCAAAGTGCCTAAACGACCGCAAATGATTTTCACATACATGTGATAAAGTTAGTCTGAAGTACGGGGACACTTCTGCCCATCTCAAAGTAAGTTAATCCATTGGTGAGATGGAGGTCCATCTGAAGTTAAAAGTATTTAACATTGCACACCTCTGGAGACCAGACTTTCAGCCACCCAAATTCTCAAGAGCTCAGTAAAATAAATAAATAAAATGAAATGAAGAAATTCAATATCCACCAAATGTAAATAAGTAAAATAAAATGGCTTCAGAGTGCCTGACCCAAGCTCATGTCTAATTAATTATTGCCTATTTGATTGGCGGTCCGGTCATAATTCTTTGCTCACTGACTCTTAGTGAACTCACAGTTCTACCACACCTTAGTTTCTCAACTCAAAGCACACTGGAAAGATACAAACGAAAAAAAAAAATGCATTGAGAGTTGGTAACCCCAGATCAAAGAAGACAAACTATTTTACAAATACATTGTTCCCAGTTTTTGTTCCTTTGCTGCTCTGTTGATTAAGCAGAGTCTAATTAACCACCTATGATTGCCACTAAGGAGCCCTGGTGGTGCAATGGTTAAGCACTTGGCTGCTAACCAAAAGGTTGGCGATTCCAACCCCCCCGGCAGCTCCGAGGTAGAAAGACCTGGTAGTCTGCTTTCATGAAGATTATAGCCAAGAAAACCGTATGGGACTGTTCTACTCTGTCACATGGGGTTCCTATGAGTCAAAAATCGACTCAGTGGAACCTAACAACAGCAGTTGTCACCCACTAGTTATCCTTCATTTCTTACCACCTTGAATTGCTCATACATTGGGCTGTGACTGGGAATGCTACTCCCACCGGTAAGGCCAGCCCATCCACACCTGGCAACCCTCTTACTCAGTCAGAGGCAGAGAGTGCATAGATGGATTTGTCCCCCGCCTCCGCAGCTCTGGAGAGGACATAGGCAATAGAGCAGACAGTTAGCATTTCACTCTGTCCGGGGGTTGAACTGCCATTTTCTGCCTATGATGAATAAGAAACAGTGAAGCTGGTCTGCGTGATGCTTCTGACCTTAAAAACTTGCTAATAATAATGATAATGGAGTCCCTGGGTGGCACAAACAGTTAAGCGTTCGGCTACTAACGGAAGGGTTGGAGGTTTGATTCCACCTAGAGGCGCCTCAGGAGAAAGGTCTGGAGATCCACTTCTGAAAAATCAGCCACTGAAAACCGTATGGAGCACAGTTCTGCTCTGACACACATGGGATTGCCTGAGTTGGAATCCACGGCAACTGATTTTTTTTTTTAAAATATTATAATAGTAAGTTTTTCTCCCCTCTGGTTTCTTTCCTACTAATAAGGTCTACAGTAGGAGGCTTGTACGACAGTAAACAAGCTTCCTAGCACCTCTGTGGGCAAAGATAGGGCCAGGATTTTTGCAGAGGTTAAATACCATGCTGCAGTGGAATCTGGTGATAAGGAAGCTCGCAGACCTTTGCTGATGGGTCTGAAGGGTGATTAGATCCCATTACACAGTGCCTGTTACGAGATGTTGAAACAGAAACAAGGTGAGGGCTCCGGGCTGAGACTAGCTGACTCCAGAGTAGAGGGGCAACTTAGTTGTTTCAGGTAAGGTTTGCTTAGCACCAGGCTAATAAGGAGCAGCTAGTGGCTTCCCTCATCAACTAAGTTAGCTGAGATCATTGAAGAGGTGGGGGATGTTGTATGGGTATGTTGGCAGGAGTATTGTGCCAAGTACATTTTTTAATGTTGATAAAATAAAGCTATATGGGAGGACAAAATATCCTTAAAGATTCCTAAACAATAGAAAAATCAAAGCCCAGCTTGAAACCTGCTAAAAACAGACTAAATGAAATTAGAACGCAACCTTGTTGGCGACGTCAAATCCGACTGTTAGTGTTTTATTCTGCAAACCCTGAGGGAGTGCAAGACTAATTTAAAAGTCCTCTCCTAATGGTTTGGGCAACTACTTCACTTTTGAAAGTTGATTTGAACCGATTACGTTTCTACTGTAGAGACACCCTGAAGCTAGTGCTAATATCCTGCAGATACTCACCAGCATGGCTGCAATGGCTGTGAAATTTTTTAATTACTTTCTCACCAGTGAGCAAATAGGATTGCCCCATCCTGCAGGTGCTCTTCCACTTCTCCAGCTTCCCAGGCTCCTCTCCAGGGACCCTCAACTTCCCCACCCCCAACAACCGAAGGGATAATGCCTGGGGCAGCTCCTTGCCCCAGCGATCTTTTTTCCCCGATCAGCTGATGTCCCTTGGAGAACTGGTTGTTGAAGATTTTGAGTATGGGCGCTACCTGTGGAGGTACAAAACTCAGCTGTCAATGCATTGCTGATTTGAGACAATGGCCTAGGGAATTGAATGACCTTTGCCATTATTTTAACGCCATCAGATTCCCCCCATCCCCACCCCACCCCAATCACAAAACAGCTTTGCATAGCTTCACCTTGATCAACCAGGAGAGGTCATGGAAAGTTCTAGTAGGGTCTGCCACTTACTAGTTGTTATTATCATTCCTTCTGTCTGGGCTTCTATTTCCTCATTTGTCCAAAGGAAAGTGTGGACCAATTCAGGGGTTCCCAACCCTGGCTGCACAGCAGTGTCAGCTGGGAAGACTTTAAAATCCCCAGGCTCAGAGATTCTGACTTTATTGATGTGGGGGTGTAGAGTCTGTGCTGTTCTTGAGTTCTCTGGTGATTCTTTGTGTAACCAGGCTGGAGAGTCACTGCTCTAGCTGACCTCTAAGACCCTGGCTCCGTGATTACAATTGAACTGCTCTTCCCACTTCACCAATGAAAACGATTTGCTTTCTAGGACTGACAGTAGGTGCTGGCTGCAGCCTGGCCCAGGTGAAGGACGTCTTGGCTGAGATGGTTTCCAAACTCCCAGAGGAGAAAACTCAGACATACCTAGCCCTCCTGAAACATCTGAAGAGTCTAGGGGGGCAGCAGATCCAGAATATGGCAGTATGTTCCCCAGATGGGGTCACTGGGCACACAGCACCTATTCTTACTGAAATGTTGGAATATGCATTGGCAGAATCAGTATGCGAATGGGTCTCAGCAGTCTGAAATAATGGGCAAAACAAATAAATACTGTACTTAATATTTAACAAATATTATATGATACAATGTTTAAAAGAGAACTGTAAGTCAAGTTCAATAGAGTGGCTAAGTAACCATGCAGGTGGGAAAGGATATCATGGTTTTGCTAATTTCATCATAAGACTATCAAAGAACATAAGTTAGACTGCATTAATCAAAATATAGTATCTAAAACAAGGGGGGTTTAGAGTCCAGGGTTCTTTACTCTAGACTTTTCAAACCACAGCTGAACAAAAATGTTCAGATCAGGGAGCATGCTTTAAGGTGTGGTTGTTTCTAACTGCAGAAGAGAGACGAGACATAGGTTTTCAAAATACACATACTCCTGTCCCCCACATACCCCAAACTGTGTGTTAGAAATTCTTGGGACATGGAGGATAGGGAGAGAACATGTTTGCTTTGAAAATGTTATCTCCCCCTTGAGAACTCCGACTAGATGCCCTGAAGCTGGTCAAGGAAATGGTGGCAGGAGAGCAAGGGGTTGGAAACCACATCAAAAGATGAAAGGCTTAAGGGGAGTGGGGGGCATGGTCAGAGGGAACAGGAGAGTTGACTAATTTTTAAAGACTCCTAAGGGCAGATATGATTTATTACATACGATCACAAAGGGAAGAAGTATGACGGATGGGTGGAGTCCAGGGAAGCAGAGTTCAGCTCAGTGGAAACAAGAACTTTATGATCAAGCTGTCCATACAGGAAGGGGAGTTCCCTGTCCTCGCTGATGTTCCATTCTGGCCCAGACCGCAGAAACCTGGTGGCCACTGTCAAGTCCATCACTATGTGGGGAGAGGAGTATTGAGCTGAATGACCAGTCATTTCCTTTCCAAGTTCTGAGATGCTACATGCTCAATCATATCCTAGTGAGGTCTCCCAAGGAGAGGAAAAGGGTTACTCTCTGCCAAACATGTGGATACCCAGAGCCCCAACATGGCCCTTGTTATGTCTGGCCACTCAGACCTTCAGAGGCTCATGTGAAATGAGGCCTGAGAGCCTGTAAGTCTGAGGCAGGAGGGCATATCTGTAGACGGCACCGTGGCCTCCAAGGCCCAGGAGGGGGTGGTTCAGAATTGGGCACTGAGCCTCACTGCTTAGGATTGAACCCCACCCAGTCCTTCTACTTTCTAGCTAGAGAACTTGGTCAAGTTTCATAATTTCTCAGTACCCCAGTATCTTCATCTGTAAAATAGGAATAATGGCATCAACCTCACTTGGTTTGTGTGAGTGGATTCACTCACTGGATTAAGTGAGTGAATATGTGTAAAGAAGTTAGACAGCATACAAACAGAACATACCAAACGCTGTGTAAGCATTAGTTATCACTGATCCCTCTTCCTCTCCAGAGTAGCAGGTGGGAGGGGACCTCCCCCGCAGTCTGAACTGAGTCCCCTCGGTGAAAGAGAAAAGGACTGAACTGACCAAGACTTCTCTGGCCCTTTTCACTAGCCACTGAGAGAACTGTAGGCAGGTGCCTGTGGGGTATAGGAACTTAGGGGTAGAAGAACAAGGCTGTAACTCTCTCTCCTTAGTCCTTAGGGGGACATGTTATAAGCCGGCATTACTACTCAGATCTGAATCCAATTCTGGCTGTGGGCAATGCTACTCTCAATCTGATATCAGAAGGTAAGCTACCCCAGGACACCGTGAACAACACCTAAAGGTCTTTTGTTTTTTATTGTTAAGGGACCACTTTAAGTCGGAGCCCAGAACTCTGGCTTTCAAGTCACATGGGGAGCTCAAACTTATGAAGGAAGTGGGTGGCTGGCGTTTCCTTCTGACACCATGCACACGCAAATATACACACACAAGGGACCAGACTCAGCCCGTGTGTTTTGCTTGGCAAGTAAACATCAGGGCTAGTTGGCAGAGGCTGAGGTGAAGGTGAAGTTGGAGCGCCCCACTTCCTGGTGGCCTGAGGGTCCGCTCCCCTCCTCCTCTCATCCTTTCCATGGGCTTCCCCAACACACGCAGCCTGCCGCCTCCCCCAGGGTTCCCTCTAAGTCATTCCCCCATGTAGCTATGTGAGAAGTCACAAGTCTGGTGAGGACACACTACAGACGTTGTGGGTCTCCTGAGGACAGGGAAAAGGCGATGATTAATTTTACTTTCTGGCTGAGGGGAACATTCGTTGAGGCTGTTGTTGTTAAGTGCCATCAGCTCGGTTCCGACTCATAGCCACCCTATGCACAACAGAACGAAACACTGCTCAGTATTGCGCCATCCTCACAATCATTGTTATGCTTGAGCCCATTAATGCAGCCACTGTGTCAATCCATTTCATTGAGGGACCACCCATCCATCTCCCCAGAAGTGCTCAGTGTGCTCACATGGCCCTTGGGCTACTCCAAGTATGTGACCACCCCCACCTTTCCTGGGCTCAAGCTACAAACCAGCCCTATGCTGGGCAATTCTCATACAGCATCTCTAAGCTGCTCAATCACACAGCTGGGAGCACTTGTAGAGGCAGACGGAGTTGTGAACCCAATGTGTCTGATGCCAAAAGGGGTGTACTAGCCTCTTCTCCATCCGGGCACATCCCTGGGCTGTCCTGTCCTCTCCCCACAGTGCCCCTAACTCTAATATGCCCCTTCTGCTTCTCTCTTTTCCTCACCTACAGCCCCTCACATACCCCTCCCTCTCTCCACCCCACTCAGCTGATCACTGATGTCACTTACACACTGATGTCTCTTGTGTGCTGACACTGTCCTAGGCGCTGGGGTGTAGGGTGGAGAATCAAAATCTCTGCCCTACGTGAACTTCTGGGTGCTTCCCACAAGGAATTACCTCACAGACATCCTAACCCTCCCAGAACAGTTTGCTGGCTAACACAAAACCCAATCCCTAAAAAACCAGTTGCCATCAAGTTGATTCCAACTCATGGAGATCCATGTGTGTTGAAGTAGAACAGTGCCTTATGGAGTTTTCAACAGCTGATTTTTTTTTTTTTAATCCAGAAGTAGATTGCTAGCCCTTTCTTCCTAAGCATCTCTGGGTGTACTTGAACCTCCAACTTTTTGAGTAGTTGCAAAGTTCATTAACTGTCTGCACTACCCAGGAATGCCTACCCAATCTTAATAGGTGGTGTCTTAGTTATCTAGTGGTGCTTTAACAGAAATACCACAAGAGGATGGCTTTAACAAAGAGAAATTTATTTTCTCACAGTCTAGTAGGCTAGAAGTCCAAATTCAGGGCATCAGCTCCAGGGGAAGGCTTTTTCTCTCTCTGTCGGCTCTGGAGGAAGGTCCTTCTCGTCAGTCTTCTCCTGGACTAGGCGCTTCTCTGCACAGGAACTCCAGGTCCAAAAGACAAGCTCTGCTCCCGGTGCTTCTTTCATGGTGGTATGAGGTCCCCCCTCTCTGCTCGCTTTCCTTTCCTTTTATCTCTCGTAAGATAAAATGTGGTGCAGGCCACGTTCCAGGGAAACTCCCTTTACATTGGATCAGGGCTATGAGCTTAGTAAGGGTATTACAATCCCACTCTAATCTTCTTTAACATAAAATTACTATCACAAGATGGAGGACACAATACTGGGAATCATGGCCTAACCAAATTGAGACATATTTTTGGTGGACACAGTTGAATCCATGACAGGTGGGAATTCAGGAAGTATCTGGAAGAGGGAAAGCGTTCATCCCCTACAGCTTTCCCATCCCTATTCATCTTTGTATGGAGCCTGCCCAGGAGGCAGGAGGAAAGTTTTCACCCCTGCCTGTCTGAGTCCACCATCTTGTAGAGTCCTCCAGGCCTATGGTCCAGGGATGACCCCAGCTCAACCTCCAGAGAACAGGAGAGAAGAAACCAAGACTCCCAGGCACCAGGATGGCAAGGATAGCCCAGCCCCCATCCAGGGCCCATGTCCTAGTGTTGGTGGTTACCTTGAGCTTAAGGGCTCTGCTTTTCCAGCCCTACCAAAGCCATCTCCAGCCTGAGTGTGGCCCCAACTGCAGCCCCAGCTGCAGCAAGGGCGGTAGATCAGCAAGGCTGGCCCAACAGCAGGGCAGGCCAGGCAAGCTCTGTAAGTGGCTCCTTTGGGACACCCCTGCCTCCCTCAAAACTACACCTAAATTCCAGTCACATCAGATTCATTGGGCTGTAGTTTGATCTCCTCAGGGCACCTCTGGTGGAGCCAGAAACCACTATTTAAAGCCAGAGGGCGTAGCTCTGACCACCAAGTGGTGACATTTGGGCTGAAAGGCGTTTTTGTGAATTGTTCACTTTGCTTTAAAGATGCAAATATCTGGAGCCAACAGCATCAAAAACATAAAGGTACAGTCGGCCCTCCATATCCGTGGGTTCTGCATCCACAGATTCAACCAACCACCAATCGAAAATATTTTTTTAAAAATGTATAGTTCCAAAAAGCAAAACGTGACTTTAACATGCACCAAGCACTATGCTGAATCCACAAGAATGAAGTGATGTGTAGGCATCCCCTGCTGTAGCCTCCCGTCATTTCACAGATCCTCAGTCTCTCTCCAGCACTCGTTGTTTGAACATTGTTCACCTCTTGCATCTTGTCATTATTCCCTAAACAATACAGTACTGTATAACAACTATTTATATAGCATTTACAGCGTAGTAGGTATTATAAGTAATCTAGAGATGATTTGGGGCTCTAGTGGTGTAGTAGTTAAGAGCTTCACTGCTAACCAAAAGGTTGGCAATTCACATCCACCAACCGCCCCTTGAAAACCCATGGAGTAGTTCTACTCTGTCCTATAAGGTCATTATAAGTCGGAATCGACTCCATAGCAATGGGTTTGGGGCTTTTTTTTAATTTAGAGATGATTTAAAGTATACGGGAGGATGTGCCTAGGTTATACGCAAATATTACACCATTTTATATAAAGGACTTGAGCATCCAAGGATTTTGGTATCCGCGGGCAGTCCTGGAACCAATCCCCCGCGGATACCAAAGGACGATTGTAAATCCAACTATTTGAACTCCGTTAATAGTGGAGACAAACCCTATATGGTTTGCACTCAACTACTAATCTAAAGGTTGGTGGTTTGAACCCACCCAGTGGCACCACGGAAAAATGTCCTAGCGATCTGCTTCCGTAAAGATGACAGCCAAGAAAATCCGATGGAGCAGTCCTACTCTGTAACACATGGGGCTGCCATGAGTTGTAATCAGCTCCACAGTAATGGGTTTGTTTGTTTTGTTTTAGGGGCATGGGTGGGTTACGTTGATTCTAAATATTAAATGGGTGGGATTTCGTTAGCCAGCCTCCAATCTGAAAGAATGAAAGTCGCACATGTCTGGCAGGCCTTGAGGCGGGAAGAGACCCTGGTTCACACACACACGTACATTGATAAGAGTAAATGTCCTGGAGTTACCTCCCACACTTCCCTGCAGATGGGAACAGGATGAGCCCTGTATCTGTCACAGAACCAAACCTCTGCATCGCTCTATACAGAGGAAGGCGACATTTTCTTTTCCGCTGCTGACATTTAAAAGTACAGAAAAATCTTGCTTTCCTTGTTGCGACTGTGCAGAAATGTCATTTTCTTCAACAGAAGGAATGCGGCAGATTCCTCTGAATGAAGATTTTCTTGCTGGGTTGGCAAGTGCAGACCTTAAGCCACAGGAAATTTTGGCATCTGTTCATATCCCTCACTCTCACAAGGTAAGAATTCTGCTAGTGGCTTTTGAGGGTTGTTTTTCTTCTTGCATAACTGTGCCCAGGCGTCTTTAGAAATCTGAAAGCAGATGGAAGGAAAAGAACTGCACTGAAAACCTGTTTCCTGTCGCACTGTGGACTGGCCCAGTACCAAGGCCCTCAGACATCACGAGTGAGCAGCTCCGGGGTGTGGTTTGGGGCTGTTGTTTCAGCTGTGGGGTGGGGCCCACTGAGGCCTGCAATCATGCTTCCACACCCCCTTGTGTCCACTGAAACTCTGGGAAGCAGAAGTGAAAGCTCTCTGCCTGTGGGCTGAAGATTCTCTGCCTGACCCACAGGGAGATGGAGGCTAGAGCCACCCCCCTACTGCCCACTCTAGCCAACTGCGTCAATTCATAGGAACATGAGAGCTTCCAGGAGTTTGTGCTAACACAGGGCCCGGGGGTTGATGTGGCCACTTCCAAAAAAGCTATGGAGGTGGCTGTTTGTCCTCACACTTTGCTCCTTGTGCCTCTCCCTCAAAGCTGTAGCCGAACCCAAGAGGACAGTCTTCTCAGAGAGAGACAATGCAACACATACACTCTCTCCCTCTCTCTGTCTCACACACACACACACACACAGACACTCACTCATAGATCATAAGCCATGAGTCTGCTTTGTTATGAAGGAAGTCGTATATTAAGTCATGTTTTCAGCCACATGATTGTCATTTGTTTTTCCTTTTGATGGTGTATATTAGTTTCCTAGGGCTGCCACAATCTTGGCCGCTTAAAACAACGGAAGTGTATTGTCTCACAGTTCTGGAGGCTAGAAGTCCAAAATCAAGTTATCAGCAGGGCCAGTTTTCTTTCTGAAGGCTCTAGGGGGAGATCCTTCCTTACCTCTTCCTAGTTTCTGGTGGTTCCTGGCAATTATTGGCGTTCCTTGGCTTGTCGATACATCACTCCAGTCTCTGACCCTCTTTACATGTGTCTGTGTCCATTCAGACTGGATTAGGACCCACCTTACTCTGGTATGACTTAACTCATAACACCTTCAGAGACCCGACTTCCAAACAAGGTCACATTCACAGGTCCTGGGCGATTAAGACTACAACATATTTTTTTAGAAGACACAGTTCAACCCATACAAGAAGTGAAACTTAAATGTGTTCCCGGTCAAATGTGCATCCACGTAAAGGCAGGAGACAGAAAAAGAGGCAGACTCAAACCTGAGCAACCTCATTGGCTCAGGGATGGAGACCTACCTAGGGGCACAGGTCGTCTTCACTAACCCACATCGGCACACCAGTGGTCAGGGTGGCAAGGGGTCATCTGGGGCAGCCATCAGTCCTCCTGAATTTTTCTCCTCATACAAGATTCCCTAGCACACCACTACTGGAAACTTCCTTTTTGAGCTTTGCAAAATGGAAAAGTAATCATTTCTACAAACCAAGTGGAGAGAGGTCTCCTTTGCACTTTGGGCGAATCGTCTTTAAAAACACCTGTATTCGGAGGGCTTCTCCATCCTCCCAGGGGACAAGGGTGTGTGAAGCCTGGAGGAGATGGTACCTGGAAACAGAGCACATGGAATTGTTTCCAGACATGAGTTTCCACAGCATTCTGTGCAGAGGCATCCTGGCCCCAGAGGGAAAGTGGATGGTGATGCCTGTCCCTTGAGGGTATCCAGTGCATTTGGGAGGAGCCTTTGGGAAGACACCACTCTCACTTTGAAAGAGAAGACAGCCAAGTCATCCTTTAATTGTGCCAAGTCTCCTTTGCGTCCCTTTAGATTGAGTCCAAGTGATTAATTAGTGGCACCAAGAAGCAAAAACCATGCTCTTTGTTTTGTCATATCGAGTAACACCAAATGGTTTTTGTCCCCACAGTGGGAATTTGTGTCAGCCTTCCGACAGGCCGAGTGCCAGCAAAATGCCTTGCCCAATGTGAACGCTGGCATGAGAGTTCTCTTTGAAGAAGGCACAGACACCATTGCGGACCTAAGCCTTGCCTACGGAGGGGTAGGGGCTGCCACAATCAGCGCACACCGGTCCTGCCAGCAGCTCCTAGGGAGGTGAGCTCTGCGCCTGAGGGTGCAACCTGACATTTAAAATAACAAGTGGGAATCTGACTCCCCCCAGTGTTTGCAAAGCACTGGGAAGATGGAAGGTTCTCTATGTAAAATCACTGCTTGTTCTTTCTGTAATTTTGCTAAATGAATCAAACCTTACTGGACTTTGATTAATTGTTGGCTACTCTTTGGATGAGAGATACAACAAAATAGCCCAGGACTGAGTAGAGCCAGCAGGTTATTTTTTCCCATCTGGACCTAGTTCTGTTATGCATATCAACAATCCAGCAAACCCACACTGGGCAGCATCCAAGTGACACGGAACGCTCCCACTGCTCGGGTTCACTGTTTCTTCCTCAGTCCTGTTCAGTTCGTGACGGAATTCACCCCAATCGTCTACTTATTTAATATCTGGTTCTAGCATGTTCTTGGTTACACAGCATGTTGCAGTGGAACAGGTCCTATCCTCACCCTGCCGTGACCCAGGGGCCACTTGGTGCAGCCTCCTCAGGCCTTGGTTTTCCTGAGGGGCTTGGTTAGGTGATTTCGAATTCCCTCCAACTCAGAAAAGGGGTTCTGGGGTCTCTAAAATGACACCATCCGATATCTAGCACATGGAGTCCCTGGGTGGTACAAATGGTTAACATGTTTGGCTGCTAACCAAAAGGTTAGAGGTTCGAGTCCATCGAGAGGCACCACAAAAGAAAGGCCTGGTGATCTACTTCCAAAAAAGCAGCTATTAAAAAACTCTATGGAGCATTTGGGAATGGTTAATGGTAGTGGTTGAATAACATAATTAAAGTAATTAAATTCACTGAACTGTACATGTGAAGATTGTAGAAATGGCAAGTGTTCTGTTACCTATATACCTCTTTTTTTTAAAAAAAAACAAAAACCTGTGGAGCACAGTTCTACTCTGACACACGCCAGGAGTCAGAATCCACTTGAGGGCAACTAGGTTGGTTTTTTTTTTGCAGTGTGGTTGAGATTGCCTTTTCACTGATTCCTTCCCTGCCTCCAACCCCACCAGGCGCTGGAATGAGCTGATGCTGGATGAGGCTTGCAGGCTGCTTCTGGAGGAAGTCTCTCTCCCAGGCTCGGCTCCAGGTGGGAGGGTAGAATTCAAGAGGACTCTGGTTGTCAGCTTCCTGTTCAAGTTCTACCTGCAAGTTTTGCAGGAACTAAAGAAGCTATTAAAGCTGTTCCCTGTGCCTGTAAGTGCTCTGGCTTTTACATGCTCCTTGCAACCCTAAACTCACGGCTTTCCCACTACTTTTCCAAACTGTCACCTGTTCTATGTCAGGCCTTGTCAGAACCCAGCCAGCCCTCCTTCTGGGATTCAGCCCTGAGGCTATGTGAGGTTCCCGTCCACAGATGTCTCCTGCATGCCCTGAGGACAAAACCATGGTGCCCCTACCTCTAGCATGCAACTTTTTTCTTTTAAAAAATCAACTTTACTGAAGTATAATTTACATATAGTAAAATGTACCTATTTAAATTCAGTGAGATTTGACAAGCGTGTAAAATCGTGCAGCCACCACCGCAAACAAGGTATAGAACATTTCTATAAGTACCTTGTGCCCATTTGCAGTCAACCCCCCTACCCCTGCCCCGGACAACCACTGATAGGATGTGTGTCACTATAGAGTAGTTTTGCTTATTCTGGAAATTTATATTCAATATGAAATGTAAAATAAAAGTTTATTTTTCAAATAGACCAAAGCGTTGTGTATGCTAATATTTAAATAGCTTGTTTCTAGAATTTCTGATTATAAACTTCCGGAATAAGTTAAGCAAAACCAAACATCCTTCTCTCTCTCTCTGTCTCTGGTCGGGTGGCCCTGACCTGCCTCCTCTGTGGGTAGCGTTTGCCTTTTAACTCCTCTTGTGCTGAAAGCTTCCCTGGTCATTTTTACCTTCAGGGTCCAGGGAACTTCTCCTCCTCCCCTGACCCTGACTGATTACAGCTCTCACCCTGCCTTGTACTCCTCCTTCGTTAACCACACCCAACCCCAACTGTCCACAGCTCCTGAAGTGTCTGATTTTTATTTGCTCATACGAAGACCCTCACTGACCACATTCACCAGGGTAACTCTTGCTGTCATTTAATTTCTGAATCAAGACACTTAAAGCATTGTAGTGACGACCCACAGCAGCCTTTCTGTTTTTCCTGTTCTCCCAGAAAAGCTCGGTTCCTGAGAAAAACAATCAGGATTTGGTCTCTTTTGTGTAGAGTGAATTCTTGCTCATTCTGGTACAGCTTATCCAGCCACAAGTCTTCTTGTTTCTCTTCCTTCCTCTGCAGGCCAGCTTACCAGCAGGCCTCTCTCTCCTCCTCTCTCTCCTCTGGGTGACTTGCAGATCAGATTCAAACCAGTCAGTCTAGTTCCTCATTTTGTGGTGAAGGGTGGGGGAGGGAAGCAGAGGGCAAGAAACATTCACAAAAAGTAAAATCTGGGAAAGGAGTGTGGGTTTTGTTTATCCAGGCTACCCTGGCCTTGCAGTTACATGGATTAAAAAAAAAGTTGCCATCAAGTCGATTCTGACTCATGGCAATCGCGTGTGTGTCAGAGTAGAACTGTGCTCCATAGGGTTTTCATTGACTGTTTTTTCAGAAGTAGATTGCCAGGCCTTTCTTCCAAGGAGCCTCTGGGTGAACTCGAACCACCAACCTTTCAGTTAGCAGTGAGCACATTAACTGTTTGTGCCACCCAGGGACTCATGGATACATTAACCTGTTGCCATACAGTTGATTCTGACTCATTGCAACCCTATAGGACAGAGTAGAATTGCTCCCAAAGGGTTTCCAAGGAGTGGCTAGTGGATCAAACTGCCAACCTTTTGGTTAGCAGTCAAATGGTTAACCACTACACCACCAGGGCTCCATGGATATATCAGCCAAATAATTTTCACATAAATCAAAGCCCACCTTAATCATAGACTAACCAGCTATCTTTATTATTTTGAATCATCTCTCAGGACAGCCATCATTATCCTGAAATTCCAGACTGATTCCTAAGTGCTCTAGAAGATTTCCCTGTCACAATACCGCAGGGAGTCCAGACATACCAGGTCAGTGGGTTTAATGTAACTAAAACCTAGAAGTGAAGAGATAAACTATAGCTGTGCCATACAAGCAAGCTTTTCAGAGTTGTAATTTATTTAGTTCTGACTTTCTGGCTGGTACGAGCACATTGGGTTTTGGTTCAGGCCATGTCAGGGAGATGCTGGAGTCTAAGATCAAATGGGAGTTGCAGCTAGCTCTACTCAAAGCTGAACCAACCTAGAGCAGTCTGGTAATCTGACTCATCTACAAATAACTGTTTCTTCAAACTGACATTCTTTGAGCATTTGTTTACTATCTACTCAGAAGAACAGCCAAGCCCAGTGTGGGGAAAGGACAGAGCAGGAGAACAACAAGTTTCAGCCTCCAGCCCTGATTTCAGATTTTTAGCCTCCAGTCAGCAAAACAAGAGCCCTGCAAGTAACAGAACTCCGCATTCTCCAAGGAAAGTTAAAAAATTATCTATTATTGCCAGAGGACAGCTCCTACCCCACAGCACCTCCAACCACACCACACACATAGAGGACCTTCCCTGAAGAAAGTTCCTGAATAAACACCTTCTTTGTCTCCTTACACTTCTAGTGATTTTTTTCTGGTGTTTCCAGGGGCACCTTAATCCAGATCTGAGTGGTCTTCGTTGCCATCTGCTCTTCCCTCTCCCTCACCCCTAACCTCAGAGGCCCCGCTCAAGTCCATACTCATGCTCTTGGCTTAGATTTTGGTCCTCCACCCTCAGGAATTATAATCACTTTAGACTTCATCACTGTGACCCCAATATATTTCTCCTTTTCAAAATGGGCGAGTGAGAGCTTGACATAACTAATGCCATGATGAACATGTAAGTTTTTTTTTTTTTTCCTTTTTTCTTTGCCTTCTCCTTTTTGCACACCTTTGTTAATGACTTGGTTTTGCTCTGTCCAGCCACCTGTGGCTTACGACCCCCCCCACAGGAAGATTAGAGCCCAGATGTCAGGTATGGAAATGTCTGGCAGGTATCTCTTTAGTATGATAAAGAGTATCTTGTAATTACCTTACAATGTATAACAATACTTCTAACCTTTGTAAAAATCATATATAAACTGTAATGCAAAAAATGCCTTCTGGGACTCCTTAGAGACAGCATGCATTGCTGTCAGATCCCCGGTGGTGTACATCTCCTAAAATAAAACTTTCTCACTCTTTCTGACTTGGAGTACGTTTCATTGGCTCGACTGCTCCAGGGTATGGACCCTATTTGGGTAACAAGCACCATGAGCACCTTATATGTGAACAGATTTATCATTGGAAAGGTGAGAAAGCAGATAAGGAGAGCCCCTGAATTCCAGAAGAAAGGAGTACAGGGATACCACCTGGGAAAAGAAGATGTCAAAAAGAGAAGCCTGGGTGCCTCCTTTGCCTACTTCACAATTTTGTCAAAAGGTTGACCTGATCTGAGGCATTGCCACATAACTGGAATGACAATTCCTTATCCTAGTTATGTGATTAAATTGTTACTCTCATCATCTAACTCACTCCAGTGTCCTGTTGCCTGAGGATGACTGTCTGATTTCTCAATCCTGAATGGGGAGTGCTGGTAATTTGCCAGGCCACTTCTGAGATTAAAGGTTTCTAGAGCAACTCTTGTCTTCCCCTGTAGAGTGTCGATTCTCACCAACCTCTCCAAGATCCAGTTGGACGCCCCATCATGCACCTATCAGGTCTTAAACATGCCACAGGGGAAGCCATATTCTGTGATGACATTCCTGTGGTGGACAAAGAACTTGTCATGGCTTTGATGACCAGTACCAGGGCTCATGCAAAAATCATGTAAGTAAATGAAAAGGTTTTGAAATGCCTTTTAAAAGCAAACCAGTGGATTCCCTCTGAGGAATGTGTCCATTTTCCAGGAATTTCCTGAATCAAAAGAACTTAAAAGGTTAGAGTAGAGTATCTTGAGATACTATCTTGAAATTACTATCGTGAGAGAGAGAGAGAACAAAAATCATAGTTATGGGTGACTTGCTTCCATCCTAAGCGTCACAAAACCTCATCTCCCTCCTACAGCCTCAGGCATGGCTCAAGAAGTAACTCTGAGGTAAGGCTGATATTCAGCTGGTGTTAAAACATTGAAGTTATCTACTTCATTGCCAATTGGTAAATGGCCTCTGTCTTGAGCTTCCCCAAAACACCCTTTTCCACAGCCATACTGATGCTCCCGCAGATCCTCCTGCAGCTAAAATATTACCACCTAGCCCAGCAAGGAGCCTCCTGACCCCTACTCCATGGCACATCTACTCTGATTGGTCAGGGCCTAACCTGGACCAGAAAAAAACCAGTTGCTGTAGAGTCAATTCCAACTCATGGTGACCCTACATGTGTCAGAGTAAAACTATACTCCATAGGGTTTTCAATGGCTGGTTTTTAGATCATTGAGTCTTTCTTCCAAGGTGCCTCTGGGTAGACTTGAACCTCCAACCTTTTGGGTGGGAGTGTGTCAACCGTCTGCACCACCCGGGGAACCCAAGTTAGACCAGGTGTTATATATTTTGATTTTCAGCCATGCACTATCCCTTCCTTGGGCTCAGGCCCTCGAAGCTTACTGATTTCTACTTCTTAAATATTTTATCTTTGCAACTCAAGAAAATGTTTAACCACAGAAGAAAACATTCTTTGATGGCTATGAGGGTGGGGAGGGAGGGTGAGGGTTATTCACTAAGTAGAAAGTAGACAAGAATGATCTTAGGTGAAGGGAAGGACAGCACACACCACAGGGGAAGTGAGCACAACGGGGCTAAACTAAAGCTAAGAAATTTCCCGAATACAATCAAACACTTAGAGGGACAGAGTAGCAGGGGCAGGGGGCTGGGGACCATGCTTTCAGGGGACATCTAGGTCAATTGGCATAACAAAGTTTATTAAGAAACTGTTCTGCATCCTACTTTGGTGACTGGCATCTGGGGTCTTAAAAGCTAGCAAGTGGCCATCTAAGATGCATCAATTGGTCCCAACCACCTGGAGTAAAAGAGAATGAAGAACATCAAAGACACAAGGAAAGTATTAGGCCAAGAGACAGAAAGGGGCACATAGACCAGAGGCTTCATCAGCCTGAGACCAGAACTGGATGGTGCCCGGCTACCACCAATGACCGCCCCGACAGGGAACACAACAGAGAGTCCCTGATGGAGTGAGGGAAGGGTAGGATGCAGAACTCAAATTCTAGTAAAAAGACGAGACTTAATGGTCTGATGAGACTGGAGGAATCCCAAAAAGCAAGGCCCCCGGACTCTCTGTCAACCCAGAACTAAAATAATTCCAGAGGCCAACTCTTCAGACAAAGATTGGACTGCACTGTGGGACATAAAATGATACTCGTGAAGAGTGTACTTCTTAGCTCAAGTAGATACATGAGACTAAATGGGCAGCTTCTGTCCAGAGGTGAGATGAGAAGGCAGAGAGGGTTAGGCGCTGGTTAAATGGACACGGGATATCAGGGGTGGAAAGGAGGAGTGTGCTGTCACAGTATAGGGAGAGCAATTAGGGTCACATAACAATGTATGTATAAATTTTTGTATGAGAGACTAACATGAATCGTAAACTTTCACTTAAACTACAACAATTAAAAAAAAAATTCTCTTTGCTCAGATCAATTGATTCATCTGAGGCCCTTGAACTACCAGGGGTAGTTGATGTGATCACAGCTGAGGATATTCCAGGCACCAATGGTGCCGAAGATGACAAATTATTGGCTGTAGATGAGGTATGGAATATGCCTTCCCAGATGCTTTGTGCAGATAATCACCAAGGACCATTTCCTCTGGCTTTCCATTGCTTCCCAGCTATCTCTGCTGTTAGGGGGTAGAAGTATCAAGCCTCCCAGCTTCTCTCTACCCCTATCATCTTCATTCAGACCTACTCTTCTGGAGTCAGGAAAAAGGATCGTAAAAGGAAACTTACTGCAGTAAAGTGACAAGTCCTAGTTGTGCCACCAACTGTGTGCTCTTAAGTCAATTCACTCTCATCTGAAGACTAAATGCAAGGAACTGATCTGTGTCAGAAAGATCTAGAAGAAGTACAAAAAATACAACCACTCCCTTTATCTACTCTGAGCCCCCTCCCTTCTTGACCTCTCTCCCACCTCCCACCTGCTTTCACATATCCATTTTTAATAAGGTAACCCTTGCCATCTTGGACCTTTTAATTCAATTCAACAATCATTTCATTGAGTACTTGCTTTTGGAGCCAGACTGCCTAGGTTCAGGTTCCGGCTCTGCCACTCCCTAGCTGTGCTACCTTGGGTTTCTTTTTATCATCTGTAAAATGGGAATAACCGTAGCACCCACCTTACTGTGTTGCTGTGAGATTTAAATGAGTCAATACATGTAAAGTGCTTAGAACAGTGCTTGGCATGTGAAGGCTCTCAGTAAAGGTTAGCTGTTATTGTCACATCTCAGTAAGTCCAACACAGACTGTTTCTCCTCCCACCACAGAACACATCACTGTCCTTTCAGTTGAACTCTAGATGAAGAGGTTGGCTGTCACTAGGAACATACTGTACAAAAAATGGTTTCCTTACGTTTAAACTCTAAAATGAAACTATGAGGGTGACACCTGTAAACCAAGTTCAATAGAAGACACAGCAGATTTAGATCACAGTCAATCTCACACTCACTCTGGGGCTTACATTCATTGAGTAAAATGGCCAACGGAATTGTCTGTATTATTTAAATTATTTTTTCATTCAGAATTTTTTGACCAAGCACATACAGTTGAGTGTGACTGTGACTTCAGTATGGTTATTATCGCTTAACAACGAAAACTAAGACACTAGACACTGCTGAGGTTGAATTCAGCCTACCCCCACCTAGAATTTTCCACCAGTTCCACGCGTGTACTTTCCACAGGTACTTTGCGTGGGCCAGCTTATCTGTGCTGTGGTTGCAGAGACTGAGGTACAGGTGAAGCAAGCAATTGAAAAGGTAAAGATCACCTATGAAGATCTGGAGCCTGTAATCTTCTCTATCTAGATAAGTAGGGCTGCCTGTCTTTCCATAAGGCTGTGGAATCAAAAATACCTTTGTAAATATGTTTGTGCAATACTAATTCAGGGTTCTAATTTGTTCTTGTCACTGGCTTTCTTTGGAAAAATCCACTTTCTCTGGAAGATATTACTTGCATGAGTTGGAATTAGCTTTGGCTCCCAAAAACAGGAAAGGAAAAAAAAAAACAGAATAGAGGTTTCTTTCTTTCTCACATTCAGAGAGTCTAGACATGTTCAATCCAGGGCTTGTATGCGGGTTCAAGTGTCAGAGATCCAGGTCCCATTTTAGTCCACAATAGCTGCTGAAGCTCTTGCCATTAAATTCACATTCCAGGGAGCAAGGAGAATGAGATGATGAGGACGGACATGCCCCCTCCTTTTAAGGACACTTCCTAGAAGTTGCCCATACGTCCTTACGTCTCATTGGTTAGAACCTAGTCACATGCCACACCTAACTCCAAGGGGGGCTGGGCATTTTATTCCAGGTGGCCATGTACCCGGCTAAAAATTGAGGGTTCTATCCTAGAGAACACTATGGGGCAGTTCTACTCTGTCACATAGGGTCTCTATGAGTCAAAAATTAATTTGACAACACCTAAAAACAACAATTACTTGAGGAAGATGATGAGAATGGATATTGGAGAAAATAATGTTTTCAAGGTGAAGCCCAACAAATGGGACTTTTGTGGTGGAGTTCCACAGAAATTTCCACTGTCATTTCTGGGTTTGCATGAAGAAATTCAAGATAGTATTTCTAGCGAAGATAATGGAAAATTCAGACATGGACTAGAGTTTGCAGATTCTAAGTTGTCAAGGATTTCACTTTACTTGGATCCACAATCAATGCCCACGGAAGCAGTGGTCAAGAAATCAAACGACGCATTGCATTGGGCAAATCTGCTACAAAAGGCCTCTTTAAAGTGTTAAAAAGCAAAGATGTTACCTTGAGGATTAAGGTGCGCCTGACCCAAGCCATGGTGTTTTCAATCACCTCATATGCATGCAAAAGCTGGACAATGAATAAGCAAGACCGAAGAAAAATTGATGCATTTGAATTATGGTGTTGGCAAAGAATATTGAATACACCCTGGACTGCCAGAAGAACAAATAAATCTGTCTTGGAAGAAGTACAGCCAGAATGCTCCTTAGAAATGAGGATGGCAAGACTACATCTCACGTACTTTGGACATGTTATCAGGAGGGACCAGTCCCTGGAGAAGGACATCATACTCGGTAAAGTAGAGGGTGAGCAAAAGAGAGGAAGACCCTTATGAGATGGACTGACGTAGTGGCTACAACAATGGGCTCAAGCATAACAACAATCATGAGGATGGCACAGGACCGGGGAGTGTTTCATTGTGTTGTACACAGTGTCACCGTGAGTAGGAACTGACTTGACAGCACCTAACAACTGTTCAGTAAGAAAAGTTTACTTGTTTGTGTGCGTATGAAGACAATAAAAAATGTTCAAAGGCCCTAGCATACCATGAGCTAAAACATTTGTATCAGTTTCCTAGGGCTGCCGTAACAAGTTACCACAAACTGAGTGACTTAAAACAACAGAAATTTATTCTCTCACACTTCTGGAGGCCAGACATTCGAAATCATTGTGTCAGCAGGGTCACGCTCCCTCTGAAGGCTCTAGGGGAGGATCACTGCTTGCCTCTTCCAGCCTCTGGTGACTCCAGGCTTCCTCGGCCTGTGCCAGCATAACTCCAGTCTCTGCCTCTGTCTTCACAAGGCTTCCCTCCCTTGCCCCTCCCCCCACCTCTTTATGTCTCAAATCTCCCTCTCCTTTCTCTTTTAAAGACACCAGTCATTGGATGTAGGGCCCACCCTAAATCCCAGATGATCTTATCCCAAGATCTTAACTTAATTACATAATTACATCTCAAAGACCCTAGTCCCAGATAAGGTCACATTCATGAGTACCAGGGATTTGGGGGGGATACTATTCAACCCACTACAGTATTCATCCAAAACTCAATGCCAGGTACATCTAACATGTACAAATTGCTCAATATTCAAAGTATAAAAAAAGTAATGTCTCTTGATCTTTTTAAACCGAATCAACTTTAGCTGCAAATTCCCATTTGCCAAGTTTACAAGAAGTTCAAATCATTTTTCTTGGCTTACTCTCCTTCCTTGGGTTGTGCTAAGGTTTTAACATAGATTTTTGAATTTTCAGTTCTAACACCATTCTCTTCAGGGAAGATATGGCAATTGCCAAGGGGTAGCCCAGAGGACACACCATGAAATATCCTGGTGCTCAGAATGGTTAGAGATCCAGAGTTCCCTCAAAAGGGGGATGCTCAGAGCCAGCAAAAGATTATTGTGTGAACAAAAGCAGGTAACAGTCATATATAGTAATACTTACTCATTCATTTATTCATTTATATGACTATATATAGGAGAGACAGTGTAGGGTAATGGTTCTTCTGGCAGTCCATGGTATAGTCAATATTCTTTGCCAACACTATAATTCAAATGCATCAATTCTTCTTAGGTCTTCCTTATTCATTGTCCAGCTTTCACATGCATGTAAGACGATTGAAAACACCATAGCTTGGGTCAGGTGCACGATAGTCCTAACACAATAATATGTTCAAAAAATTAAAATAAAAGTATAGCTATCCTGGAACCAAACTACAGTTACTAATGTGTGACTTTATGCAACTTACTTAAACTCTCTGTGCCATGGTTTTCTCATCAGTAAAATAGGGATAATAATAATATCTACCTCATCAAGTTGTTGTAAGACTAAATGAGTATATACATATAAAGCATTTAAAATGGTGATTGGCACATAGTTAGCACTCATTAAATATAAGCATATTTTATAATAAGGCCATACTGTCTTATGACACATTTGCAATACAGAAATAAATGTATTTCTGCATGTACCAGGGTAAGTTATTGAAATCTTGATGTAGCAGAAAATGGAAAAAATCTCATTATGTTGATCATTTTCTGCTATTTTGAGAAATGACTTATGCATTAGGGAAAAAGAACAAAACCTGTTGCCATCAAGTCAATTCTGATTCACAGCAACCCTATAGGAAAGAGTAGAACTGCCCCATAGGGTTTCCGAGGAATAGGTGGTGGATTCAAACTGCTGACCTTTTGTTTAGCAGCTGAGCTCTTAACCACTGTACTACTAGGGCTCCAATTCATTAGGAAAAGTATTTCTGAAAACTAAGCCTGGGCTTGAAAGCTGGTTCTATCACTTATTTGCAGTGTGACCTTGAGAAAGTAGTTTTAACCTCTCTAAACCCATTTTCCTCATCTGGAAAATGGGGATCATAACAGAAATAATGTGAGAATCCATGTAAAGCATGTAGGATAGTGCTAGACACAAAGCAAGCACTCAAAAAAATGCTAGCTGCTCTCGTTATTATCATTTTTATTATCATCACTAGCAGGAAAGGCTATGGAATCTACAGCTGTTGGAGTCTAAGAGTGTAGGACACAGGTCCCATTCTGAAGTAGGGGAAAAACACCTGGAGTCCAAGGGCTAAGCAAAGATCAGCTGTCAGTAGGTTCAATCGACAAAACCACAGAAAGGAATGCCTCCCACCAGTCTTCATGTGTGAGTCAGTTCATGTTACTGTCAGGACAAAAAAAAAAAAGGAACAAAGGGCTGGAAAGAGGCTTGTGAGATATCCAAGCACCAAAAACAACGAACAAACATCCTAAAATGTCTATGGGGCTTTCTTGCCTCAGGGATGCATAAGAACTGGTATCTTTTCCCTCAACACAGTTTCTTCAGTTCATCCAGATTTCTGAGCTAGAGGCTTCTGTACATGACGTACCTAACAAGTCTGACACAAGTGTTTTTATCCAGAGAGAGGGTAAAATTGAAGGGCCTAGAACCTCCCCTATAATGCATTTGGATCTATCACCTGTTCCCTGGAGATCGATGTTGAAAAACACAATGGGTACTTCTCAGCCTGGACCATCACAGTGTCCCCAGGGCTCAGTTCTGAACATAGCTTCTTTCTTAAGGTCTCACTAATCCTTACTAGTTTTCTCTGCACATCTAGAAGACATCCTCCCTGACGTCTGTCTCTCTGGTAGGCCTCTACTCTAGTAACCACTTGCTTGCAGGACTCTTTCATGTGTTTTAGTAGATGGCCATTTTCAGAATTTTACCGGCTTTGAAAAAACTTCCAATGAAAGAAAAAGTAAGAAGAATCGGCTTTTGTGCTTTTTTCCCTGTTATTTAGGATGCCATAAAACAGAATTCATTCCTATGCCCTGAAAAAAAACTTGAGCAAGGAAACATTGAGGAGGCATTTGAAAAAGTTGATCAAATTGTTGAAGGTAAGCTACTCAGGATATTTAATAGAATATTTGCCTAATTCTATTGAAGCAAACATTAAGAGCGTGTTATTTCACCCTCAGAAAGACCATCCTCTAAAGTCTTAGCACTTTGCTAAATTTCTGTTATGCCTCTTCCTCTAAAATCGTGGGGTGGGGGTGGGGAGGCAGGTAGGTGGTAGGAAGCAACAGAGTAAACAGAAGAAAAATTTCTAAGATTTTGTTTAGTTAAGAACAGACTAAGGAATGGAAGCTAGCTCTTGTTATCAGAACTATAATCTCTGAAACAAATCCTTAGTTGCCACAGAACAAATACCTGGTCTATCAGTTCTTTGGCCAGGACAAGTCCAGGCCAGCCAGTATGTGTCTTACTTGCTTCTGAATTCTCCAAAATGGCGACTCCCAACCAGCACCCACCCTCAGGAGTTTCCCTGTGCTTGTGCTTGACAGGGGAGGTGCATGTTGGAGGACAGGAACATTTTTACATGGAAACACAAAGAGTGCTTGTTATTCCAAAGGCAGAGGACAAAGAACTGGACATTTATGTGTCAACACAGGATCCAGCCCATGTGCAGGTGAGGTCCAGGGTCATCCCCACCTCCTCAACTTCCTACCTCCATCATGGCAGTTGATTCCCACAGCCTCAGGGTAGGCAACCCATTTTACCTGCAGAAACTTCGGATTCAAGTATTAGATGTCAGTAAAGCAGCTAAGATTCCAGAATTTTTTTTTTCCTGGTCTTATCAAGTAAATAAAAGAACAGCCACAGTAACTTTAGGTTGAAAACAACATTTATTTGCATCGTACTTAAATAAACTCTGTGATTGGATGACAATACTAAATTATTTTTGTACTCAATTTTTCTCTAAAATACTCATGACAGATACTCTTGGAGTAAACACATCACTTTATAGCACATTTTAATTTCCCCAGTCACAAAATGCTCTAGGTTTTAGCTGCTTACATATCTTTTCCTTTACCCCCTTGGGACCTTGGGTCTGGGCATTTGACTAAGAATCCAGCTTCTTACAGGAATCCAGGACACTCTGACAATTTCCCTTCTGCTGAAAGGGCTGTTTTGTGGAGATTAAGGATGCAAGACAGATTCAGACAATCCCATTTTTTTTTTTAACCAACAGTAGATATGAATGAATTCTGCTGTGATGTTGTGTTTCAGGAAGCATAAAGCTTCTTTGCCATTTTGCTCTTGTGAAACCTTCCCATGATCTCCCTTTTACAGTAAACAGTGTCCTCCACTCTAAGCATCCCCATCAACAGGATCACCTGTCACGTAAAACGAGTTGGTGGGGGTTTTGGAGGGAAAGTGGGAAGACCGGCTGTACTTGGGGCTATTGCAGCTGTGGGTGCTGTAAAGTAAGTGTTTTGGGGGATAGGGGAGGGTGTAAAATGGCACAGGCCTGAAGGCAAATCAGTGGCTTGAGAGTCGCGTGGTTGCTGTCACAACTAGCTGTGTGTCCTTGGGCGACTCAGCCTCCTGTCTCTTTTTCTTTAGCTATAAAATGTAGATAATAATACCTAACCTCCCACTCTCCAAGAGTTATTGCAAAAGTTTGAAAAGGCTAATATGCTATAAAAAGGAAAAGTGTAACTATTACTCAAATATTACTGCTCCATCCCTGAGCTTCAGGGGAAAGTGATCAGTTTGGAGGTGGGGCAAGTCATCTTGTCCAAGTGCAGTGCCCAGAAGGAGGCTGTTGTTGTTGATTGCCCTGGAGTCGGCTCTGACTTATGGTGACCCCACGTACAACAGAACAAAACTTTGCCTGGTCCTGCACCATCTTCACAATTGTTGGTATGCTCAAGTCCATTGCTGTGGCCACTGTGTTGTTGTTGTTGTTTTTGGATCAGTCAATATAAAATTAGTTATGTATTTTTTTATTGTACTTTAGATGAAGGTTTACAGAACAAATTAGTTTCTCATTAAACAATTAATACACGTATTGTTTTGTGACTTTGGTTGCAAAACAACCAACCCCATGAAATGTCAACATTCTCCCTTTCTCGACCTTGGGTTCCCCATTACCAGCTTTCCTATCCCTTCCGGTCTTCTCGTCCTTGCCCCTGGGCTATCATGCCCATTTAGTCTCGTTTTGTTTTATAGGCCTGTCTAATCTTTGGCTGGCGGGTGAACCTTAGGAGTGACTTCATTACTGAGTGAGAAGGATGTCAAGGGGCTATACTCTCAGGGTTTCTCCAGCCTCTGTCAGACCGTTAAGTCTGGTCTTTTTTGTGAGTTAGAATTTTGTTCTACATTTTTCTCTAGCTCTGTCCAGGACTATTTACTGTGATCCCTGTCAGAGCAGTTGGTGATGGTAGCCAGGCACCATCTAGTTGTACTGGAGTCAATCTGGTGTGGCCACTGTGTATTTTGAGTGCCTTCCAACATAGGGGGCTCATCAGACAATATTCTCTTGTGATCCATAGAGTTTTCACTGCCTCATTTTCAGAAGTAGATCTCCAGGCCTGTCTTCCTAGTCTGTCTTAGTCTGGAAGCTCCGCTGAAACCTGTTCACCATGGGTAACCTTGCTAGTATTTGAAATACTAGTGGCATAGCTTCCAGCATCATAGCAACATGCAAACCATCCCAGTGCAACAAACTGACAGGTGGTAGAAACAGGAGCCTACCCCCCACTTTTCCTTCCTACCCTCAGCCCCAAGACAGGGTGGGGTAAAAAAAGAAAGGTTTTCCATCCTCTGCCTTCCTTCACCTGGGAAGGGCTGGCTCTTCAAGTTCTGCTTAATGGAAGGATGACTCATCCTTGGAGGCCTCCCTGGCTACCCTGAACCAGGAGGCTTGCTCCTTTGCTGTTCATGCCTCAGCACTCATGTTTAGTTGGTGCTGGCTTTTCTGTTACTTATTCATTTTCTGTGACTGTTTCTTTGGTAATTTGTCAGAGCCCCAATCAGCCTGCAAAGTTTACTAGTCCTGCTTCCTTTGACAAATGTGTAGTTCAGAGTTGGGCCCCGAAGCACAAAGATATGTGTTTCAGTCTGCAAAGAAAGGTGACAAAAAGCAGGATCTCAATACCATCTCCTGTTCTTTACATAATGAGCCCCTCCTTACTCACACCCACTTGGGATCCATCAAGGGATAATCCACTGATCATTTTATTCCCGCCAGGTTTTGTGCCTTTGTTGTTATCAGGTGCTATCGAGTCAGTTCCAACTCATATCACCCCATGTGACAGAGTAGGATTGCCCCATAGGGTTTTCTTGGCTGTAATGTTTATGTAAACAGATTGCCAGGTCCTTCTCCCACAGAGCCACTGGATGGGTTCAAACCGCCCACCTTTCAGTTAGCAGCCAGGCGCTTAACTGTTTGCACTACAGTTAAGGCTCCTTTTGTATCTTTAAGACTTTTCAAACATGACTGCAATTAGAATCATCTAGGAAGCACTTAGATCCCAATACCCAGCTGCCCTCCTACTTATTGAGGTATCAGTCTATTTTCAAACTTCCCTGGTGATTCCACTGTACAACCAAGTGTGAGAACTGGCACCTTAAGATACAGTCCCACCTGCGCACAACTGCTGTGCATTTAGTGATCCCTAGAGTAATGGTCAAAAACCTCCCTGCTGATAAGAGTCACCTGAAACCATAGAAATTCCTGCTTCCCCATCCCAGACCCACTGAAACAGAATCACCTGGAGAGAGACCTGGAACCCATACATTTAACCGGTGCTTCTCCTTACTAAGGAAGCCGTGTGCTAGAACGGAGGCCTGTGGCTCAGTGGTTAAGAACTAGGCTGCTAATCAAAATGTTGGTGGTTTGAATCCACCAGCCACTCCTTGGAAACCCTATGGGACGGTTCTATTCTGCCGTGTAGGGTTACTATGAGTCGGAACTGACTCGATGGTAGTGGGTTTGGTTTTTTGATTTGTACTAGAACAGTGGTTTTCAATGTGAGCCTGAAGACACCTGCATCAGAATCACTGTGGATGCTTGAAAAAAATGCAGATTCTAGGTTTCCACCCCAATATATTGAATCAGAATTTTAGTACTAAGGCCCAGGAATCTGCATTTTCACCCTTGCTCCAGATGATTCTTTTGCACTCCGAAGTCTGGCAACCTCTACCCTAGAGATACAGAACGGCCAAGGCTCGCCACCAACGTGGCCAATATAGTAACATTCATGGGTGAAAACGAGGATGATAACCGGATAGCCTATCACGAGTGTTTGGCCTTGTTTTTCTAGTTGTGTTGTTAAGTCTGTATTTATCTGCTTACACTCCTCCTTTGTAGCCAGTGGTGGAGATATGCAAAATGGCTGACCCAGCTGAAGGTCAAATTTGAAACCATAAGAACACAAGTCAACTGACACGTGACATTAATCTCATTAGCTAGATCTCTGCCATTGAGTTATGGCCACAGAGACAATAGTAATTTAGACATACCTTAATTCCGATCATCACCTAGTACATTGTATGATCTCAATAAATATATATGGGATGGATGGATGAGTGGGTAGATGGATGGATGGATAGATGGATGCATGCATGGATGGATGCATGGATGGGTAAATGAATGGTTGAATAAATGGGTGGGAGGGTGGATTTTGGATTGATGGGTGGGTGGGTGAGTAGATGAATGGATGGATAGGTGGTTAAATGAGAGGATGGATAAATAGGGGGAGTGAATAGGTAGGTGGATAGACGGATGGATGGGATGGAGAGGCTGGCTAACTAAGATGCATTTTCTTTAGAACTGGTCTCCCCGTTCGTCTTGTTCTTGATCGTGAAGATGATATGTTAATAACTGGGGGAAGGCACCCATTATTTGGAAAATATAAAGTGAGTATTAAAGATGAAATTATTAAAATGCCTTATTTTATCTGAGTGATTTTGTTCTTTTCTATTATTTCAATTTTGCTAAATTCTAAAAATAAACAATAGTCTTAAAATCCAAACTATTACACGAGAATGCTCTGCCTTTGAATTCTCAGGTCATTTTATGAGGGACTTTTAATAAATCTAGAGTATAATTAATAAGAAGTGTAATGATAAAAATACAATTTCAGGTAATGATAGAACACTACGTAAAGAAATAAGTGAGAGAAAGACCTGGCCATCTGCTCCCATAAAGATTACAGCCTAGGAAACCCTATGGGGGAGTTCTACTCTGTCCTGTAGGGTCACTATGAGTCAGAATAACTCAGCAGCACCCAACAACAACAAAGAAATAAGAGTTTACATCAGCGCTTCCTCAAAGACAAAAACACTGAAAGAAGATACAAATATTGTTATAGCAAAACTTCTTGATATAAAAATACTATTTTGCAATAGAAATGTTTAGAAGATAATTGACCATTTTAGCTGCAAAATCAGGTTTTACAAGTGTTTCTACCAAATGGTTATGAAAAATGTCACAAACGTTCTTTGCAGAGGGGAAAAAAGAATATGCTAATTAATGAAGTAACTTAAAAGGTTTTCAAACCACATTCAGTGCATTTTTTGTGCAATTATAGTATAAACGCTGTTTAAAAAAAATACTTATTGGGATCTAGTTGACAACAATACAGTAAAATCTACAAAAGCCGGAAACTGTGTCAGACAGAAACCTGTCAGAGAAGGCAAAGGCAAATATTTTCCACTAATAGAGAGCGATAGAAAAGTGGTAAGACTGCACCTTGTCAAAGGGGGAAAGCTTGCAAAGCCCGGAAAAACAAGGCAGTCCTGTCAAGTTCCGACTCTGATAAGTTTCGTCCTACTATACTTTTCAAATTTGTGATTGAGCTGTTAGGATGCAATGCAATGTTTCCATACCAAACATGTTTTATTTGGGAATTACTTATAGCATACACAAAGCTAGATTTTCTATCTGATTTTGTTTTTGCCTTAGATTAATCAATTATTATATTGCCTATATTACTAAGGAGTCCTGGTGGCCAGGTAGTTTAAGAACTCAGCTGCTAATCAAAAGGTCAACAGTTTACATTCACCAGTGCTCCTTGGAAGTACTATAGGGTCTCTGAGTTGGAATCGACTTAACGGCAACAGGTTTGGTTTTGGTTTATATTACTAAGGTCTTTGCTTTCCATATCACAGCGCAGTTTTATTTCTTCCATTGATGTTAGTAATTTTTATAATTAGAGAGGAAGGGAAGGACGTTGTCCATTGAACTTTTTATTTGCTTTCAAATGCGGAGTAATTTATACTCATAGTGAGCAATGTACAGACACAGCGCTGGCATTGTGGCAGTTGGTGTTGTTATGGTGGTTGTTGAGTCCTTTGATTTGTGGCCTGGATTTATAAATCAGGCTTTCTGTCACAGCTGAGACACTGTTTCAAAACTAGTACTTATTAAGAAGATTCTAGACTCTTGATATTTGGTAACTATAATAATATCAAACACAATAAAAAAGAGGGAAACTGTCAGACTTTTTGAAAAATCCAAATTTTATTTTAAAATAAATGTAATTTCACTTCCAAATAAATATAATAATAGAGACATAATTTCACTTCCAAATAAATATAATAATAAATATCCTCATTCAAACCTTGCTAACAAAGTTTTGCTTGGTTATTCAGACCCCATTGTAAATTAACACAACAGATGTTTATTGTGAACAGGTTCTTCAAAATTCTTAAAAAGTTTATATTAAATAGTTTAAGAATTCTCTCTAATTTATAGTACTATTTTGCTTAGTAAAATCTTTCTTCATGAAAAGTTCAAGGTAAACTTGACCCTTTCACTTGTCAAAATTACTGTAAATTCTGATTTTGTGGATTTTCCTACATTTCTTAACTGCTCTGTGATTTATTATCCAACATTTTCCTTGGAGTCAATGATAATAACCATATAATTATATGATTTCTTCAGATGTATTCATCCCTGCTATCAGAAAGACAAAGGGACGCGGAGCAATCCTTTTTGGTAGAACTATAATAGAAAACAAAAAACCAAACCAGTTGCTGTCAAGCCAATTCCAGCTCATGTATATAAGAGTAGAACTGTGCTCCATCAGGTTTTCAATGGCTGATTTCTTGGAAGTCGATTGTCAGGACTCTCTGGGTGGACTCAAACCTTCAGCCTTTCATTTAGCAGCCAAGTGCTTAACCGTTCGTTTATGCCACCCAGGAATGCCTAGAACTACAAAAGTGAGTAGGAATTTTTCTCTTCAATCTGGACTGTACAGATAAAATGGTGTGGATGGGCAGGAGAAGGGTGGCAACTTCAGAAAAATGAAAACTGCCTGAAATGATTCCAAAATAGCGACAACAGCACTAGCTCACATAGGTGTGTCCCATAGCCATTTTCAATGGCTTCAGCTTCACCACCTCAGTAGAATGAGAGCAGTCACTCACGTGTGTCCATTCCCAGAGCTCTGCGTCAGAGGCTTTTTCCCAGCAAGATACTCTGTGACTCATTCCATTGCACTCTGGAGTTCCAGAGACTTTTCCCTAAGGGAGAAAACCACAGACTAAATTAGAAGGAAAGCCCGTAAAAAAATGAAGGCGAATCTTCCAAACTTAAGGAAGAAGAGAGTGGCAATCATATGCCCGGAGACAAGCAAGGGCTGGAGAATTCCGTACTGACTGTACAGCAGGGAAATTATCTATTGAAAGGAAAGTGCTCACAAAATTCAGGTTAGAAGAGGTCTCTGTCAGTCAAGCACTGAAAAGCAAGCCAGGCATGGTACACCACAGAGCAGGCAGGGAACAGTCTGTTGTCAGTCCTGCACTGGGCTGTGGCTCACACTTGGCACATAATCATAAACATTTCAGTAAAATATCTGTCATTTGGTAACAGGTGGGCTTCATGAACAGTGGGCGAATCAAAGCTCTGGACATTGAGTGCTACATTAACGGAGGATGCGTGCTGGATGCCTCGGAGCTGGTATGTGCCTCAGAAACCAGCACGCCCTTCTTGTGAATAGAACGTAAAACGTCTAGATTAGTCTTTAAGGAGCATGTTCCTTCAAGCAGTAAACAAATTCCACAGGCAGTTCCATTCTGTACTTGACTTTCAGGGAAAAGAAAAAAAGTGTCGTCTAATATATGTGAACATCTCCTTTTACTTTAGGTAACAGAATTTCTTATATTAAAGCTGGAAAATGCATATAAAATCCGCAACCTCAGGTTCCGGGGCCGAGCATGCATGACCAGTTTACCATCCAATACAGCCTTCCGTGGATTCGGCTTCCCACAGGGAGCCCTGGTAACAGAATCTTGCATCACAGCTGTGGCAGCCAGATGTGGCCTTCTGCCAGAAAAGGTGAGGTTGTAACCAGGTTCATAACCAAGGTTCTGAAGAATCAAACAAGGTGGGGGACCCAGTATCTTGACCCAAGGAAACACACTGGAAGAACCACACAAATTAACCCCAACTCAGAAGTCAAAATAAATTGTTATCTAGAAGAATGCACTTTCCCCATCTTACTCCCTCCTTTCTTAAGCAAAAAAAAAAAAAAAAGTTGTCATGGAGTTGACTCTGACTCATGGTGACTCCATGTGTGTCAGAGTAGAAATGTGCTCCATAGAGTTTTCAATGGATGATTTTTTTGGAAGTAGATAGCCAGGCCTTTCTTCCCAGGCACCTCTGGGTGGACTCGAACCTCCAACCTTTTGGTTAGCAACCAAGCGCTAACCATTTGCACCACTCAGGGATGCCTCCTTAAGTGAACATTTCTCTTTTCCTTTTATTTATTAAAAAAAAAAATAACAATTACTTTTTAAAAATTCAAACAGTACTGAAGTAATTGAAGTTAAAAGTGAAAGCCCCAGTAACAGTCAGAATTCCTCAGAGAAACAGAATCATTTGGGGATCTCTATCTATCCTCACAACTGGACCAATAAGCAGCATCATGATAAATGGAGAGAAGATTGAAGTTGTCAAGGATTTCACTTTACTTGGATCCACAATCAATGCCCATGGAAGCAACGGTCAAGAAATCAAACAACGAATTGCGCTGGGTAAATCTGCTGCAAAAAACCTTTTTAAAGTGTTGAAAAGCAAAGATGTCTCTTTGAGGACTAAGGTGTGCCTGATATGCATGCAAAAGCTGGACAATGAATAAAGAAGACAGAAGAATTGATGCCTTTGAATTATAATGCTGGTGAAGAAGATTGACTATACCATGGACTGCCAGAAGAGCGAACAAGTCTGTCTTGGAAGACGTACAGCCAGAGTGCTCCTCGGAGGTGAGGATGGAGAGACTTCATCTCACCTACTCTGGACGTGTTATCAGGAGGGACCAGTCCCTGGAGAAGGACATCATGCTTGGTAAAGTGGAGGGTCAGTGAAAAAGAGGAAGACCCTTGACACAGTGGCTGCAACAATGGGCTCAAACATAGCAACAATTGTGAGGATGGTGCAGGACAGGGCAGTGTTTCATTCTGTTGCACATAGGGTTGCTATGAGTTGGAATTGACTCGACAGCACCTAACAACAAGAACGATCTACATTCTTTTTCATGACTGAATAGTATTATGTAATACTAATGTATTGTAATTTATTTAACCACTCCATTATTAATACATATTCAAGCTGTGACCCATTTTTGACTATTAAAATAATGCTGCAATAAACATCAGCAGCCTCTTTCTGATCTAGCACAACATACATCCTGTGTACCTTCTAGGAGATATTGCACAAGACAATATTTTTGGAGGGTATTCTTTCGGCATAAATCTTCAGTTATGACAATAAATTCCCTGAGTATAGACATGAGCTGTCTACCAGCTCTGCTTCATTCCCTGAACCTTGTGGGAAAAGAAGAAAAATCTGCCTCCATCCAAGGCCCCTCTATCCCACTGTCCCTCACAGACAAGCTACTATCCACTACCCTCCACTGCCAGTGGGGAGGGACCCTGATTGGCACATTGAAGAAGAGATGAGAAATAACCCTCATTATTTTTGCAAAAGCACATGCTGTTCCAAAAAAAAAAAAAAGAACCAGACACTGCTTTCCCCCCTCCAAAGTCCGTGCTTTAGTGGGGAGTCTTTTCCGATCTCTATTTTGAGATCAGTTTCTGTCTTACCATATCTATTGACTCGATCTCTCACCCATTTCAGATTAGAGAGAAAAACATGTACAGAACAATTGATAAAACCATCTACAAACAAGCGTTCAGCCCTGAGACTCTGATCAGATGTTGGAAGGAATGTCTGGACAAGTCTTCCTTTCACAGCAGGAGGCAAGTGGAAGAGTTCAATAAGAAGAATTACTGGAAGAAGAAAGGCATTGCTGTTATCCCCATGAAGTTTTCAGTCGGCTTTGCTGCAACAAGTTACCATCAGGTAAGATTCAATTTTTCTCTGTTACTGGGAAACTATCCATGGTGAGTAACCCTCATGTCAGAGACAATCCTGGCCCAATCAGCTTGTGTCACCTTTGGGAGGGTGTGACATTTCCAGGGCAGTAAGCCCCTCCCCCTAGCACTTGAGAGAAAGGTACTGACCCCTCCTGAGCAGCCCCCCATCTGCAAACACTTTTAATGTAGTGCAGTGGAAAACGGTCTCAAAGGCAGAAAATAGCATCAGCAAGCATGAGGCCTGAGCAGCATAACTGTCGAGGTGGAGCATCGGTCCACACGGACTCACCACTATTCAAGAGGGGAACAGGTGCTCACAAGGCCCATGGTGCTGTGCTTTCTGAGCCCAGGGCTCTCATGGCTTGGATAGGATTGGGGCCTCTCCTGGCCTGTTCCCCAGACTCCCACAGCATCCCTTAGTGCACGTGCTAAGTTTTTGGCAGAGAAGCCGTTCCATTTTGTCCAAACCAGCGGGCAGTTTCAAGCCACCTTTTCCAGGAACCTATGTCACTTCTGGTGGGTCCAGAAACCCTCCCAGGTAAATTTGCTACTTAGAGGTGAGTCATTCACAGGCCCAGAAGGGAGAAGGAAGGGCAGCATAAGATGAGTCCATTAAATAGAAAGGCCTGGCACAGGAGAGCCTTCCCAGCAATCCCAATGAGTCACATACAGGAAAGCTGTTTAGAAAACTGGGAGAGGTTGTTGCCTTCCCATTACTGTCCATCAAAAGCAGAAAAATCAGGAACTGGGAAGATCTTACATGCCTTAGCACTCCCTTGTGTGGACACCATTGAAAGCATTCTTCCACTTGCACTCCGCTACTGGCAGCCAATAGACACATACACACACACACACACACACACACACACACACACACACCCCAAAAGCTGCCCTGCCAAAGGAAATCTTCCTTAGGGAATAAAGCAGTTGCCCTAAAATCCCTAATCAACTGGAGACAGGCAGACCTGAGAAATCCTTGGCCCTGCTACATGCTAGCTGTGTGACATTAAGCAAGTTATTTAACCTCTCTGGGCCTCAGCTCAATTATAAAATGAGGACAACAATGACTCTCTCAGGACTGATGAGGGTAAATGAGATAGCGTATATAAAGCACTTGGCAGGATTCCTGGCACACTCTGGACGTTATCCAGGGCAGCCCTAAGCCCTCCCCAGGAGCTCTCAGACACAGGTACTCTCAGGGCTATCACTATTCTGGTGGGCAGAATAAGATTCCCTTGTCTTCTGGGCCACATTCCTGTTTGAGTCCAGTGTAACTATTCTATAAAGAGGTGTAATAAGGTTAACTGTCATGTCCACACTCCTGGACTTAATCAATGGCTGGGGCATAAGAGACCCCAGATAGCCGCCCCTCATCTGTACGGCCGCCCCTTATCAAAACCACAACCCACTCTCTGCCATCTCTCTCATTCATGTCCACGGCAGCCAACCTCTCATCTCACCCCAAACGGCATCTGTTATGGATTGAATTTTGTCACCCAAAAAAATATATGTTGAAGTACTAACCCCGGTACTGTAAATATGACCCAGTTTTGAAACAGGTAATTTCTTTTGTTATGTTAATGAGGTCATATCAGAGTAGGGTGGCTCCTAAACCTAATCACTTCTGAGTTATAAAAAGAATAGACTAGACACAGAGACATACACGGGAGAAGAAGACAGACGACCGGGACAGATGCCAGGAACACCAAGGACTGCTAGCAGCTACTAGAAGCTAAAGTTGACAAAGAAGGATTTCCCCTAGGGCCACTCCCTGAATTCGGACTTCTAGTCTCCTAAACTGAGAGAAAATAAGTTTCTGTTCTTTAAAGCCTCACACTTGTGGTATTTCTGTTATGGCAGCACTGGGTACCTAAGACCCAAAATCAAACCCACTGCCATCGAGTCAATTCCGACACATAGCAACCCTATAGGGCAGAGTAGAACTGTACCATAGCATTTTCAAGGCTATAAATCTTTACAGAAGCAGACCGCCACATCTTTCTCCCACAGAGCAGCTGGTGAGTTCGAACCACCAACTTTTAGTTGGCAGCCGAGCACTTTAACACTACGCCACCAGGGCTACTTGTACCTAAGACAGCATATTTAAAATAAGCAATGACTTTAAGTCTCCATTTGAAAGGCCTCCATTTTCCCACAGAGTTCTAAATTGATGTACCTAAGAATTACCTGGCTAGGAGTTGAAGCTGTTACTCCAGGTCAGCTGATGACTCACAAACCAGCTGGAACACCTACCTTTAAACTGGGTGTCAGAAGCACTGTCCTCAGAGGGTGTCAAAAGGCCCACCATCAGTAAATACTATTACTAGTACTTACAAGCCCTGATGCTCCCAGAGTTCCTCCAAGCCATCCCTAGGCCTCCAGGCATCCCCGACAAACCAGACTAAAGTCTTAATTATTCCTCCTCCTCCTGGAAGGAAAAACGCCACTTTTCCATTCATTCCATTTAACAGACATTTATTTAGTGTCTCTGTGGTTCAGATCTGCTCTGAGTTCCTTACAGGACAAACAGATGAATAGGACCAGGTGTCCTTCCACGGTGAGACTCTCAGAGAAGAGCTGGTAGTTGCTATGCAAGATGAAGTGCAGAGAAGGGGCGATTGATCCTTCCTAGGTGGAAGGAAGTTTTCACAGAATGAGATGATGAGGTCTGAAGACTGGGAAGACCGGTAAAGAACAGGAGGAGGAGCAAGCCAGGAAGGGAGAACAGCATAAGCAAGAGCAAAGTTCAGGAAGGAGCGGCAGTGAGGCTGGACTCAGAGGCAAAGCCGCAAGTGGCAGGGATGAACTGGACAAGTAGGCAGAGGCCACATCCCAAAAACCAGTTGCCGTGGAGTCAACTCTGACTCATTGAGACCCCATCTGTGTCAGAGTAGAATCATGCTCCATCGGGTTTTCAGTGGCTGATTTTTCAGTAGTAGATCTCCAGGTCTTTCTTCTGAAGCATCTCTGGATGCACTCGAACCTCCAATCTTTCCAGTGCCTTAATCGTTTGCACCACCCAGGGCCTCCCCAAGTCCCAAAGGGCCTCATCGATTATAATAAGGAGCCAGGCTTTCCCTTAAGCAATGAGGAGTTTCTACCCAATGGTGAGCCCTTCTCCCCTTCATGATTTCATTCAAATGTCACTCCGGAAACCCTTCCCTGAGCTCCACAGAAGTTAAAGCTGTCCTCCCAGCTCTCCCAGAGCCCTTATGCCACATCCATTATCTCACTAACCATTCTGCACTACAGACTTGATTTCCAGCCTGTCTCCCCACCACATCGTGAGCTACCTGAGGAAGGACCACATCTTATTCATCTTTATATGCCCATCTAAGCACAGATTTGGCATAATACTTTAAAATGTTGAATTAACTAGTTTAGCGGTCAGCCAAAAGACTTAAGCAAGGGAAAGACTTTCAAAGAGTTGGAACCAATACTTACAACTCCAGAGGGATGCAAAGGGGCTCCTACTAAAAGCAGCTTCCTAGGTAGGAATGTTCTTTACAGGTGACTTCTGCACAACACAGAACTATGCTTCAGAATCCCACCAGGAGAGCTTGCCTGTCTGATCCCTGCATAAGACTGGTGTTTCACTACCTCATTTTGTATATTGAACCTCACTAAATGCCTCCTTGCACTGAGCTGTGCATTCTGGGTTGTTTGTTTTACTAGGCAGCTGCACTCGTTCACATCTACACAGATGGGTCCGTGTTGGTCACACATGGAGGGAATGAACTGGGACAAGGTATTCACACCAAAATGTTACAGGTAAAATAAATCAATTGAATTCAATCACTAATCTCACTATACATGGTTGGCATGATTGACGTTTGGGGCTCATCTTTTCGGGTAAATGACAACTGTGCTCAAACCTAGGATCCTGACTATTTAGTTGAAAAGCCTCTTATATGTCAAATAGAATAGCTGAGGTGGCAGACATCCCATACCTGTGCAAATACTCTTGGAGCTTGGCCACAGTTTATGGATGAAGTTTGTTAGTAAAAACTCCACTAATGAGCGCATGGAGCCCTGTGGTAAGTCCCCATACAGGCCTAACTGGATAGGGTTGTTAATGTTTTATTTTGACAAGTAAGGACGAATACTTCATCACTGTCACCATTTACTGATTTTTAAAGGATTTTAACATGAAAAAAGTAGGAAGAATACAATCTCAGAGGAAAAAATAATGCATTAAATTGAATAAATTTAACTTAATAACAAATTTACTAGGTTGTCATAGGACATATCTGTTGCTTTTGACCCTCCATCCCCTTAGCTCCTTTAGAACACTACACCTCTCACATCCCATATAGTTCTGAAGGAGTCCTCAATTCCAGACCTGTTAGTCCCATCCTCTTTACCTCCATACCTGCCACAGATATAGGCATAGAACCCATGTCTGGCCAATCATGGTTCCCAAACCCCCCTGGCTGCAGGAATCGGTCCAGGAAGAAGACACATGACTCAGGCAAGGCCAATCAAATCCTTTCCTGGGGCTGATATGTAGATGCTGGGAGAAAGAAACTATCTTTCCTCGGAGGTTGTTTAGCTGAGATGTTGTAGGCCAGGGGTCACAGAGGCCAATTCTCCTGTGTCATGGACAAACTAGTCTACTGTTGGAAATAACATGACCAGCACAGAGAGAAAAGAAAATGAGAGGCTATACAGCCCATAGATACAGACAAAACTGATGCTAGCTCCACCTCTTCTTCCCAGTTATATGAACCAATAAATTCCCTCACCATCACCAAGAACTGATAAAACTGTCCTCTTTTTTGTCATTTTGCATCTTTCTGGGGAAACTTAATCATTGAATAGTATCAGTCTGAAGACTGATATTTGGAAACAGGAAAGGTACATACCAGCAGATATCATGAGAAGGATTAAAAAAAAAAAAAGTTTATTTTTTTTCCTTCCTCCCCTCCATTTCATGTCTTTCCCTTTCATTTCTTTTTGCTCATGTACCCTAATTTCCATATGTGTCTGCTGAGAACCTTGAAGGAAAAAAACAGAGAAAACTGAACAGCAAACACTAGCAAAATACATGCAAGTAGGAACAAATACAGGAAAAGGGGGGGAAGCTCAAGCTCAGGTGGGAGTGAGGGCAAGAAAGACAGGTTGTCAGGATCTCTCGAGGTTCATATGATACTGGGTATCATTAGATTTTGGACCAAATACAGAATCAATCAATCTAAGACACTCTCTCTCTCTCTTTTTCTCTTTTGTCCCCTACCACTGTCACCAAGTCTAAAAGTCTCAACTTGGCCTACCCCCCCACCCCTTACACACGTAAAACTTCAGAAATAGGATATCCTTAACATCCCAAGTACACTATTCGAATTTGAAAGGAAGAACCAGTATGGAATATTACCAAGAAAACATTAAAAGAATCAGAATGAGGCCCTGCTAAAAAGTGGTTTGATATTTATAAAACATTATTTTAGACTTTAGAGAAGACCAAGGACAAAAAAAAATACATTTTTTTTCATTATTAAGAAAAATAATGACTCATTTCTTCATAGCAGTCCTTGCTAGACTTGAAAATATTTACTTTTCTCATAGGTGGCCAGTCGTGAATTAAAAATACCCATGTCTTATATGCACGTCTGTGAAACCAGTACAGAAACAGTGCCTAATACAATCGCTACAGCAGCCTCCGTCGGTTCAGATGTCAATGGTAAAGCTGTGCAGGTGATTCCTCTTGCCTATCTTTCCCTTGTGTACTTTTTCCACATCTCTAGTTTTCCATAGCTGAGTACAGGCACAAGTGGTTGGCTTCAGGGCAGTCATCCATGTCATTAAGCATATACACTGATGTTGTTGTTAATTGCCATCGAGTTGATTTCACTCATGGCAACCCCATGTGTACAGGATACCCAAAATATCCAGAGAGCCTTTTAGTTAAATTAGGTACATAATAAAGAATTTGGTCTTTGTCCCTAGTTCCTGGGAGGTAACCTCTAAACCCTTGGAATTTCCAAGTGATGGAAGTCTCTTTGTTATTCCTCTTTATTATTCTACACCTGATAAATTATGCTAATGAGGTAACTCACAACAGGGTCCCTCCATAATTTATGCTAATGAGATTACTCAGGACGTGGTGGGGGGCTGTCTACACTAGAAAGACCAACCATGTGATTAGAGGGTTCGAGCTTTGAGCCACATGCTATCAGCCTGACCTCTAGAGAGAAGAGAGGGAGGTCCTTGTCATCAATCTTTCCCTGGTTAAGGAGCTTCTCAGCACAAGGACCCCGAGTCCAAAGGACGCACTCTGCTCACAATGTTGCTTTCTTGGTAGTATGAGGTCCCCCTGTCTCTTTCCTCACTTCTCTCATTTATATCTCAAAAGAGTTTGGCTTAAGACACAACTTAATCTTGTAGATTGAGTTCTGCCCCATTAACATAACTGCCTCTAATCCCACCTTATTAACATCATAGAGATACATTTTACAACACATAGGAAAATCACATCAGATGACAAAATGGTGGACAATCACAAAATACTGGGAATCATGGACTAGCCTATTTGACACACAAATTTGGGGGGGGACACAATTCAATCTATGACAAAGAGGATATAGAATATATAATTAATTGCCTCCATGAACAACTGCCTCCTTTGCCACGAGACCAGAAGAACTGGATGGTGCCTGGCTACCATTACTGAACATTTTGATCAATCACATGGTCAGTGATTCAGTCAATCATGCCTACGTAATGAAACCCCAATAAAAACTCTGGACACCAAAGCTCAAGTAAGCTTCCCTGGTTGGCAATACTTTGCAAGTTGTCACACATTATGGAGCCACGAGGGTAACAAATCCTGAGGACAAGGAAGTTTCACATTTGTGACCCTCCCAGACCTTGCCCTATGCATCTCTCCCTTTGTCTGGTTCTGATATGTTTTCTTTTGCTATAGTAAAATTATAATAGTAAATGTAACACCCTCCTGAGTTCTAAGAGTCATCCTAATGAATTATCAAACCTGAGGGAGTAGTGGGAACCCTTGAATTTGTAGCCAGCTGATCAGAAGTGAGGGTGGGCTGGGGATCCCCCAGCTTGCAGCTGGTGTCCGAAGTGAGGACAGTCTTATAGAGGACTGTGCTCTTAACCTGTGAAGTCTGGCCTAACTCTATGTAGTTGCTGTCAGAAGTCATTGCAGTAGGCTACACTGAGGTGACAAATAGATCCAGAATATGATGGCTCAAACATAACAGAGGCCTCTTTCTTGAATACATAACAGTCCAGAGGGAGTGTTCAGCCATTTGAAAACCCAGACAGATGGCGGTTCCCCATGTTCAACATGTGGCTTTCAAGGTTGCCCTGAGCATCGTCATTCCAGTTAGCATGGAGGAGCGTGTGGAAGACTCTGGGCCAGACTTGGAAGTGATGCAAGTCACCCCTCGTAATTCACTAGTGGACCCTGTCTCAGGGCGCACCTGATTGCAAGGGAGGGTAGGAAATACGGAGTAGTAGGAAACCAAAAGCCCAGCTACTATGGAAGAAGGGAAAATGGATTTTGGTGAACAAACAACCGTCTCTGCCCCCAGGAGACACGAAAAGAAGAAATTTAGGTGCTCAATGCAATGCAGAGCTGTGCAAATTCCCCTGGCACAAACAAGGTCTTGCAGGCAGGTGGGCAGACAGAACACCAACCAGGTAGAAATGGTGCAATTCAAGTGTTGTCATCAGTGGCGTTCTACCAGAGTGCTCATAGTTTTTCTTCGTACTTACGTTCTAGCTGGGTTTTTTGTTTGTTTTTGTTTTTTTACTGCTACATTCTCACTATCTCAGCATACAGCCATGGCTTCATATTTCTTCATTCAAATGTCTGATTTCATGTACTTTTGGAAGTGAGGTCTATTTGTCATTACTTTTTGTTCACTTTTTCCATTGCAACTTCGTGGGGAGTCATATTCCTCCACTTCCAGGACACTGCACTTGGGCCACCAACAGGAACGAGTTTGAGATCATTCTTGTCTTTGTGGGGTCACATCTTAGAGGTCAAAAAACAGAGATACTTTTTGCTCAGAACAAAAGTATGGGAAACCTCAAATTCATGATATCCAATTTTGAGTAGGGTCAAACACAAGAGAGGAATATCCCCTGAAGTCTTCTTAAAACCAAACAATAGTTTAGTGTAACTAGTAAAAAATATCTGCCTTGAGCATTATGTTCTCTTAAGAACTATCTACACGGGATCAAATTGACAACAGCAACTTGAAAGATTAGATAGGAACCTTAGGGGGCAGTGAGTTTATGTTAATGAGGGAGGAACAACTCAACAAAGGAGGGTGAGAATTGTTGCACAACTCGAAGAACGTAATCAATGTCACTGAATTTTACATGGGTAAACTGTTGAACTGGTGTATATTTGCTGTGTATATTCTCAACAACAACAAAATAAATAAAATTTAAAAATAAATAAATAAATAAGGAGGTTAAAAAAAAAAACAGGAGAGGAACAGCTCAGGGTGTATGGAATTTGTCAGCCCAAAGCAAAGGTTAATCCTTCTTTTAGGGTATTGAGTTTGAGGTTTATGTTTCAAAGATCAGAAACTTTGTGGATCTAGGTTATCATAAAGAAAGTTTAAGTTTTTCCTCACTTCAAACCCAAAGCCAAGATCTTTATTGCAGTAGTTTGATGACAGGTGACTGAATGAATGAACAGAGGGACCGACAGAGAGTTAAACAGTGTTCCAGAACCAGAGGGAGACTACATGTCAGCACTGTAGATTAAAAAACACAAATCTGAATGAAAACAGTGTTTTGAGCCATTTATTTGAAAGTCTGGAAAACACAAAAGAAGGCGTGGATCACAGATGTAGAAAGAGAAAGAATGAATTTAGAACATGAATATTCTAAGAAGGAGAACCTGAGAGCAGAGATTCACCTGAGCCCATATTTTCACAGAAACTGAACCAGGAAGGAAAAAAAAAAGAATCCTCCAGTAACTAATACTATTATCAAGGGCAGAGACTGTTCTGTTATTATCTCTGTGTCCCCAGTGTATCAGTAACAAGACCCTCCATAAGCATTTATTGACCTAATCAATTATCAATGAATATTCTTTCACATAAATCCTAACCATGAAGCTCTTCCCTCATGTGGGTTCTCTTCTTGACTCTTTCAAGAATGCTTGTCAGATCCTTCTGAAACGCCTTGAGCCCATCATGAAGAAAAATCCAGAAGGTACATGGGAAGACTGGGTAGGTGTTCCACTCTATTTGTTAGTATGAATGAGAAAACAATCCAAACCAGTGTTGAGAGAGAGCGATGGCAGTGCACAGACATACTACACAGAGACAGTTCTTTTAAGTGTCACAGTGATGTAGCATGTCCCATGCTGCTTCCCTGGCTGAAGAGATTTCTGCAAAAGGACAGGCTTACCAAAGGTTGAGAAGGCTTCTCCATGATTTGTTTCAGGTATGGTTGGAGAGAAGTTCCCGGGTGGCACAAATGGTTAATCGTCTGCTAACTGGAAAGGTTGGAGATTCAAGTCCACCCAAAGGCACCTTGGAAGAAAGGCCTGGTGATCTACTTCCAAAAAATCAGTCATTGAAAACCCTGTGGAGCACAGTTCTACTCTGACACATGTGGGGTCACCATGAGTCAGAATCCACCTAATGGCAAGTGGTTAACTGGTTATTTGTGGAGACAGCACAGAGGGAACAGCAGTCGCTGCAGAGGAGTGGAGGTGTATGATGAATACGCAGAAGGCCTCATTCACCCTTCGTAAATCAGAAAGAAGAGAAAAAGATTAAGTATTCCTATGCCACAAAGAAATGTTGATGTTTGAGGATAGGGAGGAGGAAAACTACAAGACCTAGTTGTTATTGGATATGTTTCAAGGGAAATGATTCATTTAATCCAATCTTACAATTTCCTATGTTTTATTTCATTAGAACAATTGTCTATCACATGCACACTTCCTAGAGTTCTACATTTAGAAATGAAGCTCCAAATACCAACATTTGAAGCCTCAAATTCTAACATTTAGAATTAAGCCGCTATATCATAGGTGTGGGAAACCCTGGTGGCGTGGTGGTTAAGAGCTACAGGTGCTAACCAAAAGGTCGGCAGTTCAAATCCACCAGGTGCTCCTTGGAAACTCTATGGGGCAGTTCTACTCTGTCCTATAGGGTTGCTATGAGTCGGAATCGACTCGACGGCAATGGGTTTGGTTTTTTTGCTTATCATAGGTGTGTAGAATTTTATTTTGTTTGTTCAGTCCAGATTTCTAAACTCAATCAGAAAGAAATTGTTAGTGTGCCAGTTCAGGAAAAATGTATGATGATTATCTCTATTATTGATAGTAGAGTACCAGAAACAATTACCAGATGTCAATACTGAGATACGGAATATTTTCATTTTCATCCATTGGGTGGTATATTTCTTTTAACTAAATATGCCCATTCTGCAGATAGAAGCTGCATTTGAACAAAGAATCAGTCTTTCAGCCACTGGATATTTCAGGTAAAAATTACAATAATATCTTGACTTAGCTGAGAAAACATGAAGTAACCCAATTCCTCTGGATTCTCTTATTTGCAAAATCAAAAGTTTTTATTATTTGATCACTGAGTCACTTCTAGGCCCCAAATTCTGATTTCACATAGGCCTTGGAGCTATATACAAAGAAATATTAAATAATAGTATAACCCTACTGAGTTAAAAAAAATTTTTTTTATTTGCAACAGCTATTCATTTTTTTACTGTTCTTTATTGTGAGTGGTAAGAAGATATTAAAGGAGCCTTGGTGGCAAAATGGTTAAGCAGTCACTGCTAATTCAAAGGTTGGTGGTTGGAATCCACCAGCCAGTCTTCAGGAGGGGGTGATGATCTGCTCCTGTAAAGATTACAGCTGTCCTATAGGGTCATTGTGAGTCAGAATCAACTCGATAGTACACAACAACAACAAGATATTATTATTAGAAATAACTTGCAACTCAGTTTTACAAATCTCCCTCCCTTTACCAAAGGGGGATGGGGAAGAGCCAAACCTGTTGAGTTGATTCTGACTCATAGTGACCCTATAGGACAGGGTAGAACTGCCCCCATAGGGTTTCCAAGGAGCAGCTGGTGGATTTGAACGGCTGACCTTTTAGTTCACTGCTGAGGTCTTAACCACTGTGTGACCAGGGCTCCCCCTTTACCATACAACCTTTCTATTTTGAAGCTCCTTGCCGGGCAGGAGGAGATGGTTAGGATAATAATTACTAATCACCATTTACGCCTTATCTGTCAATGGAAAGCCCTCAGTAAATGCATATTAAAAGTGCGGACTGGATAGCTGGTTGTCAAATTCGGGAAGTGTATGATATTAGTTTTACATTCTAATAAGACAAACCACGAAACCAAACCAATAAACAAACAAAAAGTAAAACAAATCCTCATGAAGAAGGAAGGAGGTACCAGCCTAGCCTAGTGCTCTGTACATAGTGAGTTCTATATTCCTGAGCTCAGTTACCCAAGAGGAGAAAAAACCATCTCTCTAGCTAGGTACATCTTGCATTATACGTTAATGCATTGCATTACCACCCTATACATCCGACTCCTATGAGTTCGGTTAGCACAATCTAAAGGTTCCTCTGGGAAAGCTGATAAATATCAGTTGAGGTTTTCAATATGCAGAGCTAAAGCTCAAACCCTAGACCACCAAGATACAGACACACTGTGAGGTCGTGACCAAAGTAGTCTGTTGGCTTCACTCTCCTTCTTGGCATCCTAACTGCAGTACAAGGAGTATCCTTTTTTAAATGGAGGCAAAAGATGGTGCTACTGTAACTAGCTATGTTATAAACAGAGTTAGCAGTTGAAACAAGGTTAAAAGGCAGTTGAAATGAACATCCGTCAAATGAAATGCTATTGTAAAATTTTGATAATTTTTAACATGAATCAACATTGCTTGCACCCTCCAAGGCAAAGGGTTTTATTTCTTCCATCAGGGGCTACAAGGCCTTCATGGACTGGGAGAAAGGGGAGGGAGACCCGTTTCCTTACTATGTCTACGGAGCAGCCTGTTCTGAGGTCGAAATTGACTGCCTGACTGGAGCTCACAAGGTAAGTCAAATACAGCTTTCTTACTGGCAAGTGAAAACAACAACTGCCAAAAAAGTGTGTTCTGCCTTAAGAAGCCAAATTTCCTTATGTAATACTTGTACAGTAAGAACAAGATTCTTTCAGTTCCATGGGAAATGTCCCAGGACCCAGCCTTATCCTATATTTCCACTTCAAAAACAGATGTAATGGTCAAGAAAGCATTGCTCATGTCAGCCTGAAATGTATTAAGTATCCACCCATGTCAATGGAATTTTTTATTCCATTTTAGACAACAAAATGACTTTCCAAAGTTTTTCCAAACAGAGTCTCCATTCCTAAAGGAAGAATGATGAGTTATCTAATCTGAAGGAATAGGTAACTTAGAAAATAGTCTTGAGCAAACATTTTTGAACACATAGCAATATGCTGATGTTTCTCTGAAGACAATCATCCCCAAGGTGCTACTGACCTCTAAAGAAATAGACATTGTAGTGAAAATAATTTTCGTGTTTTCTATTTAAATGAACATCCAAGAAACCACCTACTGAAAATACCCATTGCTGTCAAGTTAATTCTGACTCTTAGAGACCCTGTAGGACAGAGTCGAACAGCCCCATAGGATTTCCAAGGAGTGGCTGGTGGATTTGAACTGTTGACCTTTTGGTTAGCAGGCCATCTCTTAACCACTGTGCCACCAGCGCTCCTCTATTGAAAACAGAGAGTCATATTTAACTAAAAGTTAACAACTTGCACATTAAGGATAGACCCAAAGCATCAAAACCGTAGATACACTCCAGGTACCACCCTGCAAACAGAGAAATTACAGAAAACTTAAATATAGTATATTATAACCCAAAGTATAGTAAACTGTGAGGACGTTTACAGGATGGACCTATAGCACAGCTAAAGTAACTCCATACATAAATTATTCCAACATCACCTTGAGCCACCTTGCCCAAAATTAGAAAGTCAATTCATGTAGAATAAAAAGAACTTGGAAAATACTGACCTGTAAATCTTATCAAAATGTCTCATTGCCCCATTGCTGGTTAACTTGTCCACCATATAAATATTATATAAATAAGATTTTAAAATACAGTAAATGAAAGGATGTTATGGAAAACAGTTACCCTCAAACTCAGCTCAGTTTCATCTTTGGGACACATAAATATTATGTCTCCATTTTCATTCTAGATCATTTTTTAGACGTAAACTCCTGAAATTAGGATCACAGATTGCTCATAAGTTTATTTATGGTGCTAGAAAGTTAAAATTTGGTCTCCCCTATGCCTTTCTTATTACAGTTTAAGATTCAGTTATTTCAATATCACTTTGGTCCCTTAAGATAGCTTATTCCCTGAAGAAGCAAAACTTCCTTTAATTAAAGAGAAATCAAAGAAATTCAATGACAGGCTTTATTGTTGGAATCTATGGGTAGTGCAAACGGTTAACATGATCGGCTGCTAACGAAAAAGGTTGATAATTTAAGTCCACCTGGTGGCACCTCACAAGAAAGCCCTGGTGACCTACTTCTGAAAAATCAGTCATTGAAACCCTATGCATCATAGTTCTACTCTGACACACATAAGGCCTCCATGAATCAGAGTTAACTTGATTGCAACTTTTTGGGGGGGGAGAGGTTTGTTTGTCTGGGGCTTGTTTGTTTATTGCTGTTGGCCATTTGTGGTTGGTGAACTGAAACATCCTACAATTCAATATTAGTGCACAGTCATCTCTTCCTACTGTTCACTACCCATAATACAAAACATAACAGGTATCAAGACAGAAGTAGGATCAAAGGCCCACTCTAAGTTTTGTTCCATTTCCTTCTCCATCTAGGTTGAAGATGGATAAAGGCTGAGAGGCCAGGTTTGAGTCAGAAGAGAATTACCAAATCCAAAGGGCTAGATAGAAAGTAGGAGCCTAGGTACTGAGAACAATGAATGTTATCAGAACAAACACCAGAAGTGGGGGCACAGTGAATATTATCAGAATGTGGGGCAGAAGGAAAGCACAGAGAGATTCCTGAGACAGACCCCAGGCACTCAGAGGCTTTCTGTGGCTCCTCAACAACCTGACACGCAGGCCCAGGGTCAAAACAGAAGGACCAGATTAGTGTGATATTTCTCAGAGAAGGAAGTAGATTAGCAAAGCCAAAGATGACCTCAACATTTGCCTTTAATACAAGCCAAGATCTTGCAAATCCCCAAAATCAGTCATGCATTATGGCTATATGATTTCCTCAATAAAATAACAATAATACCACCTACCTTAGACTATCATGAGGATTAGATGAGCTCATGAATTGTATTAAAACAACAAATCCAAAACAAGAATCAGATGCAGGGTGAACAACCAGGCTCAATTATTTACTAAGTGACTCACTTCCTCACCCCAACATGTCATGGACTTTGGAGCCATTTAAAAGAGTCAAAACCATGATTGCAAACAGTCTTCTGAGGTCATCGGTCCTAGCACTAAACATCTTGGCAGATGTTTCACCAGCTTCGGCCTAACTCTATAATGTTGATGGGGTTCAATGCAGTGTTCATTGACCAGCAAGAGTTCTTGAATAACTACAGACCATTTGAATAAACCTTAATATATTTTTAATTCAGGTTTTAATGGTGAGGTAATTTTTATTTTTGGCAGAAAATCAGAACAGACATCGTCATGGATGCATGTTACAGCCTAAATCCAGCCATTGATATTGGACAGGTAGATGCCGGCCAGCTGAGATGGACACCCCCTCCTGAGAGTTACTGTGGGGTAGGGAAAAGCATTCCAAAAAATATACAATGTCACAAAGCTTGAAATTGTCCTCCTTCAGATTGAAGGTGCATTTATTCAGGGAATGGGCCTCTATACCACCGAAGAGCTGAAATATTCCCCAGAAGGTGTCCTGTACTCTCAGGGCCCAGATGAGTACAAAATTCCAACCATCACTGACATCCCAGAGGAGTTCAATGTCTCCTTGTTGCCGTCATCACAAACCTCACTAACCCTCTATTCATCCAAGGTAAGCACCTACACCTACTGGACAATGTAATAGCTCAGATTGCATGGTTGAAGGTCAGTGGACAAAATAAAAAAGGTTAACTGTTAACAGGACCAAATCATTATGAACTGTTAGAATTTGGAAATGTATCACCTAGGGAAAACTAAGACTCAGAGAAGATAAATTATTCACCCACATCAAATGGCACGAGCACATCTAGACCTCAAGGATTTTATTAAAAGCCTTTTTCACTGAAAACTCTAAAATTCAGCAGAAAGCTTTGACTTCTTGATAGAATAAAATTTTCACCTAAGAACCTTAAGACTATAATATTAAATAAGATTGAAGGCACGGTGCCACTGGAAATCTTAGAAAACAGTGGCATTTTGAAGTTGGCCAGTTCAATTAATTGAATGTACTTTTCTTAACAAGAGTACCCTCCCCTCACACCACATACACACACACACGTGCACACACGCACACACACACACACACACACACACACACACACACACACACACACACACACATCTTTCCTATAGAACAAAGATTTAACCCAAATGGGATTAAAGATCTGGGAACTTCAGGAGCTATTGGTATTTTTAAGAGTACTTAAGCTTCATTCAGTCAGTGAGTCAGTCAACAAACACTTATTGAGACCCTACTGTGTGTAAGACCCTGTGCAGATGACTCCTGTGTGGGGATACAATGATGAGCAAGACCAGGCCTCTGCCCTCTAGTAGCTTGTAATCTAGCATAGAAGCTTCTACGATAAACATGCTCTCTTGCAGGGCCTTGGGGAGTCGGGGATGTTCCTGGGGTCATCTGTGTTCTTTGCCATTGCTGATGCTGTGGCCACAGCATACAGAGAAAGAGACATAGCCATGGACTTCATAGTGAGGAGCCCAGCAATGCCAGAATGGGTTCGAATGGCCTGTGCAGATCAGTTCACAGAGATGGTATGGTATTGTTGTTTATTTTCCTAAAAGGTGATTTTTCTATTTCCCACTTGTCTTAGTTATCTAGTGCTGCTATAACAGAAATACCACAAGTGGATGGCTATAACAAAGAGAAACTTATTCTCTCACAGTTTAGGAGGCTAGAAGTCCAAATTCAAGGCGTCAGCTCCAGGGGAAGGCTTTCTTTCTCTGTTAGCTCTGGGGGAAGGTCTTTGTCATCAGTCTTCTGGTCTAGGAGCTTCTCAGCACACGGACCCTGGGTCCAAAGGAAACGCTCCACTCCTGGCTCTTCTTGTTTGGTGGTAATGAGGTCCCTCTCCTCTCTGCTCGCTTCCCTCTTTTATATCTCAAAAAAGATTGACTCAAGATACAACCTAATCCTGTAGATGGTGTCCTGCCTCATTAACATAACTGCCTCTAATCCTGCCTCATTAACATCATAGAGGTTAGGATTGATAACACATAGGATAAGTCCATAAGATCACAAAACGGAGGACAACCACACAATACTGAGAATCATGGCCTAGCCAAGTTGACACACATTTTTGGAGGACACAATTCAATCCATAACACTGTTTCTTTGACCTCTTGGTATATTTATAATTGAATCTGTGCCTAGCTAATCACATTATAAGACGATAAAATAAATCTCACAAATTCTTTGTATCTATGTAGTAATTTTAACTTTTTTAAAAGCATTTCCCCATATGTTATTTAATTTTATCATCTCAGCAAACCTAAAGTAGGATAATTTATCATGTTTCAAAAGCTAATAGCTAAATGTGAAATACAAGACCTGCTGATGTAGTGGTTAAGCATTTGGTTGCTAACCAAAAGGTCAGAGTTCGAACCCACCAGGCATTCCACGAAAGACGTGGCAGTCTGCTTCCATAAAGATTTACAGCCTTGGAAACACTATGGGGCAGTTCTACTCTGTCCTATAGGGTCACTATGAATTGTAATCAATTCAACAGCAACAGGTAAATATGAAATGGCTGATTTCACCAAACTGTTAAAGTATTCCCTTTATCGTACCCAACCTGCCCTGCTATTCAAGGAAAATAAACACATACACATACAAGACAAAAAACATGTGTTGGGTAGTTGTACTTGATCATGTCACTTTCTATGTTTCCTATACAAATGTAGAATACACACTGTCTGCCCATCGTTTAGAAATAACGTGTTCCCATTACCAACTGCTGCTTTTCCACTTCATTCCATTTCTTGACAATGCCTCCCAGCCTAGGATAGAGGGGACTTGGGTGTCATCTGCTCAGATGCACCTGCACATGGCAATTCTAACCTAGTGAGTATTACACATAAGCAACCTTTGTGAGGTCTTCGAGTTCACCTCTTGTCTGCTGATTTCCTAAAAGTATCCAGATATAAATAATAATGGTAGCTAATATTGATTGAGAAACCCTGGTAGTATAGTGGTTAAGAACTATGGCTGTTAACCAAAAGGTCAGCACTTTGAATCCACCAGGCGCTCCTTGGAAACCCCTGTGGGGCAGTTCTACTCTGTCCTATACGGTCGCAATGAGTCGGAATTGACTTGATGGCAATGGGTTTTTTTTAATGAGTTTAATATTGATTGGGAGCCCTGGTAGCACAGTGGTTAAGAGCTTGGCTGCTAACCAAAAGGTCAGCAGTTCAAATCCACCAGCCAGTCCCTGGAAACCCTATGGGGAAGTTCTACTCTGTCCTATAGGGTCACTATGAATTGGAATCAACTCGATGACAACGGGTTTGGTTTGGGTTTAATATTAATTGAGCACTGTGCTAAACATTTAACCATATCATCTCATTAGTCATTACCATGACTCTGTTAGGTAATTACTAGTCTTTTCCTCATTTTACTACTGAGGAAACAGAGGTTTACACTCACTTATTGACATGGTTAGGTTCCAAAGACCAGGTCGTTATGTGAAAATCAGCATTGTGTGAAAATTACAGCAGCCTAGGCCTGATCAAGACTGTTTGAGAGTTAACTGTAGCCTACCATACTCAAGGTACAAGAGATGATCTGAAACAAATGAAATCGTCTTAATCTTACGATTCCTGGTTGACTCTTGATTTAAGCTTGATATCGTAAAACTGCCAAACTACATCATTACATAACTGCCAAATTATAGCATTACATAAACGCCAAATTACATCATTACGTAACTGCCAAACCACTGAGAATCATGGCCCAGCCAAGCTGACACATAACCTTAACCATCAGGTTACTCTTGCCTTGCAGCTTGGCCTCCATTACTGCCAGACGTATGTCATTAATGCGCAAAATAATCGGTTAGTAGATTTTTTTACTACTGTCACAAATGCGAAATGTCAGATAATGAGATAGTCAGTAAGGAGTAGGTGTAGTAACTTACCCAAAGTCACACAGCTAGTAAGTAGGGGACCAGGATTCGAGCTCAGCACCATCTGGCTCCACCCTAGTATATTGCCTCCTAGAGAAAGAAGTACTGATTCTCTATTTTCTCAAAAAAAATTGTATTTTAAAATCTATCTTTAAAGAAGTCCAAATACTTAGCTAAACTCAGAACACCCAGCCACAGAGTGAAAGAATAATGTGCCCCAGTGTAACTGAAATTTTTTACTGCTGAGCATGTCTGCAAATGACTGCAAAAAGTGTCACAGGTATTGATTTAGGGGTGACGAATAAATTTTAGCAAGCAGGCAAATTCATAAATACGGAACCTGCAAATAATGAAGATTAACTGTACTATAATTTCAGCTGGTGATGAATACTATGAAGCAAAGTAAAGGAAGAGTAGGGGGCTAGAATGTGATGGAGAGATTGTTATTGTAGATAGTTGGCTAGAGAAGTTTTCTCTGGGTGCTCACATTTGAGCCAAGGCCTGCACGAAGTGAGGGAATGAGCATTAAGCTGCTAAGAGTGTGTTCCAGGCAGAGAATAGCAGGTGCAAAGGCCTGGTTTCAAAGGATTCAAAGTAGTTTGGGACAAAGTAGTCCTTAAAAGTGGACTTTTTCCTAAGTCTCTGATCTTGCCTCTTCAGTAGGGGAAATTTGTAACTGAAAGGCTGCAATTGTTGTTCTCCCTGGCAGAGAGAGAAAAGAAACAGAAATCTGTGGCCATACCACTTATCTTCACATCAAAAGGGTGCAACCAGGATTGTCCTTCTTCCATTCAGCAGCTTTCCTGGCAACTAGCCTCTCTCATGTTCCAGGTCTACTTCTTCACATCTTTAGAAATTATGGTTCGTTGATCCCCTTAGGAACCACATATCTGAACCCGTATCAGAGTGTACACTTTCAAATACATTTGATAGGACTACAACACGGTTTTTAAGTTGAATTATATAATGATTCACACTGGCATACAATGCTGTACTATGCCCAAAAAAAGGAAAAACACAGATACTATCACTCTTTGTAGGAGCCTTAGTGGTGCAATGGTTAAGCACTCAGCTGCTAACCTAAAAGTTCGTAGTTTAAACTCACCCAGCGTTTCTGCAGGAGAAAGACCTAGTGGTCTGCTCCCATAAAGATTACAGCCTAGAAAACTTCATGGGGCAGTTCTACTCTGTTACATGGGGTCACTATGAGTCACTATGGAAACCAACAACAACAACACTTTCTATTTGGCCTTTGAATATGGTTGTCAAACACAGTTTGTTATGACAGGTAAGAAGATCAGAGGCTCAGAAGTTCTGTGTACTAGAACATTCAAGTCAGAAAGTCCAAAATGTCCCCTTTTAATAATCCCTTTATCGCCATAAGGTAAGTAACAGCCTCCCCTTATCTATTTCTTAAACAGAAATGATGGTAAAACACTCAGTAATTTTCCTTTGGAATTAAACAGAACTGCTAGATGAGTTGGAACCACCAACCTTTTGGTTAGCAGCTGAGTACTTAACCGTTGTGCCACCAGGGCTCCATATAGTTACTTAGTGGGGAGAAAGATCCTTTCATTCTTAGACCAGTTCCCAATTCCAAATGGCCATGCCTGTCCTACCCCTGCTATTCTATAAGACTAGAAGAGTGTTTCATTTCTGAGGGCCTTTGCCTCCCCACCTCTGCAAACTCTAATACAGTCCCTTTCTACTTACTCTCCTCCCTCTCATCACTATCACCATCCCCATGCATTTCTACATCACTATCACCACCTCTTTTGCATTTCTAGATGTCTCAGTTAGCAACATCAACGGGTGCCAACTGTTTGGTTCAGTAGAGAAAGCCCTTCCTGCTGTGAGCAGTCTGGTTTACCTACATTGCTCTCATCTGCTTTGCCCCAAAGACTAGTCTGTCAAGATGAGACGTCCTCAATCCCATGTCCTATACACAATCTTGGATTTCTCTGAGCTGGGAGAGACGTATTGCTAGTCCTATCAGACTGGGTTCTATTTCCTATGTTCTGGAACCTACCCCTACAACATGTAGAAACTTGCAGTTTCCAACCTGTTCAGCGGAAATCTAAGCCACAGATAATTGGCCAGGCCTTAGGCCAGCACAAACGTGCCTCAGTCATATGGATTCTGGGACACAGAAGCAGACTGCATGACTCAGGACAGACTGCTCAGAGTGGAGTCTCCCATGCTGTCTTCCCCAGAATGCTGAGTCTATTATTGTCTGTTCTGTTCCTTTGAAACGCATACATACATATCCATGAACACACAATAGGCACGTACTCTTTCTTGACCGATCTTCCCTGCCCTGCCTCTCATGCCTCTCACGCTGTCTGGGAAGTTTTATTGGCACTGCAACAGGCTGTGGAACTGGTTCCACGTTGAATGTGATTGTCCCAGGATGCAGGGACGGAATCTATTCCCTGCAATGCTTCATGACACTTCACACAGTGGCCATTCTTCCTGCTGAAGGGTGATTATCTGATACTGTTACTGAATGTATATTTTTGTATCTAAAACTCTCCTACCTGGTCTCTGGAAGGTTACTCCTTAGGTTGGGAGAAGCAGGAAAAGGGGAGGGATAGGGAGAACACCTAAAAGGGAGAAGGGCAAAGCTGGAAGTATTCCTCAAATTGAGAGGAAATAAGAGATACAGACTGTGAAGCAGGGGAAAAAAAAAAAAGCCATCTTATTCAGCCAGACAAACGAGTTGCAGTGAACCATTTTAACTTAGTAGTTAAGGCACAGGCTCTGGAATTAGAGTTTCTTCATCTGTAAAGTGGGGCGGGACAGGGGAGAATAATTATTCTAGTTACTTTACAGGGTTGTTGTAAGGATTTAATAAGATAATAAAGCACTTAGCAGTTGTCACACATAGTAAGTGGTCAATATAGATTGATGATGATGAAGATGACTGAGTGGGGGAGCTCTAAGTTCACTTCCAGCGTCAATGATTCGCTAAAGGAGTCACAGAATTCCTAAAAGCTGTTATATTCACGGTTATAGTTGATAACAACAAAAGGATACAGAATAAAATCAGCAAAGGAAAAAGGCACACAGGGCAGAGCCCAGGAGTGACAAGGCAAGAGCTTCCAGTTGTCCTCTCCCAGCAACAAAGTGGAGACATAAGGACAGCACTTAATTCTCCCAGCAACCATGTGTGACAACACACATGAAGTATTGCCAACCAAGGAATCTCACCTGAGCCTTGACGTCCAGGGTTTTTATTGGGGATTGGTAATGGAACATCTGCATTGCTGATCTTAGGTACTCAGTCTCCAGCCCCTCCAGAGGTCAAACTGATACTATGTGGCCCAACACTCATGGTAAGTAAAGACACTCTTATCCAGAAGGATATTCCCAGGAGCTGGTAAAGGGCCAAACCTTTCTTTGGAATGTGCAGGGTTTGGACAACCCAGGCATGGTGAGCGAATCCTTTACTGAATGATGATGATGATAAAGATTCCTGTTAACACTATGCTTTGAGACCAATGACACTGGACCCAGATACTATCTCAGAAGCTGAGTTTTAACTAAAAGTGGAATTGGTCTTGATGGCCAATTAGTGAATGTATTGCTTTAAACATAGCTATCGAGAACCAACCAAGGAGAAATACGAGGGCAGAGAGGGGGAAATGGCACCAAGAAAAGGAAAAGGTAAAAGGAGAAGGAAGGAGATCATCAAAGGTTAATTCAAAGCAGCTTAAATCCAAGGGATGGAATCTTTGAGATTAAAAAAAAAGAAAAGTGTGTCCTCAACAAAGTGGCTAGGAAGTAGGCAAGACCCAAGAAGGCAGGATGGCAAGAGAACAAGAGTTGATCTAAGTCCCAAAGCAGAAGGGCACCACAGGAGCCCAATTCTGGTGAAAAGAAAAGGAAGCAGGTTTTGGAAGAGACAAAAAGTACCATCAACTTTAGAAGAAGAGTCAACCTGAATCAACCTCAGACTAGACTGAGGCGCTTTGTTGAGCATCCAGCCCAGCCCAGCCCAGGGGAAGCAGGCTGATTCTAGAGAGGAGAGCCAAGCAACTCCCACAGGACCAGTGAAGAAGAGAATAAGGAAATGTCCTTTGAGAAGGCCAAACCTAATTCTGCATTTACATTTCAATACAGATTAAGAGCAAACAGTAGAACAGAACCTTTAAAGATATCTTGAGATGTAGTTTGGGTGAATTATTTTCTTCTTTTTGGGGTTTTGTGAAATAAATAAATATTAGGAGAAAAAACCTTTTTGAATAATCATAACTTTCCACCATCTGTGAGAAGTTTGTTTTTAACACTTTTATAGCTAAAAGTCAACACTTCAAACAAGAACATGACAATGAGGGAAAAGAGGAATGTGTGTTCTGCTTTGAGGCTAAACCTAAGGAGAATTCCCAGCAGAGGGGACAGGCATGGAGGACCACAAGGAAGAAGGACAAACAACTCAATTCTTGGGGCTTGTAGTCCAGGAATCCCTGGGAAGTGCTCAACTACTAACTGAAAGTTTGACTGTTCAAACCCACCCAGCTGCATCTCAGAAGAAAGGGCTGGTGATCCGTTTCCAAAAGTTCACAGCCTTGAAAATCCCACGAAGGACAGTTCTACTCTGCAACACATCGTGTCGCCATGAGATGGCATCCAGGATGGTGAAATGAGTCTAGGGTTTAATTAGCAAGGAACCAAAAACCAAAGCAAACCCACTGCCGTGGAGCCAATTTCAACTCATAGCAACCGTATAAGACACAATAGAACCGCCCCATAGGGTTTCCAAGACTATAAATCTTTATGAAAGCAGACTGCCCCATGTCCTGCAGAGCAGCTGGTGGGTTCCAACCACTGACCTTTTGCATAGCTGAGCACTTTAAGCACTGCGCCATTTGGCTAAAGGTGCAGGGCTGTTCTCGTATCACCACAGAGGGGTCAGGGTCGATGGGCTCCAGAGCAAACGATGCCCCCCAACCTAGCCACTTTCCCCTTTCTTTCCTTCTCCCCCTCCCACCCCAAACATTTTCGTAAGATATATATTTCTCTTTGTGACGCATATCTGGGGAACAAGTAAGGTAGGTAACTAACTCAAATGCCCTCCTAATTTATCAACATTAAGTGTGGCAGAGATCACACTACCAACCCACTGTCTTTTCAAAGTTGTCCCTTGAAAAGAATGTGGGTAACACAGTTCCACCCCCAGGAACCCAGAAGATCCTGCCTCCTCCCATGAGGAATTTTTTCAAAACATACAGATTTGATATTCTTTTCCTGGTGGAATATTGCGTGGTGTTGTTAAATGAAATTAAAATCCAGTTATGTGGTTGACAAAATGGCGTCAGCAGTCGAGTGGACAATGCCCCTAAGACTTACTTGTCTTTTTACGGAAACTTTAGCCTAGTTTTCCTGTAAATTAGGCCACACTCGTTGGCCAAAGAGATCCTGACAGCCCTTCCCCCGTCACTGACCCAAGAGTTGTTAACAGCGCTTCCACCCTCGTTGACCAATGACATCTTGACAGCGTTTGAATAGTAAGTTGTATAAGCCAATCAGAAATAACCTTCTTTTGCTTCCGCATTTTGTCAATCTAAACCAATCACTGCTGACACTCAATGGTGTACCTTTGCACGTGTAGCTTGGTGCTACCCAATTCTTTAATCTTCTGCCCAAATAAACTTCATTTAATAGATTAATTTCATTATTGACTCAGTTTCTTTTGACAGTATTATGGTATTAAGTATGTAATTTGCTTTCACTCTTAGAACCCAAGAGATGACCCGAAAATATTTAAACCTTGGTCTATCCCTATAGCATAACATTGCTGTCATTTCCTGAAAGGTAAGCTCAATAAACTAATAGACGATTGTGCAAAAGAAAAAGAAAAAAATCAGCTACTCTGGTGGTTTTCAAACTAGGATCCCACAAATGTTTAAATTATTTTTAAACCAATATATCTTATCTAACATTTTAATCCTTTAACACTAAACATGAGTGGCTTTGGATATCGACAAAGAAAGGTCAGGATGTTTTAACTAACACAGCAGTTTTTCTTTTAAAATAAAATAAAAAAAGACAATGGATTAGATGGAGTAAGATATTTGAAAGATCCCACTCCCTGACTCTTTTTAAGAATCACTTACAACTTGAATACAAAACACCAAATTGAAATCTATTGATTACTCCATTTAGAATTAACTAGTGCTGTTTGGAAGAATTACTTGGTAGAATTACCAGCTGCTGCAATTTTGTGTTTAACACAAAATGCAAAGCACTGAAGGCTTTGGAGAGTGGCCATAGAAACTCCCTGGGAAGCATATACTGATAAAAAGAAACACATTTTGATTGTTAGAAAATTAAACTTTTGCTTTTCTGCTCACTTAGTGGGCAACACAGGAGCCCTGGTGATGGGGTAGCTAAAGCACTTGACTGCTAACCAAAAGGTCAGTGGTTTGAACCCACCAACTATTCCGTAGGAGAAAGATGTGGCAGTCTGTTTCCGTGAAGATTACAGCTTTGGAAACCCTATGGGGCAGTTCTGTTTCTGTCCTACAGGGTCCTATGAGTCGGAATTGACTCAACCACAATGGGTTTTGATAGTGGGCAACAACGGAAAAACTTTGAAAGTGGTCTGGACGAGAAAGAACTCGATCATAAATTCAAAGAAGAAATAAAGCTTTTTCCTCAAAATAAAATTTTCCAATTAAATGTCTAAAACAATCCTCAATTATTAACATATATTACATGTTTAATTCCACTGTGCTTCGTCATATAAGAACTCAGATTGATATTTTTGCTGAGTCAAATTAAGTAAATAACTGATGAGAATTTGTTTCTCCTTTTACAACAACAAAAGATCAAAATAGGTAACATTTAAAGGTAGATCTCAAATTATTATAAAACAGTAATTTAGAAACATATACTCAGAAATGGAGGGCAAAATTATCTGAACTCTTCATTCTTTCTCTCCACCTTTCTCTTTCTTTCCAAGTATTAAAGTTAAATGTGGATATAAATCCACTCTAATTTCTACAGGAAACAATGTATGTAAAATGCATAGTATAATGCCTAACACATAGTACTCAATAAAGGATAGCTAAACACACACACATTCAGATGTGCTAAATACCAAATTTTAATAAATTAGCAACCACCAAGCAATGAACTGAGTTGTCAAGTTTTTGTACAGACTTTAAAATAAAGACCATCCTTAGATTGCAAGACAAGTTTTAAAAACAGTTTAGAATTAGTTAGAATTTTCTCCCTGCTGTGCAACCAAAAGAAAACTCAGATATAAATTGCACTCTGAGCCTGGAACCATCCTCTTTAACCTACAATTTCAAATTTTTGTATTTTTCAAAATAGCATAATTGTTCTCATATATTTGCTTCTTTTTTTTGCAAGTGTTGAATATTGAGAGTTAAACCACATTAAAACCATATACGTGATATGTATTCCTACATAACATTTTAAACTTCTGCTAAAAATATTCAAAAACCTCTTGTTTTCTTATTTTATAAGTGAAACTTCCTATTTTATAAATGAAGACACAGAAAGTAAGGGAGAGTAAGTAACTACCCAAATGTATTTATTCATCTCTAAAGCATACCAATCCAAGTTTTCAACTCCTTATTGTTCTTACACAGAAACACACATAACAAAAGTTGAGTACCCTTTGTTTTACAACTATTGTCTTTTTTTTTTTTTTTCCAGGTGTTTCAGTTTTCTTAAGTTACAAGATGGCTTGTTAATCCTAGCTGGACTCCCAACTGATATTCTTATACTGTTGTAAAAAAATTGTTTTAGGAATATTATTCACCTGATTAAGTTAGCAAGATGAATCATTATTTACACATTATTCACTTAGCCTTTCCAGCCTAGATGTCACCAGGCAAACACTGCAATGTCCACAGCAAACAAGTATAATGCTAATTCATTTCTGGAGTGATCATGTAAATGTTGCTGTAGAAGCAATTTTTTCTTTCTGTGTCCATACAATCTAACTGGACTGGCAGTATAGGTTACAATCATAGGATGAAAGACACTTCTTAGTAGATAAATATGTGATTACTTTTCCCGGTGCTGCATTTGATTCACAAGTAGCCACAGAGCAGCAACACCATAAGAGTTCTATAAGTTTTTGTTTTGTTTTTACTGTGCATTGACTATGGGTCTGTGCATATGCATTTGACAGCAAAGGAGTGGTATTTTCCTCACAAAAATCTAATAGTCAACTGGTTAACATTCTTTGGGAATTTGGAAAAAGCAGTGTAAAAATATTTTCGATGTGTTGTCACAAAACCCTTTGTTTTATTTTTTATTTCTTTGTGAAAAACATCCGATTTGGTATCAGAGTTTCAGAAATACTTCGTGGCTCAGTTTCCCACACATTGATGGGGGTAACATGGAGCAAAAGAATTATAAATTGTAACCACCCCTATGTTGTGGTTTAAAACATGCAGCATTCACCGAATACCACCAATCTGAGTTTTAGGGGCCTTCAGAGGAGGGTAAACCAGCATATGAATTAGGCCTTATTTGACCACACAGGGGGTAAACTGATGCTCTGCCAGCCAGGATTCACAGGATCAGGTCCACCAAGCCATCCCCTGTAGAGACCTCTGAAGTGAATGGAGAAGGTGAGACTGAGGTAAGAGCACTTGGTGACATATGAGAGCAGCTACACCATTAGGCATGCAGTACAGCCTGGAGAGGCTAATGGTCACTGAAGGCAACAAGAACGTTGGCTTGAAGGGACTAGGGCACAGCTGTCCACAGGCCCCATCCACTGCCTTTGGAGGCTCCACTAGGCCACAGGAGCACAAGGGAAGAAAGGAAGCAGGACAGGAACTCAAAAAGAAAGGAGACAGGAGCAGAAGGGTCATGGGAAAGACAAAAATTACACAAGACACATGAGCAGAAGAGCTGGGGAACTGAGTGTCAGCGGCCAGGGTGACATGAGTTGAAAGTAATAAAAAACATTTTTTTTTTAGCTCTTTTGAAAATAACATACTTACTGCAGCGTACATCAACAGGAAACTGCCAGAAGTTCCAGATGGTTTCAAAAGAGCATGTGGAACGAGGGATATCGTTGCTGATGTCAGATGGATCTTGGCTGAAAGCAGAGAATACTAGAAACATGTTTACCTGTGTTTTATCAACTACTGAAGGGCGTTCGACTGTGTGGATCATAACAAATTATGGGTAACATTATAAACAATGGGAATTCCAGAACACTTAATTGTGCTCATGCAGAACCTGTCTGTGGATCAAGCAGCAGACTTTGAAACAGAGCAAGGGGATACTGTGTGGTTTAAAATTAGAAAAGATGTGTGGCAAGGTTGTATCCTTTCACCTTACTTATTCAATCCATATGCTGAACAAATAATCCAAGAAGCCAGACGATATGAAGAACCTGGCATCAGGATTGGAGGAAGATGCGTTAACAACCTGCAATATGCAGATGACACAACCCTGCTTGCTGAAAGTGAAGAGGACTTGAAACACTTACTGATGAAGCTCAAAGCCTTCAGTATGGATTATGCCTGAATGTGAAAAAACAAAAATCCTCACAACTGGACCAATAAACTGAGTCACCTAGAGCTGAGAATCTTTGTTCTGGGAAAGCCTTATTGTATCTTCTCTGATGCTACAGCCTTCTGAAATGGTCAGGCTCTGAAATACGAAACTATTTTTTAAAAGAAAATTATTTTTATCAGAAACATCTGGGAAATCCTCCAAGATAATTTTAGTAGTGCATTTTAAGAGTAGGCCCTAAAACTCATCATAAGTAAAAAGGTTACACTTTTCCTCATCAGATAAATTGACATTAAATTTACTTAATGGTAGTCCATGCCTTTCATTTGGAAGAATAATAATCATCTATTATATTATAGTTAGCTTACTTTGAAAGTAAGGCTGCCCTACTTAAAAGTTTCTGTGAAGAATTATGAAATGTACGTGAAAATATTTTATAAACAATAATGTGCTCCATAGGAGACTCTGGGTGGCACAAATGGTTAAGCACTTGGCTACTAACAGAAAGGTTGGCAGTTCAAATTTACTTAGAGGCACCTCAGAAGAAAGATCCAGTGATCTACTGCCAAAAGATCACAGCCATTGAAAACCCTATGGAAACAGTTCTACTCTAAAACAAATGGGGTCTCCATGAGTCAGAATCAACTCGACAGCACTGGTTTTTTAATATGTTCTATAAATGTAAGGTCTACTATGACTACTTTATTACTACTAGTAGTAGTATAACAGTAATAATATATAGTATAATAATAATAAACCGGTAGCTAAGTTCTGTGTTTCAACAAACGGATGCAACGCTGGAAGCGCTCACTCATCTACGCCAAGAAATTTGGAAGACAGCTACCTTGCCAACCCACTGGAAGAGATCCATATTTGTGCCCATTTCAAAGAAAGGTGATCTAACAGAATGTAGAAATTATTGAACAATATCATTAATATCACATGCAAGTAAAATTTTGCTGAAGATCATTCAAAAACAGTTGCAGCAGTACATTGACAGGGAACTGCCAGAAATTCAAGCCGGATTCAGAAGAGGACGTGGAACAAGAGATTTCATTGCTGATGTCAGATGGATCTTGGCTGAAAGCAGAGAATACCAGAAACATGTTTACTTGTGTTTTATTGACTATGCAAAGGCATTTGACTGTGTGGATCATAACAAATTATGGATCACATTGTGTAGAATGGGAATTCCAGAACACTTAATTGTGCTCATGAGGAATCTCTACATAGATCAAGAGGCAGTCATTCGAAAAGAACAAGGGGATATTGCATGGTTTAAAGTCAAGAAAGGTGTGTGTCAGGGTTGTATCCTTTCACCATACTTATTCAGTCTGTATGCTGAGCAAATAATTCGAGAAGCTGGACTATATGAAGAAGAACAGGGCATCAGGATTGGAGGAAGACTCATTAACAACCTGCAATATGCAGATGACATAACCTTGCTTGCTGAAAGTGAAGGGGACTTGAAGCACTTACTGATGAAGATCAAAGACTATAGCCTTCAGTATGGATTATACCTCAACATAAAGAAAACAAAAATCCTCACAACTGGACCAATAAGCAACATCATGATAAACGGAGAAAATATTGAAGTTGTCAAGAATTTCATTTTACTTGATTCCACAATCAACACCCATGGAAGCAGAAGTCAAGAAATCAAACAA